CTCTTGAGGTTGCGGTTCTGTTATCTTTTCTAATCGTGCTGCATACCTCTGGTCGGTCCTTGGAATGTCCTAAGCGAGGTACAGAGGCAAGGGCCTCCACTCTCGGGGTAGACTGTGCGATCACTGCGTACGATGAGAGGAGATGGGGGATCGATGGTCTTCTCGTATACCAGCCGTCGGCCTAACTAGATTGACTCGGGTATATTGGTTCATTTTTTGTGGACAAGAGCACCAGGTTTCCTCCTTTATTGTCGTCGAAAGCCAGGAGAGCTCGCAGATAACCGTCTGGAAGTGGCTACATCTGGCAGGGGTGTATGCACTTGACCACGTCATCCACGAGTTTCCAATAATTACTGGATGCGATTCGAAGGGGGGGTTTTTTTGTGCAGAGAAAGAAGATATTGTTTACTGTTTCTCAAGAGGGGAGACATGATGTGATGAGCGACTAATGAACACAATCAGCAGCGGATGGGTATTGAAAAGAGACAATGAACGTACTAAGCAGAGAACCCTGCAGCTACAATACACGTGATCAATATGTACATCGCCGACGGATACCTAAATTGGACTCACCATCCGGGAAATGAAAACATTACGCAGAATGGGCGTAAATTTCGCGTAGTTCAGTTCAGCCAGAGGAAATCTGCCCAATTGTAATCTCGGATCTCTGAAAAATTAAGAGACTCACCCATGCCGGCTTCTACGCGCAATGCTTCGACCAGCCTCGCTATCTCATCTAGAAGCTCGCCCATCAAAGGCAGGTTGGTTTTTTTCTCCGTAGTGAATTTGTGGGGAAACAGCAGCCAGTTACATGGAAGCACGACGTTATGAAGGGGAAGCTTATTGAAGTATGGGTCGATTCGCCAGTTGATTATAAAAGCACCGCAGACGTCCTCGATACAGTCGCACAACACCGAGAGGTTGACATATAAACGATTATCTAGAACATGCCTGAATTGCACTTAGTTCGTTGCATGTAGAGAGAAGAAGAACGCTCACAGAAGGTACAGGATTCCCGATGAGATGCTGCTTAGGGAAGCTCCTTGGTAAGAACTAAGCAGGTCATGAACCATATAGCGTTTGTCCCCCTTGCGAACGAGGTCTAGCGGTCCAGAGATCGTACACTTTGCTCGAGAGATGTAGGCAGGTGCATCGTCCTTGTCAAAAGCAAAACTTAGACTGGTTATTCCCATCAACGCTGTCAAAAATTCAGCCTGGGTAAAGAATGGGTCGAGCGAGTAGAATGATTCGCAGATCCAGAGCTTCACCACTTTCATGCCATCTCGACGAAGAGGCATCAGGTTCATGTCGAGGTCCGCAGGGGAACCTTGAATGAATAAGGGTGGATTGATAGCCTCGTAGAGATGCTTGAGCCAGTCCCTCATGCTGATAAATTGATCAGTATGAGTACTCGATTATAAGCTACCTCCAGGCGTACCTTTTGCGTCGGTCAATTTTTGGGTGAGCAGAATACATGAATTGCAAGATCAGAATCTGCCAGATGTGGATGGCAACGCGGTTGTTGTAATACTGGCGATCCAATTTCGATACTGCAACATGTTCTTGAGGGCACTTATCTCTTTGACACACTCCAGATATCAAGAATTGCAGGCATTGCGAGAAAACGGGAGACTCGCAACACTTGGCATCGATCCTCGACACTTTGTCCTTCAAGATTGTTCGGATAGATCGTTGTAGCAACTTGGTGACGTTTCTACGAGAGGCTGTATACCCGGACGGAGTTTCCGATGCCCAAGTGATGTTCTGGCGAGTCTCCATAATTTTGTTGTGCAGGAACGTTCCATTTAGTATGAGAAACTCGTCACCAGACAGCCGCACGATGGAGAATAGTCTCCGGATGCCCATATGTTCCATGGGGTCGGGGAAGGTCAAAATCAGATAGAGCAGTCGCGCATAGGCGTGAAACTGTTGAAGGAACCGTCGCATTTCATCGACCGTGAAAGCTCGCATATCTATGGTTCGAGAGAATACATGGTCCAGGCAAAGGAGAGCTGCGGGCTTGTTATGCTGTTCATGGAAGTTGAGCGCAAGATTTCTCAATGACTCATGGTTTCCGCGCAAGATGCTCTGGAACATCGATAGCTGGATGTCGATCAGTTCAGTTTATTGCTTCGAGACTGCTAATACGTACTAGATCACGCGTGGCCGGCGTTAGTTTGTTCATCTCCAGCTCATCAGCAAGAGCAATGAAATGCTGCATTGACTCTGGCTCATCAACAACGGATTTTGCAGTGATTCCGAAGGAGCATTTGCGCCAAAAGTATGCCAATATAGTATCGGCCGCACGGGTAGTAGAATCGTCCTTGCTGTCGTCCTTAATGAATGCTCGGACAGCTTCCAAGGGCCTATTCTCCGACAAGTGGAGTTCTGCGGCCTCATAGTACCTCGAGTGAGATTCAAGCAGTGAGGCACGAGCGTAATCGAGATCATAGTCCTCCAGAAATTCGAGTTCCTCATCAAATGTCGAGAAGAGTGGCAAGGGGGGCCTGCGCAATTGCTATTAAATAAAAACACTGTAGAGAGTTTAAGACTTACCGAGCTGTCCTGCTGAAGTAAAACAGTCTGCACACAGTCCATAACTCCGCCGTGGTCTCTTCAGGTATATCCGTGCCATGGTCATTAAGGACATGGAGGGTCTTGTCAAACCGTCCAACCTTGCGATACCTCTTCGCCGCTTGCTCGAACTCTTGAGCACCGAGATAGGCCTCAGCAGCTTTAAAGTCATCTCCTGCTCGAATGTAGCAATCCGCTGAGTTACGATAGTATTGGAGCTTCTGATTTCCTGTCGCGGTCGCCGCGCAATCAGTAAAGGCATCGGCGGCCACGTTAAAAGCTCTTTTTTGGTCGCTGAGTAAGGCCACGCCGACACTAGAACGTGCGACTTCTCGCAGTTGATATGCTTCACAGACCTTCACTTCACGACGAAGGTTGGCACGTTCGAAGCAGTGGATAGCCTGCGAGTAGCGCTTGTGCGAGAATAGTGAGCGCCCGAAGGATGCCCATTCTTCTGGAGTCGAGGAGACGGCTAGATGAGGGACATCTGTGCCGGGGGTACAATTCTGGATCTGATTGCGAGACGTCCAGAATATCTGAAGAGAACGGGTTATCAGATCGAGTTACGCCAACACGCTGCTCTAAACGTACACGCATCGGCTCCGATCTGTCAGATTTGTCCACGATCCATATGTTCTTCCTTGCTCGTGTGATTCCCACATAAAGAATTTTGAGCTAATAAAGTAAGCCAGAGTTGATTTCGAGGATCGGTGTGCCCACCTCGCTGCAAACCCCAGCGTATCGCGCTTCGTCTCGGTCGAAGTTCGGTGCATATACTTGACCATCTACCCCATTGAGAACTACGCGCCATCGTGACAGATCTACAGTAGAATCCTCGAAAAAATTGTACAAAAGCACCTGACCGAAGTCAGACATTCATCAGATAGCAAACTTAGCTTTCTCACATCATTGAATTCCAGGCCTTTGCTCTCATAAAGCGTCCTGTGTGTATATGTGAACATGAAAGCACAGAGTAAAGGTAGTCTTAACACGACTCACATGATCAGTCCAACCTCACCAACTTGGTCGCGTAACCTCTGACGTGCTGCATCGTCACGCACAAGAATGCCTAGATATATTATCAGTGTATGAATAGAACCTTCATATAATTGCTTTACATTGCTCGGCTCCGAACTCAATATGACCACCCCTAGAAGAATCTTCAGGAAGAGAGGTGGGCTGTTGTCCAGGTCCACTTACTTCGTCCCAAACAAGAACTGCTCATGATGAACGGTAGCTTTATCCCAACCTGTAAAAAACACAGGCTTCAGCCCGTCAACCACCCCCGTTTCTGGTTGAAGTGTGTCAATTGTGTTGGGCCAAAACTTTGTAATGAGTTCGATCACAGAACGTGCACAGTTGACGATACCACCATGCGATCTGTAGTTGATCGCCAATTGAAACATCACAGGCTGACGAAGACATGCCCCAGCGGAATTGACCGAAATATTTTGCTGCTGCTGCTCTAAGGTATCGATTAAGGCCCGAGCTAAGTCACTGTATGCTCACCTCCACACGGTAGAGAAACGCTTTCAGGTCATCGAACCTGAAGGAACTCCCTGCAGAGATCGTCTGTGCGGTGTCCCCAGCCCAGAACAAACCGTCTGGATTCCTGCATAGTTGCCTCAAAACTATAACAGAAAGTTCTAAATGGATTTATGTCAACGAAAGATGGAGTAGCTACTTACAGAGTGCGTCGATCAGAAGGTTGTCTTGTGCTTCATCGACATACCTAGTGCAGGTGGTCAGGCGCAAGATGTATTGGTGGTGATAATACATACAGATAATCGATCTGTTTTCCAGGGAATTCTTTGCTTCGCAAGACCTTGAGTATTGCATGCGTGCTATTTGTGAATATATCGTGACATGACATGGGTGAGAAGGGGAATAGGTCATACCGGTCTGCAACATCATGATGACTTCGCTGCCTCTTGATTTTCGTATAATGCTCGAATATGTCGTACAGAACTCCCCTCTGATTCGCAAAATTTGGGTTAGAACGATGAGGAAGACGGAGGTAGTTTGGGCGATCGAGAACTCCTTCAGGACAGGTCAGTGCGTGTTCGGAGCCTTTGACGATCCCTGTATGTGTATTAAAAAAGTATCGGTGTCAATGTAATACAAATAGTACTCGCCCATGAATTCGCTGAAAACCAACCACGGATCTGATGGGGCAGTGTCAGTACTCTATTGTCGTCATAAGAGAAAAAGGACACTACTGAGATTCTTGCTGAGATTCTGTGGAAAATGAGGCCAGTATTGATTTGCGAATACGTCATAGGTGACGAAACAGTCATGCGCGTCAGCATCCTCAACATTGAAGAAAACTTCTGCGCTGTCTTTCTTGCTCAAGATATCTGCCGCGATCATTTTCGCCAGCTACATAAAGTTTCAATTAGCTTTTGGAACTATCTAGACGACGGATTGTGACGCACTCGATCGAAAGTGAGAAAAAGAGGAAAGTGCTTATCCTCAAGTTCGCTGTATTTCATCGGTATATTCATCTGTGATTCGGGCAGGTCGTCGAGATCAACAAGGCCCTCCTGAACACTTCGTGCCTTCATTTTTGCAAGTTCCTCCAGGGTATAGCCTGCTAACGCCAGAGATTCTAGAAGCTTCATGAAATACTCTTCTACTTTCGTAGCGAGCACTCTGGATTTGGTGACAAAGATTTGGCGTGGCTTCGGCATGTCGACGGCACTCATCTCCCAAGCTCGCTGAATGCCGAGAATCTTAAACAGCATCGTCGTGGTTTTGCTAGTTGATTATGATAAATAAGCTAGACACGTTAGGGGTAGGACACTTACCCCGTGCCGCTGCGACCCAATACGTAACATGACGTAGTACATTCGACAATCTTTTGTTCTTGAGGACTGAACCAATATCGATCAAAAAATTCGGTTCATTGGAGCAGAACTTACGTGAGCATAAAGACGTGCTGTACATCTTGGTCTGCGATGAGACCTTTTGCAAAGATGAGAATAAGTGGCGAGCCAACTACATGATCACTCACTATGCAAGAACGCCTAAAATAAGAGGTTATCGAGTCAATATTCGCATGCCCATAAACCGTATTTATAAGCTTACTTGCGAGAATGTGACATATTTCTCCAAACTAGGAGATTGTTAGATGAAAACCAATTTGTATAAGGATGGCGAAAATGCATACACAAGCAAAGAGTGAAGCTATGACATGGATCAATGACCGCACAAATGACAATTGAAAATACTCAACGTGGTCCATGTCCTTATTACTAAGATTAAGTGGGCCTCCTGAGCACTCTGGCTCAGGTTCAGCTAGCGGGAATGACGCAGGCAGAATCGCATTGTCTTTAGATAGGACTGGCCTGTTCCGAAAGGTACACCTGCACAAGCAACGATTCACTGAAATGCACCAAGAGTTGAAAGGATGTCCTCGCCTTCTACGATATTCTCTGCCCTTGCGTGCGAGATGGCTACCCAAGGCATCCCATATTCCGTCAAGCTGAGCATCCATATAAATGCCGTATATCTTGATTACTGGGGTTCATATGAGTGCTAATGGCGCAGAGATGTAATTGCACTTGATAGTTTACCTTGTCTTTCGGACTGTCAAGATCAGTCTCAGTATCATGCCCGATGTTGATGTAAGTACGACGTACCTTTCCATCTTGGTCAGGGACACAATCAATTTGGTACTGTTAGAAAAGGTCGGTCGCCCAAAGCTCTAAACGACGTACGTGAAATTACACTTACCACTAATTGTAGGTCCTTTGTCATCTTGGCATCGTAGATGGGTATGCCTGCATCCGGCCCGTTAAGTCGCTTATGATTATCATCTGAAAAATGGCCATTCGATAGTTGTCTGTGGAACCGATGAGATCATTGCAGTAAAATTCTTCAGAAAACCGACTTGATCTTCTTGAAGATGATCTTGAATGTCTTCTTATCTGCTCTACGGAATTCACGCAAATGTTTGTAGGCCTCCGTAGATATCAGAATTTGCCACTCTCCGAACCCGTCCGCGTTGTCGAAGTAAAGCGCAGCCTTCATAGGCTGCACCATTTGGTACGCATTGAGTCGGTCTGTTGGCCTCTCAACATCCTCGGTTGACGAAACTTCAGGCGCAACATATTTGGCATACTCTCTCACGATTGGAAAGAGTAAGGCTTTGATGTCGCCTGTCAATTCCGTCCTCCGCAGAAGCGAGAAGTAGAACTTACGGAGAACTGTCAGAGGAAACGTCAAAAAAAAAAGTGAATATACTCACCGAGAGAGCATTTTTCAGCTTTGCAAGAATCTGAGTAGACAATGATGCGGCAGCCTCGCTCGTGAGAGGCACAACCACACCAAGCCTCAGGAAGAGTGATGTGTCGATAGACGTACGAGCTTTCGGGCGATTACGCTTGCGCATTTTCTGAGGCACTTTCTTCTTGACGAATCCGTCATCAGATTCGTCGAAGACATCTATCTCGTCTTCAAACGACCCTACATCAGAAAATTCCATAGTGTTCAATGCGCAGAGTGCAGGTAAAGCGCCCTCGATGAAGCATCTGTGGCGGGTGATGTCCCTAGAGACATCCATCGCTAGAGACCCGGCAGGAAAAGGTAAAAAGTACATAGACAGATTGTCCAGCATCTTTCTCGCGATGGATGCCGGATATTCTTGAGATTTCGTTGGAAAGTCTGTCATGATCTGTGAGATCATTGCCTCACAGCGATCCCAAACTGTTAGAGAGTCAGAGCTGATGACGCTCGAAGAAAGTTTGTGAGATACCAGAAATAATATATGCAAAAACATAGGGTGACGACAACATATGTTCGACCATAGCTTGTAATGCGGTTGCTCCTGAACTTGACATTGCATCCAGATGATGCAAGGCGGCTCTGAGGCCTGCCTCGTTGACTATTCGATCTTTGGAGAATAAGTCCAACATGGTCTGTTGAACCAGAGGAGCTTGTGATGACGAAGTGGTTGTATGAAAGGCTGGGGAACTTAGACTTGAGCTGTGTCAATGGTACAAAGGAATGCCTCGAGCTTGAGCTAATTCTGCAAGGATGTTTGGTCCTTATATCGTCGAGCCAGCGCTCTGCCTGAATTTCCAAACAGGTTGAGGCGCAAATAGCACACCCAAAATCGACACCTGCTGGCAACCTGAAGCTGTACATGATGGATAAACTTGGACCCCCAAATGATCCTAGATAGTGAAAAGAACACGCCCCTTACGTAGGTGGGACCAGAATCACCAGATGTGTAAGTTAAGTTAAGTTAGCATTCCGAAATAAATCGGCTAGGGCTAGTAGGGTCACCTCATTTCAGGATGGTGACAAAAAGTTCGCGTCTAGACTGATCTTTCTTGAAAATAAGGCTACGAGTCACAGGCTGGAACCCACGGAGCGTGTTGTGAGAGAAGCAGACGAGAGGCGCAATATGTTAATTTTTCGGAAATCTCCTATATATAGCTACATATACATTCTATATCATACAAGCAAATATCATCCGTTCACCTTCGAATGTTTACTACGATGGATTACAATAAGGGATGTCTGTAGACTGTTATTCTTCTCTTGCAAATACCGTTCGAACGAATGCCTCGTACTCTTCACCGACATGATATCTTATTGGGATTTTTCCCACGCCATAGGGTATTGGGCATTGTGTAATTTGTGTTGACAATACCAAGTACAGCTGAGCGCTGATCACGGTGATTCCGAATTGATGATCCAGGGACCAGCACAGGCTTGCGAAGTTCATGAAACGCATGGCAGCCAATCCGCGAGTGTGGAAGGTTGTTATCAGTATGATGCACTTCAGGTAAGTTCAGACCATGTCTCCCAGACATGTCCTGACCTCATGTTTACTAGTACTATCAACCATCGTACAGAACAACATTGCAAAATGTCGTGATCTGTTTCTTGTCATGGTCTTCGCCGTGGTCGTCGGTCGAACAGACTGACAGGATGTCCAGGTTATTGAGGCGCAGGTACGATTCTATGAAGATGAAGACTCGGGTGCAGCACCGCCGCAGCTGGAGACTTGGAGCATATTAAAAGCGAACGATAACAGTGGGGCAGATGCCATCAAGATGGTGTGGAGCTCTGTGCAGCAACCTCCGCTTTGGTCGAAACGACTCAGACTATAAGGTATGCAGATATCATTTTCATGAACGAAGTCACTCTCTTTCACATTTACAATGTACCATACGCGCAGATACTGTTTTCGCATAATAAGGCGGACGATAATCCACACATTAATGTATCCATGCAGAAGCCAGGACGAACCAATCATAATTGTATCCTTTCACTATATCACATCTTCACACAAGGCGCAGCCTCGCATCATGACAAATATTTTTTCTTTTGTCCTTATTATCCTTGTCCTTGTGCACAGCCGTATCATATGCCCTCAACCACTCACTACGATACTTCAAAGAACGTTGTATACATTGTCGAATTCCTCCCAACGTTTCAAAGGTCCATCGTCTCAGCCGGGAGTCTCATTCTTAATGCCTCTCTATCTTGCTTTCGTCTTCCAATCCTCAGGTGATTTTTGATGTTTCGGGTTAGATCACCCCCCAGCTGTGCCCGTTTCTGATTGTTCTCGCGCGCACAGGCATTGATTTACGGAAATACGTACTGTATAATATGATAGACGATCTCGACTTCACAACGTGAACAAAATCAACAGACGTTCATACCTCGACATTGAGAGGGGGTTTCTTTTTCTCTCCCGCATGAACCTTCTTTGTGACAATGCCCTTATAGGCTATTTGAAAGTCGGATTGCATATCTTTCATGCTGCTCGGAACCCCCTGCATGAATTCCTCGACCTCTAGAACTCCAGATCTGAGTGCATCAATGTCACGGGCACGATGAGTGGATGAGGAAGGTTCTAACTGCTTGCGCAGTTTAGATCCCTTCTTGAGGAGCGTTCTGTAAGTAGGACGGTGTTAGCCATTGTATGTTGCCGAGTAAGTAAAGACGGACGCTATCCCGCTTCTCTGCTTGCCCAACTCTTCAAGCTTTTCATGAGACTCCTTGTTGAAAAGGACTTTCGTCTTCGTTTTGGCAGCGTGAGTCAGAGCAATGCCTCGTTCCAAGCACACCAGGAGGTGAGGCAACGGTCCAAGGAAAAGCAGGCTGTAATAACCCGGACGCCATTCAGGGGACTGCGTCTGCTTCAGGCATGCCATGAATATCGCATCGATTTCGGCATTGACTGCACGACTCGAGCGGCGTCTGACGTAACGGCGGTATACGTTTTGAATATTGCAAGCTGCCTCTTGCTCCTCCACCGATGGTCCGTTGGTGGGTAGCGACTCGTCAAGATCAGGTGCAAGCAACGTCGCCGCCTCATCCAAAGTCTCCGATACCTGACGGGTCTCGGTATCAGCATTCGCCGTGACATCTTCCTCTCTCTCTTCTTCTCCTTCAAACTCTTGAGGTTGCGGCTCCGTCATCTCTTTCTCATTGTGCCGCGTAACCTCTGGTAGGTTCTTGGGATGTTTTACGCGACGTGCGGAGGTAGGGGCCTCTACTATCATGGCAGGCTGTGTGATCACTGTGTACGATGAAAGAAGCTGGGGGATCTCGATGGTCTTCTCGTATACGAGCTGTCGGACTATATAGACTCGGGCACACTGGTTCATCGTTTTGTGGACAAGATGCACCAGGTTGCCCACTCCTTTATTGTCGTCGAAAACCAGGAGAGCTCGCAGGTAACCGTCTGGGGGTGGTGCCAATCCTGGCAAGGGTGTCGTGTACCTAACCACGTCATCCACGAGCTTCCGATAATTAACTGGATGCCCATTCGAAGGAGGGTCGTTTGTGTGTAGAGAAAGAATGATATTGTCTACTTTGCTTCTCAAGGTGCGATTGCTGATGTTATGGGCGACTAATGAACACAATTCAGCAGCGGATGGGTATTGAAGAGATAATAAACGTACTGAGGCAGAGAACCCTGCAGCTGCAATACACGTGATCAATATGTACATCGCCGACGGATACTAAATTGGACTCACATCCGGGAAATGAAAACATTACGCAGAATGGGCGTAAATTTCGCGTAGTTCAGCCAGAGGAAATCTGCCCAATTGTGATCTCGGATCTCTGAAAAATTAAAAGACTCACCCATGCCGGCTTCTACGCGCAATGCTTCGACCAGCCTCGCTATCTCATCTAGAAGCTCGCCCATCAAAAACAGGTTGGTTTTTTTCTCCGTAGTGAACTTGTGGGGAAACAGCAGCCAGTTACATGGAAGCACGGCGTTGTGAAGGGGAAACTCATTCAAGTGTGGGTCAATTCGCCAGTTGATTATAAAAGCACCGCAGACGTCCTCGATACAGTCGCACAACACCGAGAGGTTGGCATATAAACGATTATCGAGAACATGCCTGAATTGCACTTAGTTCACTGCATCATGTAGAGGCAATAAGAACGCTCACAGAAGATACATAATTCCCGATGAGATGCTGCCACGGGAAGCTCCTCGGGAAGAACTAAGCAGTTCAAGGACCATATAGCGATTGTCCCTCTTGCGAAAGAGTTCTAATGGTCCGGAGATCGTACATTTTGCTCGGGAGATATAGGCAAGTGCATTGTCCCTGTCAAAAGCAAAACTTAAACTAGTTATTCCCATCAATGCCGTCAAAAATTCAGCCTGAGTATGGAATGGGTGGAGCGAGTAGAAGGATTCGCAGATCCAGAGCTTCACCACTTTCATGCCATCTAAACGAAGAGGCATCAGGCTTAGGTCAAGGTCCGCGGGGGAACCTTGAATGAATAAGGGTGGATTGATAGCCTCGTAGAGATGCTTGAGCCAGTCCCTCATGCTGATAAAGTAATCAGCAATCGCCTCTTGGTTTAACACCAGGTGGCACCCCGACTAAGACCCCAGAAAAACTTCAACCACCAGGCGCCCAACGGCGCCTCACCGCCTCGTTAACCAACACTAACCAACCTTCATACTCTAGATTCAACTAATGCCACTTACCCTCTCCTCACAAACAAGAAAAACCACCAAAAACACGCTTCAAACCACTCTAGACGGCCAAGGAATCGACTCAAACCGAGCTGAGACCCCAGCCACCAACGGACCGATGGCTACAGCCAATAGACGGGCTCCGCCCAAACTAACTACTCAGGAAATCATGGAACTGACCAACGAAGTCCACAATGCGGATACAGGCAAGAAGTACCTCGAGCGCACCGCTCTATCAATCAAAGGTAAACCCTACACCGTAAACACGCTAACCGAAACTCTCCTGCACGTCACTCAACTCAGCGGAGTCTCACTACCGGCCGTAACAGCCATTAGAGCAGTAGTCTTCATTATGCAAGAGAAAACTAACGATGAAACAGCAGAAATCATAGCCAAGTTAGTAGTAGCATCAATCTCCCCTCAAGTAGCCAAACTCCAAGAAGCAGAAGAAGCCATCAGCAAGGCTACGACGGAACTCAATGCCAAAGTCCTAGCTCAAGACTCCCAGCTTACGAAAGTTCAAAGCTCTGTGGACAAGCTCGCAACACAAGTATCAGACTCCCCCTTCCTCAAACCATCGTACGCCGAAACGTTGAAGACGTTGAAAACGGGACACTCAACCCACCAGGACCCAGCACAGCAATCCCAACAAATTCAGCGACTAGCAAGAGAAGCAATCAAGGAAAGGCAACTACTAATCGATTTCCCAGCTAACTGTCCGCTAGCGGCGGGGAAAAGCTCCCATGCCCAGCTCGTTGAAAGAGTCCACAAAGCCCTGGCAGCCATACCCAAAGAGGACGACGTCGACCTTGAAATGAAGGCAGTCACACAATTCAAACAGGGAGGAATGACTATTGAATTCAAAACGAAGGAAGCCGTTATCTACATCCGCACCAATGAAGAAATGAAAAACCTCCTCCTGAAGAACCTCGACCCAGACGCCACAATCAAGGAGCGCACCTACCCTGTAGTGATACCTTTCATGCCAGTCACTTTCAACCCAACAAGCGACACTGCCCTTAGAACGCTAGAGGATGAAAACAACTGGACAAAAGGATCGCTCACTTCAGCTCGTTGGATCAAGCCGGCAGAAAAGAGAAAGAGTAGCCAGCAAGTAGCCCATGTACTAATCAATTTCACAGAACCAATGGAGGCGAACACCGCAATCAGAGACGGCATCACCTTCTACCAACTCAAACTTTGGCCAAAGAAAAACAGACGCGAACCAATCCGCTGCGCCAAATGCCAACACTTCGGCCACATCGCTCGTGAATGCATAGCAAAAGGTGACACATGTGCAAACTGCGGGAACAACCACCGCTCCAATGACTGCACCACCAATGACAAGAATTATTGTACGTCATGCGAAACGGAAGACCACTCAAGCTGGAGTCGCGACTGCCCTCTCTTCAAGAAGAAATGCGACGACATGGATAAACGCTACCCTGACAACAGTATGCCTTTCTTTCCAACGAACGAAGAATGGACCCAAGTAGCAGCACCCCCGAAACCTGCCCCATACCGTAAACCTGCACCACCACCGAATGAACAACCGCCGCCTCTTACACAGCGCACGCTGGACTCATACCCGAACAGACAAAATCACCGATCTGGACGTGGTGGACCACCATCACGTGGCTTCGCCCACAACCGCTCCCCCCCTCGCCACAACCAACAGCAACAAACACAAGACTTCTTCAGCACCCTGGATTACACGACAGAAAACCAACCCATTGTCAACTGGGAATGATTGACACACCTGACAACTCAGCGACACGGTTGCGTATATGGCAGCAAAATCTCAACACCTCATCTGATGCTCAACACTGTGTCCTTAGCGGACCCACGACAGCACGAGACTGGGACATAGTAGCCTTACAAGAACCCACCATCGACACAAAAGGTAATACACGAGTCACCCCAGACTGGCATGTAGTATATCCCACTCACCGTTACACCCAAAACAAGCGCTCACGGGCAGTAACACTTGTAAACAAACGTATTAACACTAACAGCTGGCGTCAACTTCCCTTCCCCTCCACAGATATAGTTGTAATCCAATTCGATGGCGCCTTTGGGAAACTAACACTATTTAATATCTACAACGATGGCGACAAACAGGACTCCCCTCAAGCAATCCAGCAGTACCTCGAAACCAACATAAGGACCGTCCGACCATCAGCAACTGACCACATAGTATGGCTAGGCGACTTTAACTGTCACCACCCGCTATGGGAAGAAGAACGGAACCGTCACCTGTTCGAACCAAGAGACGCTCAAACCAAAGCCCAAGCGTGGTTAGAACTAATGGCGGAATACGGAATGTGCCAAGCGTTACCCAAGGACAAGCCAACCCTGCAATCTACGAGTACCGGCAACTGGACCCGTCCCGACAATGTTCTCTGCTCTGACAACACCTTGGATTCATTCATCATATGCGACACGGCTCCCCAACTCCGAGCACCGAAGACTGACCACGTCCCTATTCTAAGCACACTCGATCTAGAACTCCCTCAAGCAACTACGACCATAAGCTACAACTACCGCGAAACCGACTGGGAAAAATTCGACATCTGCCTAAAGGAAAAGTTAAGAAAGATCCCACCCCCAGCTATCCTTACATCCCAAGACGAATTCCAAACGGCAGCAAAAGCACTAGCAAAGACCCTGCAAGAAGTCATCGAGGAGAAAGTACCTAGATCTAGACCGAACCCGCATGCTAAAAGATGGTGGTCGCATGACCTCACCAAGATGTTAGAGAGAAAACACGAGCTGAGTGAATTATCCTACAAATTTCGAGCGCTAAGAGATCACCCGTCACACGAAGAACACAGGATATTCCGCAACAAAGTATCCGACGCCATCTACAAAGCCAAGAAAGAGCATTGGACACAGTTTCTAGAGGAAGCCACCCAGCGGGAAATATGGATAGCAAACAAATATATCACAACCCCAAGCAGCGACGGCAGTAAAGCACGAATCCCAGTACTCCAAGTCAAAAACGCCGACGGTTCACTCAGAGAAGCAGTAACAAACGACGAGAAAAGCACCATCCTCGCCCAAGCATTCTTCCCGCCGGCTCCAGCCTCAAGCAACATCCCAGCTAACTTCAAATACCCAGACCCAGTCACTCCGTTCAAGCCCATCGAAGAAGGAGACGTCCGACAAGCCATTACTAACACCAGTCCATTCAAAGCCCCAGGTCCTGATGGAGTCTGTAATATAGTATTCAAACGCAACGCTTCCACCCTCATCCCTTACCTCACTCACCTTTTTAATGCAGTCTTCACGCATCGTACATACTTTGAACCCTGGAAGGACTTCACCACAATAGTTCTACGAAAACCTGGAAAGGCCGACTACTCCATCCCAAAAGCATATAGACCGATCGCACTCATTAACACCACCTGCAAACTCCTCACGGCCATCGTCACACGTCAAGTCACACACACGCTCGAAAAATACCACCTTCTCCCAGCGAATCACTTTGGAGGGCGACCGGGACGATCCACCACCGACTCGGTGCACCTACTTGAAGCGACGATTAAAGACGCCTGGCGATCGAAAAAAGTAGCATCAGTCTTGTTCCTGGACATAGAAGGCGCATTCCCAAATGCAGTTACTGACAGACTCATCCACAACATGAGAAAACGACGGCTACCACTGGAACTCATAGAATTTACGAAGCGGATGCTAACAGGACGACGCACCCAACTCAAGTTCGACGACTTCACCTCCGAATGGTTCCCCGTCAATAATGGAATTGGTCAAGGCGACCCTCTATCGATGATCTGCTATCTAATATATAACTCGGACCTCGTGGATATAGCCAAAGGACGCATAGGAAGAGGACGCGAAGAGGTTGCCCTTGCATTCGTGGACGACACAGCCTATATTGCGGTAGCCAACACATTCGAAGAGACACACGCCATCCTGAAAGACATGTTAGAACGCGAGGGAGGAGGCTACCAATGGTCAAGAGAGCACAACTCAAAGTTCGAAACATCCAAATTCGCCCTAATGGATTTCACTCGCAGCAAGATCAAAAAACGAAACCCTATCACTCTCAACGGCACCATCATCCAACCCTGTCACCACACTCGCTTTCTAGGTATTATAGTGGACCAAGAACTCACCTGGAAGGAGCACGCAGCATATGCAGTAGCGAAAGGTATGGAATATGTTCTACTGATCCGTCGTTTATCTAGATCATCAATGGGCATCCCCACCAAACTCATGCATCAACTATATCAAAGTGTAGCGATACCCAAGTTCACGTACGGAGCCGACATCTGGTTCAGACCTCTCTTCAAGGACAGCATAGGAGGGATGCAAAAAGGATCCAAAGGAATTGCAGATCGACTAACGACCGTCCAGCGGATAGCAGCCATCAGCATCACCGGAGCCATGCGAACTGCCCCAACAGACTCCCTAGAAGCACATGCCAACCTCCTCCCGATTGCCCTCCTAATGCAAAAGATATGTCATCGAGCCACAGTTCGACTAGCCTCCCTCCCGCAATCCCACCCGCTACACAAGAAACTCGTATGGATAGCTAATCACAACGTACAAAGTCATCGATCGTCCCTACATAATCTTCTTCACACCTTCCGCATCTTTCCAGGCGACACGGAAACAATAGACCCAGTCAAAACGACAACAGGGCCATCAGGGAAAAGTGTATATCAAACGAGGATAGCAAAGACGAAACAAGACGCGGTAAAGGAACAGAAGGACCTTAAAGACATCATCCAAATCTTCAGCGACGGCTCCGGTTATCGAGGTGGAATAGGCGCATCAGCAACTCTAATAAGGAGCGGACAGGACCCACGCACGCTAAGGTACCATCTAGGAAGCGACAAGGACCACACCGTCTATGAAGGTGAACTAATCGGACTCACTCTTGCAGCTCACCTCCTAGCCACAGAACGGAACATCACCTATCCAGCCTCAATTTTAGTAGACAATCAAGCAGCAATTCAAACCGGCGAAGTAATGGACAAGACAGGAAGCGGGTATATTGCGGATCAATTTGAACGACTAACTCATCGACTAGCCAAACGACAAGAAGCGCAAGAAGACTTCAAACTCACAGTAAGGTGGATACCAGGTCACGTCAATGTCGCAGGGAACGAACTAGCAGACAAAGAAGCCAAATTGGCTGCACAAGGCAGGAATCACAATAGCCCAACACGCCTCCTACCCAAATATCTAAGAGGACACCAACTCAAACGCAGCACAGCAGCGCTTAGAGCAGCCCAGAAAACAAAATCGCGCGACCAGTGGAAGACGCTCTGGGAGAAATCCCCCCGATACGCCCGAACATGCAACATCGACCCATCCATGCCCTCGGAGAAGTTTATCAAGCTCGTCGATGGACTACCTAAGCGCACGTCCAGCCTCTACATCCAATTCCGAACCCGACACATCCCCCTCAATCAGCACCTGCATCGCATCAACAGAAGTGACACGCCCCACTGTCCAATATGCCCCGGCACCAACGAAACGATTCACCATTACCTCTTTGACTGCCCCCAATACCGACATGAGCGACACACTCTCTCGAATGCTTTAAGACGTGACGCTACCTCGTTAGCATATCTTCTCACCTCCGACAAAGCAATTCCCCATCTCAGCCGCTTCATCAACAGTACCGGACGCTTCAAAACGACCTTTGGTGAGCTGTAAAAACACTGAATAATATACTACCATACCCTACATTAGACTCGACTCGACCTGCACATAACACCGAACATAACCAACATAATCAACAACAGCACCAACTCATGTACCACCACCACCACCACCACATACCATGTACCAACACCAACCACCAACCGAACTACTCCACGACGAAAGGAGAGCCGCACCTCCTGCGACACTGTCAACACCTCAGAAGGACCAGTAGAGACAAGTAACCCCAACCCGAACCAGTAGCAAATCCAGCATGCCGCGATCGAATCAAAACAATCGCAAGTCCATCTCGCCTAACATCATCTACTAACCTTCTTCGTTGCAGCTTCCTTTTGTGCTTACTTGCGTCATCCTACCAGATGGCGTGGGGAGTACGCGTTCGAAAACACAGTACGACAGTACCATATCACCAAACATATACGAGGGAAAAGCATATGACGAGAAATGTCCAACATAGGGTCTACGACCCCAAAGGACTCAATCTGATGCAAAAAAAAAAAAAAAAAAAAAAAAAAAAAAGTAATCAGCGTAAGTACTTGATGAAAGCTACATCCAAGCGTACCTTTTGCTTCGGTCAATGTATGGGTGAGCGGAATACATGAATTGCAAGATCAGAATATGCCAGATGTGGATGGCAACGCGGTTGTTGTAATACTGGCGATCCAATTTCGATACCGCAACATGCTCTTGAGGACAGCTATCTTTTCCACACACTCCGGATATCAAGAATTGCAGGCATTGCGAGAAAACGGGAGATCTGCAACACATAGCATCGATCTCCGACACTTTGTCTTTCAGGATCGTTCGAAAGGATCGTTGTAGCAGCTGGGTGACGTTACTACGAGAAGCTGTATACCCGGACGGACTTTCCGATACCCAGGTGATGCCCTGCCGGACTTCCATCATTTTGTTGTGGAGGAACGTTCCATTTGGTATGAGAAACTTGTCCCCGGACAACCGCACGATGGAGAATAGTCTCCGGATACCCCTATGCTCCATGGGGTCGGGGAAGGTCGAAATTAGATAGAGCAGTCGCGCATAGGCGTGAAACTGTTGAAGGAACCGTCGCATTTCATCGACCGTAAAAGCTCGAATATCTATGGTTCGAGAGAATACATGGTCCAGGCAAAGGAGAGCTGCTGGCTGGTTGTTCTGTTGATGGAAGCCAAGCGCAAGATTTCTCAACGGCTCGTGATTTTTGCGCAATATGTTTTGAAACATCGATATCTGGATATCGATCAGTCCAGCTGATCACTTTGAAACTGCTAATACGTACTAGATCACGTGTGGTCGGCGTTAGTGTGTTCGTCTCTAGTTGATCAGCAAGAGCTATGAAATGCTGCATCGGTTCAGCATTGGATTTTACAGTGATTCTGAAGGAACATTTGCGCCAAAAGTATTCCAATATAGTATCGGCCGCACGGACAGTAGAATCGACGTTGCTTTCGTCCTTGATGAATGCCCGGACAGCTTCCAAGGGCCTATTCTCTGACAAGTGGAGCTCTGCGACCTCATAGTACCTCGAGTGAGATTCGAGCAGTGAGGCACGAGCGTCATCGAGATCATAGTCCTCCAGAAATTCGAGTTCCTCATCAAATGTCGAGAAGAGGGGCAAGGGGGGCCTATGCAATTACTATTAAATAAAAATATTGTGGAGAGCTAAGACTTACTGAGCGTTGCTTCTGCTGCAGTAAAACAGTCTGCACACAGTCCATAACTCCGTCTTGGTCTCTTCAGGTATATCCGTGCCATGGTCATTAAGGACATGGAGGGTCTTGTCGAACCGTCCAGCCTTGCGATACCTTTTCGCTGCTTGCTCGAACTCTTGAGCATTGAGATAGGCCTTAGCAGCTTTGAGATCATTCCCTGCTCGAACGTAGCAACCCGCCGAGTTACGATAATACTGGAGCTTCTGGTTTCCTGTCGCGGTCGCCGCGCAATCAGTAAAGGCATCGGCGGCCACGTTAAAAGCTCTTTTTTGGTCGCTGAGTGAGGGCGCTCCGACACTAGAACGTGCGACTTCTCGTAGTTCATATGCTTCACAAACCTTCGCTTCACGATGAAGGTTGGCACGTTCGAAGCAGTGAATAGCCTGCGAGTAGCGCTTGTGCGAGAATAGTGAGCGCCCGAAGGACGCCCATTCTTCCGCAGTCGAGGAGACGGCTAGATGAGGGACATCTGTGCCGGGGGTACAATTCTGGATCTGATTGCGAGACGTCCAGAATATCTGAGGAGAACGGGTTATCAGATCGAGTTACGCCAACACGCTGCTCTAAACGTACACGCATCGGCTCCGATCTGTCAGATTTGTCAACAATCCATATGTTCTTCCTTGCTCGAGTGATCCCCACATAAAGAAGTTTGAGCTAATAAAAGTAAGTCGAAGTTCATTTCGAGGATCTGTGTGCCTACCTCGCTACAAACCCCAGCGTATCGCGCCTCGTCTCGTTCAAAGTTCGGTGCATATCCTTGACCGTCTACCCCGTTGAGAACCACGCGCCATCGCGAGAGATCTACAGCAGAATCCTCGAAAAAGTTGTACAGCAGCACCTGACCGAAGTCAGACATCAATCAGATAGTCAACTTAACTTTCTCACATCATTAAATTCTAGGCCTTTGCTCTCATAAAGCGTCCTGTATACCTATGTCAATAGGAAAACACAGAGCAAAGGTAGTCTTAATACGACTCACATAATTAGTCCAATTTGACCAACTTGGTCTCGTAACTTCTGACGTGCTGCATCGTCACGCACGAGAATGCCTAGATACCTTGTCAGTGTGTGAATGAAACCCCCAACCAATTACTCTACATTGCTCGGCTCCGAACTCAATGTGCTTGCCGCTGGAAGAATTCTCAGGAGGAAAATATGGGTATAGTCCAAGTCTGCTTACCTCTCCCCAAACAGGAACTGTTTATAATCAACGGCGTCTTTATCCCAACCAGTAAAAAATACAGGCTTCAGCCCGTCAACCACCCCCTTTTCTGGCCGAAGATTATCGATTGTGTTGGGCCAAAACTTTGTGATGAGTTCGATCACAGAACTTGCGCAGTTGACGATTCCACAGTGCGATCTGTAGTTGATCGCCAATTGAAACATCGCAGGCTGACGAAGACACGCTCCAGCGGAATTGACCGAGATATTTTGCTGCTGCTGCTGTAAGGTATCAATTCAGGCCCGAGCTAAGTCCCTGTCTGCTTACCTCAACACGGTAGAGAAACGCTTTCAGATCATCAAATCTGAAGGAACTCCCTGCAGAAATCGTCTGTGCGGTGTCCCCGGCCCAGAACAAACCGTCTGGATTCTTGCATAATTGCCTTAAAACTATAGCAGAAAGCTCTCAGGGGATTATGTCAACAAAGGATGGAGTAGCCACTTACAGAGTGCGTCGATCAGAAGGTTGTCTTGTGCTTCGTCGACATACCTGGTGCAGGTGGTCAGGCGCAAGATGCATTGGTGGGGGATAACACATACAAATAATCGATCTGTTGGACAGGGAACTTCTTGCTCCTGAAGACATGGAGTATTGCATGCGTGCTGTTTGGGAATATATCGTGACATTGCTTGGGTGAGAAGGGGAATAGGTCATACCGGTCTGCGACATCATGATGACGTCGCTGCCTCTTGATTTTCGTATAATACTCGAACATGTCGTACAGAATTCCCCTCTGATTCGCAAAATTTGGGTTAGAACGATGAGGAAGAAGGAGGTAGGTTGGGCGATCGAGAACTCTTTCAGGACAGGTCAATGCGTGTTCGGAGCCTTTGATGATTCCTGTATGTATATTCATAAATTTTCAGCGTCGATGTAATGCAAATAGCACACACCCATGAATTCGCTGAAAACCAACCACGGATCTGATGGGCAGTGTCAGTACTCTATTGTCGTCATAAGAGAAAAGGACACTACTGAGATTCTTGCTGAGATTCTGTGGAAAATGAGGCCAGTATTGATTTGCGAACACGTCATAGGTGACGAAACAGTCATGCGCGTCAGCATCGTCGACATTGAAGAAAGCTCCTGCACTATCTTTCTCGTCCAAGACATCTGCCGCGATCATTTTCGCCAGCTACATAAACGATTAGCTCTGGAACCGTCCGGGCGACAGATTGGGACGCACTCGATCGAAAGTTAGAAAAAGAGGAAAGTGTTTATCCTCAAGTCCGCTGTACCTCATCGGTATATTCATCTGTGATTCGGGCAGGTCGTCGAGATCAACAAGGCCCTCCTGAGCACTTCGTGCCTTCGTTTTTGCAAGTTCCTCCAGGGTATAGCCTGCTAATGCCAGAGATTCGAGAAGCTTCGCGAAATACTCTTCTACTTTCGTAGCGAGCACTCTGGATTTGGTGACGAAGATCTGGCGTGGCTTCGGCATGTCGGTGGCACTCATCTCCCAAGCTCGCTGAATGCCGAGAATCTTGAACAGCATCGTCGTGGTTTTTCTATTTGAGTGCGATAAATAAGCTATTCATATTAGGGGCAGGACACTTACCCCGTGCCGCTGCGACCCAAAACGTAACATGACGCGGTACACTCGACAATCTTTTGTTCTTGGGGTCTGCACAGACATTAATAAGAAAATGCGTCACATTGGGGCAGGACTCACGTGAGCATAAAGACGTGCTGTACGTCTTGGTTTGCGATAAGACCTTTTGGAAAGATAAGAGGAGGTGGCGAGCCAACTACATGATCACTCACTATGCAGGAACGCCTAAAATAAGAGGTTACCGAGTCAATATTTGCGTGTCTATGAATCGTATTTATATGCTTACTTGCGAGAATGTGACATATTTCTCCAAACTAGAAAATCGTTAGATGGAAACCAATTTGAATAAGGATGGCGAAAAATCGTACACGAGTAAAGTGTGAAGCTATGCCATGGATCAATGACTGTACAAATGACAACTGAAAGTACTCAACTCGGTCCATATCCTTATCACTAAAATTAAGTGGGCCTCCTGAGCATTCTGGCTCGGGTTCAGCTGATGGGAATGATGCAGGCAGAATCACGCCGTCTTTAGAAAGGACAGGTCTATTCCGAAAGATACACCTGCACAAGTAACGATTCACTGAATTGCATAAAGAGCCGAGAAAGTTTTTCACCTTCTACGATATTCTCTGCCCTTGCATGCGAGATGGCTACCCAAGGCATCCCATATGTTGCCAGGTTGTGCATGCGTATAAATACCGTATACCTTGATTACTGGAGTTCATATGAGTGCTAATGACGGACGGATGTAGTTGCTCCTGACAGTTCACCTTGTCTTTCGGACTGTCAGGACTCCAGTCTCAATATCATGCTCGATGCTGATGTAAAAAAGACGTACCTTTCCGTCCTGGTCAGGAACACAATCAATTTGGTACTGTGAGAAAAGGTCAGTCGTCTCCTGCTCTAATCAACGTATGTGAAATTACACTCACCACCAATTGTAGGTCCTTTGTGATCTTGGCATCGTAGATGGGTATGCCTGCATCCGGCCCGTTGAGTCGCTTGTGATTATCGTCTGAAAAATGACCATTCGATAGTTCTCTGTGGTAACGATGAGATCATTACAGCGAAAATCATCAGAAGACAGACTTGATCTTCCCGACGATGATCTTGAATATCTTCTTTTCTGATTCACGCAATTCACGCAAATTTTTGTAGGCCTCCGTAGATATGAGGATTCGCCACTCTCCGAACCCGTCCGCGTTCTCAAAGTAAAGCGCGGCCTTCATAGGCTGCACCATTTGGTACGCTTTGGGTCGGGTTGTTGGGCTCTCAACATCCTCGGTTGACGAAACCTCAGGCGCAACATCTTTGGCAGACTCGCCCACGTTTGGGAGGAGTAAGGCTTTAATGTCGCCTGCCAATTCCGTCCTCCGCAGAAGCGAGAGATAGAACTTACGGAGAGCTGTCAGGGGAAACGTCAAAAAGCAACGAATATACTCACCAAGAGAGCATTTTTCAGCTTCGTAAGAATGTGAGTAGACAATGATGCGGCAGCCTCGTTCGTGAGAGGCATAGCCACATCAAGCCTCAGGAAGAGAGATGCGTCGATAGACGTATGAGCTTTCGGGCGATTGCGCTTGCGCATTTTCTGAGGCACTTTCTTCTTGACGAATCCGTCATCAGATTCGTCGCAAACACCAATCTCGTCATCAAACGATCCTGCACCAGAAAATTTCATAGTGGTCAACGCGCAAAGTACAGGTAAAGCGTCCTCGACGAAGCCTCTGTGACGGGTGATGTCCCTAGAGACATCCGTCGCTAGAGACTCAGCTGGAAAAGCTAGAAAGTACATAGACAGGTTGTCTAGCATCGTTCTCGCAACGGATGTTGGATATTCTTGGGGTCTCCTTGGAAAATCTGTCATGATCTGTGAGATCATTGCCTCACGGCGATCCCAAACTGTTAATGAGTCAGAGCTGATGACGCTCAAAAAAAGTTTGTGAGATACCAGAAATAATATATGCAAAAACATAGGGTGACGACAACATATGCTTGACCGTAACTTGTAATGCGGTTGCTCCTGAACTTGAAACGATTGTGTCCAGATGATGCAAGGCGGTTCTGAGGCCTGCCTCGTTGACTATTCGATCTTTTGAGAGTAAGTCCAACATGGTCTGTTGAACAAGAGCAACTTGTGATGATGAAGTGGTTGTATGAAAGGCTGGGGATTAGACTTGAGCTGTGTCAACGGTACAAAGGATTCAGGAATGCCTCGAGCTTGAAGCGACTCCGCAAGCTAGGATGTTGTCCTTATATCGTCGAGCCAGCGCTCTGCCTGAATTTCCAAACAGGTTGAGGCGCAAATAGCACACCCCAAATCGATACCTACATGCAACCTGAAGCTATACATGAACGCTTGAGCGATAAACTTGGACCCTCAAATGATCCCACTGGCAGATTGAGACAAGAACACGACCCTTACGTAGGTGGGACTAGCCTGATGTGTAGGTCAGCATTCCGAAATAAATCGGCTAGGGCTAGGGTCACCTCATATCAGAATGGCGACAAAAAGTTGGCGTCTAGATTGATGGAAATAAGGTACAAGTCTCAGGCTGGACCTACGGAGCGTGTTGTGATAGAAGCAGACGAGTCACGAGAGGCGCAATATGTTAATTTTTCGGAAATCTCCTATAGCTTCATATATACATTTTATATCATACAAGCAAATATAATCCGTTGACCTTCAAATGTTTACTACGATGGATTACAATAAGAGATGCTCTGTACACTGTTGTCCTTCTCTTGCAAACACCGTTCGAAAATTCGAATGCCTCGTACTCTTCACCGACATCCGATACTTCCTTGTTGGGACTTTTCCCACGCCATAGGGTGTTGGGCATGTGTTGACAATACCAAGCGCAGCTGAGCGCTGATCACGGTGATCTCGAATTGATGATCCAGCACAGGCTTGCGAAGTTCATGAAACGCATGGCAGCCAATCCGCGAGTGTGGAAGGTCGTTATCAGTATGATGCACTTCAGGTAAGTTCAGACCATCTGTATGTCTCCCAGACATGTCCTGACCTCATGTTTACTACTAGTAGTACTATTAATCATCGTGTAAACCTTGACAGAACACATTGCGAAATGTCATGATCTATTCCTTGTCATGGTCGTCTAGAGGCAGATCGATACACACGCCGTGGTCAAGCAGACTGACAGAATGTTCATTAATTGGCACGATTCTGCAGATGAAAACTCGGCCGCAGCACCGCCGCAGCTGGAGACTTGGAGCATATAAAAAGTGAGCAATCACAGTGGGGCGAATGCCATCGAGATTGAGTGGAGCTCCGTGCAGCAACCTCCGCTTTGGTCGAAACGACTCGGACTATCAGGTATGCCGTATAGTATCTTTGAATTAGATCTCATTTTCATGAACGAAGGTGCAGCCTCGCATCATGGCAAATATTTTTCTTTTGTCCTTATCATCCTTGTGCACAGCCGTATCATATTCCCTCAACCACTCCCTACGATACTTCAAAGAACGCTGTATACATCGTCGAATTCTTCCCAACGTTCCAAACATCCATCGTCTCAGCCGAAAGTCTCATTCTTAATATCTGTCTTACTTTCGTCTCGATCTTTCATTCCCCTTCAAACTTGCATGTTCTTCTTGTGGGGTCGCAAATAAGACTTACATCTTCAAATCCTCACGTCGCGATTTTTGATGTTTCAGTTGATCACTCCACCTGTGCTGGTTTTGATTGGACCAAGTACTGTTTATCCGCTCTTGATATTCCATACTCTTGCCGTCCCATCATTGGATCCATCCACATGGCCACTCGTTCATTCAGTCCACTAATCGCACCCAATCAGTGTGTCCCGTCCATTTGGCGATGACCCTCCCGTCTCTACATCTCGCAATGTCACTATCCTACCAGTGCCTCCACTCGTAATAGTTTTGTCGTTCGGAGATAATGTTACGATAGTGAACACTAATCACAGATTTAGAGTCCCTTCATATTCTATCTGTAATACTCTCCAGGTTCATAGTTCAAGTGACCCATTCCACTTGAATCTGTGATGATGCGTCGTCCCCCAGGCAGGTGCACAACACCCTGTACCTTGCCAGGGAGACCTCTCATCGTCTGACCACTGGCATTTGTTACTTCATATTGGTCATAGAAGACATGGCTGATGTTTGACGTGTCACAGCTGATTGTGAACCGTTTTGGCTATTCATTGTTGGATTGTGCGTCTCGTTTGATCCATGCATCTATGCAGTGACCACAACTGAAATTCTGAACTCAGCCTCTGTATCCTTGAACAATCCAAGAATGTAGATCAGACTGTATGGGAGATGATTTGTCGATGAGGTAAAAAGATCATGAACCGGTGGAAATATCGCACGAACCATCAATTCTAGCTAGATTATTTGTGTATTTTGACATCAAAACCGCCTAGCTAGGCAATAGATCAAAGATGGGCGTACGCCGGGTGTTTGATTCAACTTTGATAGTTGTTAGTTGGCATGCGTATGCGAGAAAGATGGGTATCTCTCGTGGCTCTGTGAGCGATCCTCAGCGAGAATATCGGACTCGGCGACCGGAAGTTATATATCGGAGGTGGAACTCGACCGAACTTGTTAACTTACGTTGGCAACACCACCAAACGTACTACCGCTACGTACTACGGGCACGTAATCGGAACGACTAGGTCAACGACGACTTCATGCGCAATGGAAATGCGTTCGGATGAAGCCAGAGTATTGGTTATATACACAGGCGGAACCATCGGAATGCTCGTCAGCTCACGAGGTTACGTTCCTGAGCCTTATTTCCTCACCGATACCCTCCGGAGCCAAAAACGTTTCCATGATCCTTTGCAAGACTCCCTCTTCTCCAACGCTGCATCCGTAGAAGGTTATAGAGAGTGGAGCAATAGCGGAAAGTCCACTCCAGTCAGCACAGATAACGTCGCGACTCCGAGTGCATCAAATCAGCCCACCCTTCTCGTCAAGTCCTCCCGCCCGATTGGTAACACGGTTACCCTTTCTCCATCTATATTTTCGCAGATTCAGAGAGTGAATGAGCAACCAGAATGTCGAAATGTCGCTGATGGTGTCTATGAGACACGTCTGCCCAGTCTTGTAACTCCCCGAAGTGTCGTTCCTGGACACGGTCATACGAAACGCATACGCTATGCAATTCTTGAGGTCAGTCGTCCGTATATACTCATCGCTCAGCCAATAGCTTAGCAAAATCAGTGGAATCCACTGCTTGATAGTAGCAACATGGAAATGGACGGTGCTCGTCTTTTACACTACTCTTAGGTTTCTCCCATTCACAATCTTGACTAGGACAGATTGGATCCGCATAGCTGCAGAGATCGAGCTAAACTACACTTCTTTCGATGCATTCGTAGTATTACATGGTACCGATACCATGTCATACACTTCCAGCGCACTCAGCTTCCTGCTCGAGGATCTCGGTAAAACTGTTGTACGTCTTGCATCCTTCAATAATATGATCAACCTCATGCGACGAGACTAGATCCTCACCGGAGCTCAAATACCTCTCTCACAACTTCGGAACGACGCTGTCGACAATCTTCTTGGCGCACTGTCTATTGCAGGCAACTATATCATACCAGGTAATTCTAACATTTTTATCATGCAGCTGTAGTTTATTATTCGTTCTAGAATGCAGCTTGTATTTCAATCACACCTTGTACCGCGGTAATAGAGTATCAAAGGCCTCTTCATACGACCTCAATGCCTTTCATAGCCCTAATTTTCCCTCTCTTGTGAACGGTGCGCGAACACACATATCGTCCTCACAATGGTCATAACGTTTTTTTTAGTTGGAATAGATATAGTTGTTAATTGGAATGACGTCCTACGTCAGACAAGCCTTCGAAGATTCAGAGCCTACAAAGGAAAGCGTTAATATTTCTACTCCTTCAACAATATCACTGACATCTCCCAAAGAAATGAGTCCCCACGTCGGTAAGCACTTAGCCTACAGGACACATTTTCATCTAACCTGACACTTTCCAGCAACCCTTCGTCTTTTCCCAGGCATGACAGGTGCCACTGCTCGCGCATTTCTTGCCCCGCCGACACGTGGTATCGTTCTAGAGACATTTGGTGCTGGAAATGCTTCCCAACGTCCAGATGTCCTGGCTGTATTCAAGGATGCATGTGATAGAGGCGTCGTCATCGTTGCTATCTCTCAGTGTATCAAAGGGTCTGTATCAGGTGATTACGAAACAGGACAAACACTAATTCAAGCTGGTGTCGTTCCCGGCGGGGACATGACCCCCGAGGTGTGTCATCTTTTATATAGTTTTTATTCTAGTTGACTGACTATCGGAAAGTGTGCTCTTACCAAGCTTAGCTACCTTCTAGCAAAACCCGAACTTACCGCAGCCGAAGTCCGCTCACTTATAAGTCTTCCTCTAAGAGGCGAACTCACGCCACCGGTGCCATCTCTGGCTGCGGCGCCGTCATTAGATGGTGTGAACATAGACCTGTCTGGACTGCTTTCTCAATTCGTTCGTCTCTCTTCATCTGCACCGAAGGCAGATATCCCTCAGATTGTGATCGGAGAAGAAGCGCAGGACGCTGCAGCTCCGTGGAGTCGTACTGCCGCAGAGCGCGCGAGTACAGAAGCTGCGCTCTTACCGTTTCTCGTGCATCTTGCTGTTGCGCGGGATGACGTCGAGGGACTTGAGTTCTGCATTACTTCAGCAGGCACAGCCTCGTATTCCGGTATGACTGAGGGAACGGCAGAAGTTGTCGTACCAGGAGGTATCGTAAGTTGTCTAGATGCGGGAAGTGGACGGAGTCCTTTACATGTCGCGGCATTAAACGGGAATATGAGGTGTGTCGAGAAATTACTAGAGAGCGGTGCGTTAGTGCATCTTAGGGACGGATTGGGACACACTGCCTTGTATTATGTGAGTGTCGTGTAATTTACTTCGGGTTTGAGTGGCTGAGGTCAGCAGGCTGCACGTCAGGGCCATGGTCTCATTGTCGACACACTTGTGAGCGCAGGTGCGAATCTTGGGGGGATGGAGAACGAGGCTGGTTATGTGGGACTTGCAGTGCAGAATGCAATTAATGCTGGAGATGAAGCTGTGGTAGAAATTTGGAGACAGGCTGGCGCGAAAATTATGGATTAGTTTTTAGTTGAGAAATTTTCTCTGCAACCCTGTGACGTTTCGTTCGTTTCGTTATGTACATGGTTTAGTCGTCTGTAGACGTGTTGGAGAGACTGATTCTGATGATACCGCGGCCAGGATTGCATCTGCGGATCCGGTCAAATCTCAGCCCGAAGCTAGCATCCTGTATCGCCGCGCTAACACCAAGTACAACAGAGCGTAGGGCTCAAAACCCGTTTTGTCCTTCATGTAAATATGCGTTTCCGGTTCCGGCATCTTCGCTGAATGTCACGACACACGTGACCGACGCGTCGTGGGATCATGTTTATTTTTATTTGTCTTTAAGAGGATAGCACGCCTCGTGTTCCCCACAAAAGGGTCTTTCACACCTTTCACATTTCCCTTGGACCGGTCAGTCCGCCTTATATAAAGGTCTGAGTTCCGCTGGCGAAAAGATTGGGGCTGACCTTCTCTTCTCTCTATTTCATCTTGCAGCTGGTCATCGCTGGAAGATTCTAACCCCCGCTACCTCTCTCATACCCGTCTTTGGACTACTTTTGCACAACGATCAGATCAGATCACTGATTCCCGGGTTGAAATTCGGGTTCGAGTCAAGTTCGAGTCGAGAAAATCAGCACCATGGCTTTAACGATGGCAGCACACCCAATACTAGTCAGAGACCACGCATCGCGCGTAACACGGGCGGGATCCGTTTTCGCCGACACAACCAACTTGCACCGTCGTATCAAGTCTTCACCATCGACGAAGCACCATAACGTTCTTTTCCCATTCTCCTCCCGCCCGTGCAAAGCCCCACCCACCCTTTCCCTTTCAGCGACATGCGCTAGCTCCTCGCAGTCGCGGGCGCTCCTACCATCTCCCCCCGATCTACCGGATGTCCGGAGTGTCATACCCTTCCCTTCCACGTCACCCGCAGATGATGTCGCTAGCGTAATGGATGTTCAAATGTTCGATGGGACAACCGATAGCGTTGATTCGCAGTCTTTCCCATCAGCTCTGTTTTCATCCTGTAATGGCACCGCCTCTCCGTGCTCTGCGCAAACCCGTCTTCGGAAACGGCGATCCCAAGCTATTGCCACGCTCTCCCAGCCATCGAGTCCCAGACGGGATAAAAAGGCCAAGTCAAGGGAGAGTAGCAGGTCCGGGAGTACAGACCCTGTTGTGCGCAAGCGGTCGCGTAAGAGTTGGCGCCAAGTCGCGGACTTGATGATCCTCGCTACCGTGCATCGCAGCCTCGTATCGAACTGCAGTACAGATCCGTGGGACTGTGTTCAGGGAGAGGATGTTGCGCCAGTTGATGCACAGACCCTTGAGGGGCAAGATGTGCTCCTAGCACGCAGGATCCAGACACGATTAATTGAACATGGATGGTCATTGGTAACTGATGGCATCCCAGAGATGCCTCGTGATCATGATGCGTCTATTCCTTCTTCCGCGCAGGCAGAGTCATCCCAATCTATACACTCCGACACAGTCCTAAACCTCCACAGCCTATCATCTGACACGCTCTCACCACGATCATCCCCACCGCCCACAAGCGCTCCTATGCCCTCTGTCCTCACTATGCCTCAGCTCGTCGCCACATTGATGATGCGAAATAACGACCGATGTAGCACGCGTTCGCGCTCGAGCTGGAAAGCTCGCCGTGCTGATTCATCTTCTGGCCATTTCGTCCAGCGGAAGTCGTCCCTGTCTGTGGCTTGTAGCTAGCAGACTTGTGCGTGCTGGCTTCCCTGATGAAGCAGAGATTGAATCTCCGCTGCCAGGCATTGTATCATGCTGCTGATGCATCGTATATCTTCGCCGCGGCCACGATGCATCGTACCTTTGCCACGATGCTTCACATCATTTGCCACGAGGCGTCATATATTTGGGATGAGGCATTTATCTTTTTTATGTATTTTCACGACGTTTAACGAGCGCTACGACACGTCATACTGTGTATTGATAGTCATCTAATTCTTCGCGGAACGGTGCTTGAGTACATGTACCGCTAATTTCTGGTCTTGCTTGCGAGATCTACGTAGTGCTGTGCAACGATATTATGATCGAGATAGAATTTTGGTCCGATTGAACTCTATTTTTATGCTCGTGAGATGGGCGCAGTCAGAGTCGAACACACGATTTCGGATTTGCAACAGCTTCGGGTAGTGGCGCTCAGTGGCACCCCTACATCACTGAAAACCAAGATCTATGATAAACCCTTATATACACATTATAATCCCAACAATGTGTATAATCGTATAAAATATGGCAGTGCAGAAGCCATAGTCTTGTATAGAAATATATTGTTATCCCTTGCGACCAATCTTTATCATGATTACCTGTGCCCGGCATTAGTTGAATGAATTTGGCTGTGTAAAAACTCAAATGGATTGATAAACACGCTAATTGCTGAAAACAAGATATATATGTGTAGAACGCTATCCCCTATGACCAATAATCATCAAGATGGTTTTCATTTAGCATTAGCTGCATGAATCATGTTGTGACAGTACTAAAACTGTACTGAAGTGGTGAAGCATGTTCGAAAAAGTGTCTCTCATTTAGCATTTCTAGCACAGAGGCTCTCCTGTCCAATAAGTAAAAGAGATGGAAATTCTTGCCATCTGTACCATCATATGGACAATTGTTTCATTGGCATCATGGTATTGCGGGTTTTATACTTGATTGGCCAGGAAGTCACATTGGGTTGTATAGGATTATACAGAGACACTCGGTACAATACATGTAGTTTATCAATGCCTCGCCAATTCTCTACCCTAATCTCATCATCAACACCATCTGCAGGAACAATAACATGGGTTGAACCACAACAGATATCGTTAGTGCCTTGAAGTCCAATGAAAGCAAGGTGTCGCGGCAACTTGACACTATTGTTTCCTTATGCAAAATTTGCACTGCTCAAGTGGTTGACTGAGTTTGGCGGTGCCAGTGTACAATCAAGCTCGGCGGTGCCAGTATAGGATCAAGTTTGGCGGTATATAATCGAACTCGTGGTACCATAGGATGTAACAGGATCGAGTTCAGCCATAGGATCGAGTTTTTGGCCATGGAATAGAAGTTGGTCGCAGGGATCAAATCCAAATATGAGATCGAGTTCAGCCATATCATCGAAGACCAGTCATCCTTAGACAGAAACATAGACCACGACATGACATATCCTGTTGCCAGACCATGTAGTACAGTGCGACTTTCTGGATGGCATCCTGTCGAGAAACTTGCAGGAAGTAGCGTTAATGAGTGATTGAAGGCAGAGTAGGTGATAGTGGGGATTGTAAATAAAATCTGAGTCGGATCCTTACTTATCAATGACCGGAAGATATGCTCGGCCGGTGGTGACTGAGGTCTTGACCCTTCCCAAGGGAGTTGTACCTCGTTCGTTTTGAGATCCGGTGGTCAAACTATTTCAGAATAGGAAAAGAGAAGGAGCAGGGTCGGAGCCGGGTAAGGCTGCGAGCTTCGGCGTCAGTTGCAGACAGCTAAAACCAACAGAGATAACGGCAGTTTCGAGCATCGGTCGAGGACACATGGCCAATGTTGACTTTGAAGAAAGGCCAAAATGCAGAATAGGTTTCAAGTGGGATTGAGGGATCATCCAGACCACCATTCACTACTGCCCGATCCCAACAACCGCCAGTGCTTAGCGCACATGCCCAGCACATGTCAGCAAATGCTGACGTGGCTCGAACATATGCGAACCACACCGGAAGGCGCCAGAATGAGAGGAGTGGAGGAGGGCGAGAAGGAGATGAGGGAGAGGTAAGTTTAAGTCTTGAGTACCTATGGAAATGAGGTAGTTAGCAGCATAAAAATGCACAATACATATTACACGCACCTCTGCAGCTTAGAGAAAGGTACCCACAATCCCTCGGCCGCGTTCAACACCATCAATCTCCAGTAAAATGTCACAGCTCATTCCAAGCACCACATCCCTTCGAGCTTTTGACAGACCGGCAGTGCCTGTTCGAAAAGTCGGCTCAATGTCGAGTAAGAGATGTTAGGACCTCAGAAGCGAAGAAGGATGGCACTGACTGCGTCTTGAGATGAATTGTTGAATCAGAAAATATGACAATGACAAGCAAATGTAGCGAAGCCATGGAGGACGAGTGCAACTCACAGTGGTGTGTGTGAGTTTTGTGTCTAGAATTTTTGAATAGATCAGCGCCATATACGTTGAGCGTATGCCTACAGCATCGACGTCTTCCTATCATTCTGCACTGCTATATAGTATTAAGCAATTTTTACGCATGAATGCAAAAACTATACCACCAGCTTAGAATTCGACATACTGTTAAATTAATGTGTCGAAACGACAAACAAGCTCACGGATCAGGAAAATGATGCTTGATAAGTAGGCCAATACATGGGCATATAAGGACAACACAGATTTCGCCAACCTTATAAGGTAAATATTGTCATACCGGGTTATCCGGTTTTCAGTGATGTACTATGCACCTAAGTTTTTTTGTTTTTTGTCTGCTTTGTCTGGGTTATAGTATAAATGGCAACAGGTAAGTACTAGTACTCCATCAACTGAGAACTGATGCATCGGGCTCTACTTGTTTCCGATGTCCTCTTGTACATATTCACATACGTGGAACAACTACCGCCTACCATCTACACGCCATCCGTCACGGCGTCTCCGGGTCAGAAATGTCTTGCATCGCTTGCAGCAACATGCAATGCCTTCTACGAGCTCGCGATGGACTTGCTGTGGGCTGATATATATGGGGTAAAGCTACTACTAGGCTGTGTAACGAGGCTACATCCACTGGTGTATAGTTCATTGGTGAGTCTAGACTACTTTCATTCTGTTTACTTCTTTTCGTTCATCGGCTGACCGACTCAACCTCTACCAAATAGTGGAAGTGGGGCCCACAGCCAGCAGGCGTCGAACCATTATCTGCTGACGAGGCCCGTCAATTTTTGCGTCACTCCACTCGTGTTCGCTCATTGGTCATAGAACTCTCTGACGATGGCGCTGTTCCACTCCTCTCGGTCATCCCCGCCGACGTATGCCTCTTCCCGAGGCTACGGGAGTTACGTCTTTCGGGTTCCAAACATTTAGAGCTATTCCTGTCCCACACCCTGCGCGATTGTTATGTATATTACGATCCAGAGGAAGTGATTCCTGGTACTGCTTTGCTGAATTTATCTATGCAAACAAAAATCTTGACAATAACACAGTAGATCAACTGCCCAAGCTGTCTGACCGTATCCGTTTGTGCAATCAGCTCGTAACTCTGTCTTGTCCACCCCTCGACTGGGCAACATGGAAGCACCTTTCCACCCTCCCTACCCTGGTGAAAATCGAAGTTCGTAGCAGTCTTGGCGCCCCTCCTTGGCTCGAGGAACAGCATATCTCACCATTCCTTTACCTCACGTCTCTTTCCTTTACGGACAGCAGTGCTGCATACGCGACCACCGTGCTGCAACACATGAAATTCCCCTCATTGGAAAGTTTCTGGATCGGTGTGGAGACTTTGGCTTCGACAGAGGTTGAACCATTTTTTCGCGCACTATCCCAATGCAAACAGACACTGGAAACACTCACTATTATGTGGGAGGAATACAACGACCCCCAACGCAGGCCTTTAACAGCGATCCCACATCTCCTTTCCCTTTCCTTCACACAGCTCCGAAGTCTGCGACTCCGTAGTTATGATTCCTGCATCTACCTTGACAACAACGTTCTCTTGGAAGTCATGTCAGCTTGGCCGCACCTCCAAGCTCTGCACATAGAAGAGTGCGCTATCTCTCCTTCCGTTACATTCCACGGACTACTCACCGCAATCCGTCAATGTCCTCAGTTGGAAGCGTTCGGAATGTTAATTGACACTGTGAATATCGACGTCGATCCTGATGCTGAGCCCATACAGCATGCCTGCTTGCAAACGTTGCGGTTGGAAACACCCGAGTCTCCCACAGGAAATGCTGAAGCTATCGCTCGCATCATTTTCGATTGGCTCCCTTGGGCCATCAGAGAACCTGTGAGAAGAAGATATCGTCATATATCGTTATATATCGTAATATATAGGAAAGGTTTTCGTCACATTGTAATATAAAGTGATATAAAGCAATATATGACCATGTAAAAGCACCATAATCAGCATAATCCCCAGCAAGAACTCACCGGTTTACTGATGCTGTGTCTACCAAGTTGCCCAGTACATAGGTGAATCGGATTGGGATGAAGTTAATGCACGTCTCGCGTCATTGTTATGTGACTGCTGCACTGCATGATATAGCTTGAATACCCGACTTCGATATGGATGTCCGAGAGTGGCTACATTCATTTCGTTTCGTGTGCGTTGGTGTCTTTGTTGGTATCATGTTATGTTAGAGCTTGTACAATGTATAGATTATTGCAGGAAGGCGATTTAGACTGGCCGTACAATATATGGACGTAGTACATCATGCATCATGATGATGCAGGTGGTTTTTACTCGTGATTGTTCTCTCCTTTCTCGCGCTGTCGATCCACGGACCACAATGGATCATGACGGAAGTTCCCGAGCGGCTGTTGACGATGTCTTTGCCCACCACCACCGATGTCGTGCTCGTCGACACCATCCAGCTCACGGCAAACATCGGCGCAGATTGCTGGGGACGCTTACGCGAACAGCCCGTCTCTATCACCGTCCACCTGCATCTCAAGCCCTCCTTCCTTGAGATCTCCGGCCAGTCTGACAATGTCCTAGACTCCATCCACTATGGTCATCTCACCAAAGCTGTCTCAGCGCTCTCGACATCTTATACTGATGTTCGTGCACTCGTGCATGAGGTCACTCAGAAAGCGTTCGCTCTGGCTGGAGAGAATGTGGACGCCGTGCGCGTCGTCGTCGGCCTTCCGAAACAGATTTTACTTGCGAACGACTTTGAGATTGAGGTGGTTACACCGAGGGGCAAAGACAGTTTGCAGCAGGCTGCAAAGGTGTCTGTGAAAGACCTTATCATACCCGTGCTGATTGGCGTCAATCCCCCCGAACGCCTAGCAAAGCAGAGGGTGATCACGAACATTACATTCTATGAGAAAGCTGGTATGCACGAAGTAGACTACCCTGCAATCATCAAACAGATATCAGAGGCACGTATTCTCTCTCTTCCATTGATTGCTGAAGAGTGACGATACTGAAGATCACCATGACAGGAAATTGAAAACACTGCGTACCTCACGCTCGAGAAATTCGTCCTGCACATCGTCCGCAGCTCATGCCTCGCATCTGATGCCATCGAAGCTGTAACAACACGATCACAGAAGCCTAGTGCACTATCTTTCGCTCACTCTTCTGGTGTCGAGATGACCCGGTACCGCGATGCGTTCCAAGGATTGCAGTAAACCCGCGTAGGAAATGTGTGTAGCCGATCTCGAGTAGCATGACCCACATACTCATGCATGTCTGAACAGCCAACATGAAGGCGGGTATTGAAATGCGATCATTGATTACCTCAACGCTAGTAAGGTATATTATCCCAAACTGTTGCACGCATGATTGATTACATTATTCATCTGAAGAGCGCAATTTGAAAAATACAAGATCGGGTTTCTCAAAGCAAACATCACGAACTCTCGCCGATCTTATAGGCGATATTGAAGGAGGAAGCATTGAAACAGCCAGATTCAAGCACCGCAAATCACAACAGCATTTCCGCTAATTAAACATCTACACATACCATTTCTGATGTGCTGAATGTAGTGAGAGGGCTAGCCAACTTAGAGCTCCTCCGGTGATAGAATAAGGCACTCGAGTTTTCTTTTGGCACCTCCAGGACAGGGCTCACGGAAGAAAGCACCTTCATTTCGCTCGTCCACTGTGACTTGAAAGGATACCTAAAAAATTGTGATTACTTTCACATGTGAGACCAACCGTCTTCAACAGAGGTAGTTCCTACAATGGAACAGTGTCTAATAAAAGACAGCTACACTACGCCAACTTCATTTGACGCGGATTCGTCTAGAATCCAGACCAAAGTCGGAGCATAAATAGTGCAATCGGCACCACTGTGCAATCTCCAAGTCCTTGTCTGTATCGCTTAGCACTCCATCAACGTACTTAGAACTGATGCATCAGGCTCTACTTGTTTCCGAAGTCCTCCTGGACATATTCGCACAAGTAAATCAAATACCATCTACTGGGAAAAAACCATTGTCTTGGACGTCTCTTGCATCGCTTGCAGTGACATGCAAAGCCTTCTACGAACCCGCGATGGATTTACTGTGGGCTAAAGTAGATCGATTGCAACCATTGCTGGGTTGTGTGAGCAGGCTACATCCACTGATATATCATCGCAGCCGTGCGCCGGTGAGTGCAGACTAGTCCCGACTAACCCCGCTCTCTTCTTTTTTTTCGATCATTAGTTGACCGAGCATCTAATAATCAAATATGTAGTGGGATGACACCTGGGCAGAAGGCATCGAGCCATTGACTGCCGACGAGACCCATCAATTTTTGCATCACTCCGCCCGTATTCGTTCATTGTGCCTACCATCTACTGATCGCCTTTTCCCGCTCCTCTCAGTAATCCCCATCGAGCCATGTGTCTTTCCGAGGCTGCAATCGTTAACTCTTTTCTCTAATACACGTATGGGCCTATTCCTGCCCCACACCCTACGTCATTGTTCTGTATTTTGCCGTGAATGCAGATCCGCTGAACTCTATTACAGTTCCTGGTGCTGCTTTGAAGCACTTATCCATCAAAGCTTTCGACAAGAACACAGCAGATCAGCTGTCCCTGCTGTCTGACCGCGTCCGTTTGTGCAAGCAGCTTGTAACTCTATCTTGTCCATCCCTGGACTGGGCAGCATGGAAGTACCTCTCCAACCTCCCTACCTTGGTGGAAGTGGGAATTCGTGAGGTGTGCGGCTATGGCGCCCCTCCTTGGCCGTTGGATCCGCACATCGTCGATTTCTCACCATTTCTTAATCTAACGGCTCTCTCCTTCACGGTAGAGAGTGCTGCATACGTGACCACAATCTTGCAGCACTCACAATTCCCCTCGTTGAAAAAATTCTGGATCATGATCGAAGTGATGTCTTCGGCAGAGGCTGAGCAACTCTTTTGTGCGCTCTCCTGCTGCAAAAAAAACCTAGAACAACTCACTGTTGTCTTGAACGAATATAATGACCTCCAACACAACTATTTGAAAGCAATTACACATCTCCTTTGCTTCACACAACTCCGATTTCTTCAGCTCGATTGTCTTGATTCTTGCATCTACCTTGACAACAACCTTCTCTTGGAAGCCACGGCAGCTTGGCCACACATCCATACGCTGAAAATAGAGGACTGCGGTATTCATCCTTGCGTCACATTCCGCGGACTATTCACCGCAATCCACCAATGTCCACAATTGGAATCACTCCGAGTGTTAATTAACACTGTGAATATTGACATCGATCCCAATGCTGAGCCAACACAACATACCTCCTTACGGACATTGGACTTGGAAACACCCGAGTCTCCCATAGGAAATGCTGAAGTTCTCGCTCGCATCATCCTCAATTGGCTCCCTTGCGTCGACCAAGTTAACAAAGTCGCGGATGATTGGGAGCCTTGGGATGAAGTCAACGCATATCTCACATCTTTGAGAAATGTGCGGCGTGTTATGGGAGATGCCTCGAGTACCTGATTTCAGTGGGATATGTTCATGTTCGGGATCATCCTAGAGTTGCTACAATCGTTCGCGTCAACTCGTTCGTGTCGTTGTTGGTATGGTTGCTTTTACCTATGGTTGCAAATTGTTTTATCCCTTCCGACTGTTAAATTGCTTACACGGGTCTTCACACCTTTCCGTGAAACATCTTCATGTGTTATGATCTACGTAGTACAGTACTATGTAATTCGAAGTGTGATGATATGATGATAGTAGAACTTACTGTATACCTCTACACTAAAAAAACTCTGAGGGTGGATCCTCCGAGGTTCATCAGCGCTGAGCACTGTCTCTCGTATGATATATTCATTCCCAGCGATAAGTATTCGACAAATGAAAAACCATCTGCCTCGATAAAGGTACAGATCTCATTACGTGTACACTTATCACGATAGTCCACCCTGTGAGGAGCCTCTATCCGCGTTGGCCGTCCTGCGGCACCCAAGAGCGGCTGAACTCGAGGGAAAAAACCCTTCAGCAATGGATTGGAGGCAAAGAATGCAAGTTTGCCAAGACGCTGCGGTTGTCCACCCTCTACGTAGCACAAATATATCGATCGTATATAACTAACCAGGGATGCCACAGATAAGATGCTCATGTAGCCCTCCAGACTATATACGATGAGATTAACCACTTGAAAATCTGCAAAGAATCGTCACGCTTCGCAGCCTGGGTCAAACGCTACTACATACCTTTCCCTCGAAGGTGACGAGAAGATCCGTGAATCCGGTTCTTGCCCGTAAGCTTTTCCTATAGGAGAAAAATACATTAATGTTATGTGTTCTAGTGTGAGGACACAGACGTGAACAATACGGCCCATAACCTCATCTGATGTGAATCCAATGCGAGGAGTACCCGTGGTGTGGACTATAGCACGCATATAAAAAGTCAAAAGATGTAAGAAGCACATCGCACATCATCCTAATCTGACCCAACAGATGACGAGGGCGTTGTGCAATGACTACTACCTGCACCATTATTGTTGAGAGGGCTCATGGTGGTTACAGCGATTGGATATCGAAACGAGAGCAGTCGTGCCGGATATGTGAAGCTACAAGTTGATGAAAGTGACGGTCGTCTTTTGCGAGGTGCATCGTGCACGGTGGGGCCGATAAGGAGTACGAGGCTTTATACTCAGCCCTGTGCACATCTCTGATGCTGAGTGGGTTGGTCTAGGAAGTGGAGAGGATTGGATAAGCATGTACTCGATGACGGTTGAGACAATGTCATGAGGAAACCAGTCCAAATACTACAAGCTACGATCAGAACATTGTGAGAAGCGGGTCAGCAAATATGCAAGGACGATCACTGTACTGACATTCAAGTCTTCGCTCCTCATCTTAGCTAATCGACCTCTCACCTGAGCTATCAGCGTGGGTGGGCTGACCATCAGCGTCAGGATTTACAGCGCACAAGGACAGTTCAGCACGACTTCTTCGAACGCATTCAAAAAATATCTTGGCCACTCAACTGTAGTTTGTCTCAAGGAGGCAACCATGAATTCCACATCGACAAAGCTGTTCTATGCGGAAATACGATCCTGACATCAGTAATGCCGTCGGAAGATGATATCCCTGGTATCACAGCCATATCTTACTTCCCCAATAACCGTGATGACGCTTATAAGAGGGCAAAAAGGTTGAGTAAGTGCGGGATGTCTGCAGGGCAAAGAGACGCCGGTGGCATTATCAACAGATGGTCGATGCTGCTGGCGATCGTCCATCTGCAGAGCTTTGGAAGATTGAAACGGAAACGGAGATTGTGAAAGCATTTCGAGAACACTCGCTAGAGGTGAGCTGCACACATATCTCTGCGGACAGCACGCTACTGGTGAGCGGCTCAGATAAATCCTCATCATTAATATGGAGCTTGGACACTGTGGAACTCGTGATTGCCAGTTAGTCCTACGAAGTGAGGAGACTCAAATGGCTTTCCCACGGGACGGCTGTCGCTTGTATTCTCACGGTGCGTCCTTATACTCGTACACCAAGCAGTGAGCCCACATCGATAAATAGCACGTAGGCAATGTTTTTAGACCTATTTTTGAGTACTGACTCTACCCTAGTGATGCATCAGGCTTTACTTGTTCCTGAAGTCCTCCTGGAGATATTCACCCATGTGAACACAATACCATCTACTCAAACAACAGAAATATTCGGTCATGTAAACACAATACCACCTACTCAAATAACATCGACGCTTGCAGCGCTTGCAAGGACATGCAAAATCTTTCACGAGCCTGCGATGGATTTGCTGTGGACTGACATCCGTGGGTTAGAACCACTGCTAGGCTGTGTAACAAGGTTACATCCACTGATATATCGTAGGGGTACAAGGGTCAGTGCACGACTTCATTACGCTTTGTTCGTTTCTTTTCGGCTCACAGAGGATCTACATAATAGTGGGACAAGCCTTGGGCGAAAGGCGTCGAGCCATTATCTGCCCATGAGGCCCATCAATTTCTGCGTCACTCCTCCCGTATACGCACATTGAATATACAATCTGACGATCCCCACCTTCTCTCTGTCATTCCCGCTGAGGCATGCGTATTTCCGAGGCTGAGGTCGTTAAGTCTTTCTACCACATATTTAGACCTCATTCTGCCTCATATGCTGCACCAATGTCATCCATTGACTGTCAATGAGGGTCTGCGATCTTTTGGGACACGTTGTATTGCTTTGGAGCAATTATGCATCTATCCTGAAAGGCGCGATGATGGCTATATGTCAGATGAGCTATCCCTGCTATCCGATAGAATTCGTTGGTGCACACGGCTTGTAACTCTGTCTTGTCCAATGCTCGACGGGGAAACATGGAAGGACCTCTCCCACGTCCCTACCCTTCTCAAATTGGAAATCGATCAAGGGTATCCTTATAATGAGCCTCCTCCACTGTCAAAACAAGATATCGTGAATTTATCATTCCTTAATATCACGAGCCTTTCCTTTCGAGAGCTGGACGATGGTGCAGAAATCATCACACTCATACAACACTCGCAAATTCCCTCACTGAAAGAGTTCAAGTTTGAAGCCAACTATCTGGTTTCAGAAGAGGCCGAGCGACTCTTTCATGCTTTGTCCCACTGCAAAGCGTGTCAGACTCTAGAAAAAAACTCCATTTTTTTGTTTGATGAACATTTACCGGAACCCCTAGACGATGAGTCTTTGACACCAATTCCACATTTCCTTTGCTTTACACAGCTTCGAACGCTGCAGCTCAAGTGTCATGATTCCCGCATCTACCTAGACAATGACATGCTCTTGCAAGCTATGTCTAGTTGGCCGCACATTCGCACTCTGGAAATTTGCGACTCTGATGACCATGTTCCTACTTCCGAAGTCACCCTCCACGGATTATTCACAGCGCTCAGTCTATGTCCACAATTACATAGACTACAAGTTCCAATCAATATTGCAACTATCGACATCGATCCTGATACTGAGCCAATACAACATACCTCCCTACGATCATTGACATTGCAGACATCAGAGTCTGAAATAGCAGATGCTGAAACTCTCGCTCGCATCATTTCCACCTGGCTCCCTTGTGTCGACCGAGTTCAAAGCATGCATAGGTGTTGGGATGAAGTCAACAAGCATCTCAAATCTTTGACAGCGGCTAGTGCGCTGTATGTCGCGGGAGCCTCCTAGAATACTTCACGTCTGGGAATGTTGTTACATACCTTTGCAAGTTCTTTCGTTAGTTTGTTGTCGTTGTCGTCGCCATTGACTGTAGTTATAAACTGCTGTAGTACCTCAACGTACTTAACCGCCAGCAAGAGAGCTTGCCGGTTCACTGATTAGTATGATCTCCAATACAATTATTGGAGATTTGGAGTCAGGCGGGGTCAAATCACCTTCTATCACTGCATTCTTCATCATATATACATCTACTTTATCATTTCTAGTCACCCTGTTCCATGGTCTGCCCTGCCGATTGAGTCTCTTGTCTATTGGCCGTGTAATGGATCTGCTGACATGCTATCGCAGTGCATCCGCCTTCTACCTTTCGGAACCACTCGCTAGAGGTGAGCTACATACATATCTCTGCGGGCAGCACGCTACTGGTGAGTGAATCAGAGAAATCTTCAGTGCATATATCATTAATATGGAGCTTGAACGCTGTGAAACTCGTCGTGGTTGACTTGGTCCCACGAAGAGACTCAAATGATAGCTTTCCCACGATACAGCTGTCCCTTGTGTTCTCATGCACATGGTTCATCCTAATAACCTAATACTTGAATAGTATTATTGCAATGCTAAGCACCCTTGCGCTCTATCACCCACAATATCACAGCAGGTTATCACTTTGGAACCCTCATGGCTATTCAAATCGTTCGCGTCTCATCACCATTCCTGTCACGCTTGTTCCGTCAAATTTTGTGGCGTCTCAGTTGTCGTCACGCTTCCGAGTCCGTGTTAAAACTGGTTGTACCTGGTCCACGGCAGAACTCATACGAAGGAAGGGTGGCAGAACCCAACAGAACCTGGCAGAACTCCGATATAATTTACATTTGACGACACAATTTGAATTCAATAAAACATCATAACCGACGTCCCTCGAGTAAATGCTGGAGGATGCCCCCTCGTAGCCACTGATCAACACAATTTCAAATGCCCGGAACGAATTGAGAACAGCTCGAATCGCTACTAGTACTTACTACTGGAAATGCAAACATTGCGGCGACACTGATAACCCATCAGGTACTCAAGTCTAGGGTCGTGACAACAACATACCCGACCGTCTTCCTCTTGAGCATGGATGATCCAAACTTCCGAAAGCCATCCACGGACCACACCGGACCTGTCACCGCTGGACACATGCAAAGTTTATAGCTGCATTGGAAATCTGGGTCGCTCTTAGGTAATCTTTAAAGCACTACCTACGTACGCATGTTGAAAGCACATATGACCCCTCACCGGCACCACTTACCGATTAGCAGCTGTGACTTTATAAACAGATGCAGTTTGAACCGGTTGCTCCTTTAACCACATCTTGATTCATGGCCTTTTCTCGCTCTCTTATCATCCTGACGCTCATTGCAGGGTGCCTCCTCCCTTCTGGTGTCCAGGCTCTCTGGCCCATTCCAACTACTCTCGAACCGGGCTGACCACCCTCAAAATCTCCCCCGCATTCTATTTTGACGTGGAGATCGAAGGCGCACCATCGGATTTACGTGACGCGGTTGCGCAATCACAGTACTATCTCGAAAACGACAAACTTGGACGTCTGGTCGTAGGTCGTGGCGCGAATGACACTACCGCATTTGCCACCGCGATGACGCTTTCAAAGTTAACGCTGTCTCTCGCGAGTAGAGCTGCTGTAGAGCCCATTTCCTCAGAAGCTGTCAAGCCCCTGGGAACCCGTAGTGAGGAGTACGCACTGAACATTCCAGCAGATGGCTCGGCTGCTACTTTGACGGCGAACTCGACGTTGGGTCTGTACAGAGGACTCACCACTTTCAATCAGCTTTTCTACTACTATGGAGGAGTGACTTACACTTACTCGCCCCGATTTCTATCAAGGACACTCCTGCATATGTGAGCAGTTATTACATACACTTTAACGTCAGATGCATGAACCCATATACGTAGCCTTTCCGGGGATTAGGACTGGATACCTCGAGACACTACTATCCGGTCAGCGACATTCAGCGAACTTTGGACGCGATGAGCTGGGTGAAGGCGAGTGCTTTCCTGGTGTCTCGTCTTATCGTCTCTCACAAGCTATACAGATCAACACTTTCCACTGGCATATCACGGATAGTCAGAGTTTTCCACTCGAAGTCGCACAGTATCCCGAGCTCGCCATCAATGGTGCATACTCTCCTCAAGAAGTTTACACAGCAAGCGATGTCCAATACATCGTGAAGTATGCTGCTGCAGTACGTGTTTCACTTTACCATGGTCTGTTGTTCGTTGATGGTGTTCTCGCAGAGAGGTATTGATGTTATGATGGTTAGTACTCATCAGTCGATTTTGCAGATAACGTCTCAACATTTTACTAGGAAATCGATACACCCGGCCACACCGCTATCATGGCAGCCGCTTACCCCGAATATGTTGCATGCTTTGAGGCTAGTCCATGGGCATTCTTTTCCGGCGAGCCCCCTGCCGGCCAGCTTCGTTTTGCACTCCCAGAGGTCACGAACTTCACTGCTTCCTTGCTCACCAACATCGCAAAGACCCTCCCTTCGCACTATTTCAGCACCGGCGGCGATGAAATCAACAAGAACTGTTACGCCGATGACTACCCCACGCAGCAGCAACTTAAGAGGACCGGCATGACGCTGAACGGTGCTCTTGACACGTTCACACAGACCACTCATGGTGCACTGATTGTCCAGGGAAAGACGCCTGTCGTATGGGAAGGTATGCGCTGCCCTTTCTTTGAATGACAGTATCAAATGAAGACGGTCGGTCATTCAGAAATGGCCCTCGACTGGAATATTACACTTTCAAACGAGACTATTGTGATGTAAATATGATAATATCGTGATCTGACTCCGCTGATTCATCTGTATTGAAAGGGTTTGGATTTCTTCTGCAGATGCTGCAGCGGTGGTAGAAAAGGGTTTCAGGATCATCCAAGCACCATCAGATTACTTCTACCTGGTCAGTTGACGAGTTTTTCTACAGAACACAATGTCCTTATTATCCTAGGATTCTGGTGCTGGTGAGTGGCTGGGAGACAACCCAACTGGGTTAGTCTTCATATTGTCAAATGTACTCGATCTGAACTGGCGTCCCTTGGGAGAACAGAAGTAGCGGCCCCTTCAGGACCTGGTCCGAGGTAAGTATGAATGTCGAAGATGCCCACGCATCTCACAATGTTTCGTTAGGCATATACCTTTGATCCGTTGGCAAACTTGACCGAGGCGCAGTACGAACTTGTTCTGGGAGGTAAACACAAACGAATCTCGAGGTTAAATCCTTTCTGAGCAATCTGCAGGCGAGCAAATTCTATGGAGTGAACAGTCTGGTCCCCAAAATGTCGACCCGATCGTGTGGCCACGCGCTGCATCATCAGCAGAAATTTTCTGGAGTGGGAAGCAGCCCACTGGCGCTGCACTCAACGTCACCGAGGCACTTCCTCGTTTGCATGTAAGTAGTTCTTCTTGACGTGGAAGTACTTAATGATATATGAATGATACAGGACGTCAGGTACAGGATGGTACAGCGCGGCATCAATGCCATCCCACTCCAGCCGCAGTGGTGTGCGTTTCGACCGGACGCATGCGATATGTACGCTTGGTTTGGAACTTGATCCGAACTCTAGGTCTTTTCATAATTGGTTGTGGTGTTATTTAATCTGCACCGTTGCTTACAAGATGTGTACAGCTCTCGTTCACCAAAAATTGACTTATATTGAGAAATTTGTGCCTCGGCTTTGCAAGAAGTCACGCGGCAAAATGGAAGTTGACGAAATGTTCGAGTGATGCACTGCACAATGATTCATGAAGTATCCACGTTTTTGGCAATAAATTGTATCCATACTACTACGTGTATATCGGCGCCATAGCCCACATCGATATCTTGACTGGAATTCTGAAAATAGCAGGTAACAACACCCATCAATATATTGGTCCCACGCAGGCAATGTTAGATTTACATGAAACCCAGTTGTGAGTCCTGACTCTACCGTACCCCAGTGATGCATCAGGCTTTACTTGTTCCCGAAGTCCTCCTGGAGATATTCGCCTATGTGAACACAATACCATCTACTACTTGGCAAACAACACAGATATTCGGTTATGTGGACAGGAAACCATCTCCTCAAATAACATCGACGCTTGCAGCGCTTGCAAGGACATGCAAAATCTTCCACGAGCCTGCGATGGATTTGCTGTGGACTGAAATCCATGAGTTAGAACCACTGCTAGGCTGCGTACCGAGGTTACATCCACTGATATATCATAGGGGTACGACTTGGGTCAGTGCACGACTTCATTACGCTTTGTTCGTTTCTTTTCGGCTGACCGAGCGTCTACATACATAACAGCGGAACGTGGTTTTTTCAAATTCCTGGGCGGAAGGCGTCGAGCCATTATCTGCCCATGAGGCCCGTCAATTTATGCGTCACTCCTCCCGTATACGCACATTGAACATAGAAAGGACCGATCTCCAACTTATCTCTGTCATTCCCGCCAATGTATACGTATTTCCGAGGCTGAGGTCGTTAATTCTTTCCACCCCATTTTTGAATCTCTTTCTGCCTCTCACGCTGCACCCACGTCATCTATCGAACCTCGACAAGGGTCGGCGAATTTTTGTGACACGTTGCAGTGCTTTGGAGCATTTGTACATCCGCACTGACGACTATTATGACATCGCAAGTCGGCTGTCCCTGCTATCCGATAGGATTCGTCGGTGCATGCGGCTTGTAACCCTGTATTGTCCAATGCTCGACTGGGAAACATGGAAGCACCTCTCTTGCCTCCCTACTCTTCTCAAATTGGAAATTGATCAAGGGTTTGATGACCCTCCTTCACTGTCAAACCGAGATATCGTGAATTTATCATTCCTTAACATCACGAGCCTTTCCTTTCGACAGCATGACGATTGTGCAGACATCATCACAGTCATACAACACTCGCAGTTTCCCTCACTGAAAGAGTTCAGGTTTGCAGTCGACTATCTCTGTTCAGAAGAGGCCGAGCAACTCTTTCATGCTCTGTGCCACTCCAGAGCGTGTCAGACTCTAGAAGAAATCATCATTTGTTCTCCTGATGAAGGAGAGCGTGGACCCCCAGACGGCGAGCTTTTGACACCAATTCCACATTTGCTTTGCTTTACACAGCTTCGAACACTGCAACTCATGTTTTATAATCCCTGCATCTACCTGGACAATGACATTCTCTTGCAAGCCATGTCTAGTTGGCCGCACATCCGCACTCTGGAAATCAACTACGTAGACGACCATCATTCTCCTTCCGGAGTCTCCCTCCATGGATTATTCGCAGCGCTCAGTCTATGTCCACAATTGCATACACTACGAATTCTAATCAATCTTGCAACTATCGACGTTGATCCTCATACTGAGCCACTACAACATACCTCCCTACGATCATTGGAACTTTTGGATATATCCCAGTCTCAAATAGCAGATGCTGAAGCTCTCGCTCGCATCATTTCCGCCTGGCTCCCTTGTGTCGACGAAGTTAAAAGCATTGGTAGCACTTGGGATGAAGTCAACAAGCATCTCAAATCTTCGACAGCGGCTACTGCGCTGTACGTCGCGGGAGCCTCCTAGAATAGTTAAGTTTGGAATACCTTCACGTCTGGGAATGTCGTTACATACCTTTGAGTTCTTTCGTTCCTTCGTTGTCGTTGTCATTATCGTCGCCGTTGACTGTAGTTATAAACTGTATTACCTCACAACATACTTAATCGCCAGCAAGAACTCACCGGTTCACTGATTAGTATGATTTCCAACACGATTATCGGCCCAATTCATCTTCTGGCAGTCTATGACTGCTTTCTTCGTCATATATACATCCACTCTACCATTTCTAGTCACCCTCATGTCCTGTGGTCTGTCCTTCCGATTGAGTCTCTTGTCTATCAATTGCCTGTGCGCTATATCCGCAGTGCATGCGCCTTCTACCATGGCCCGGGCCCGTCTTAAATGCTCGGTCTCGTACCGAGACCAGGTTGGCCAGCAACTGCCACATCCATGAACACGCTATGTATTTGCAATTTGCAGGTCGTGAACTGCAGTGTCCTGAGTGATATATAGTTTGCATACTTTCCTGTGTTTTCCGGACACTCATTGCATTCCAGCCTTTCTTGAATGTGAGTATGACGCAGACATCCTTCCCTGCAAATTCTCGCGCCTAGTTAAACAACGGAAGTTACAGCGACGCGATGATAAAAATTGCAAGTTGTAGAGGACGAGCACTTGGCGCAGGAGTATCGCCGTGCTTGGCCAGTCACTGTTCCTCCAATGATTGTTTGCTCTTATCTCAATCGCTATTATCAAGCATCGAAGTGCACCGAGTCTCCTATCTGCGCTGTGTGTACTCGCCGTGAACGGGATTGCGTGGTTGTGACCTTCTCCGCTACCGACGCACCTGATTTCCACCTCGAGACCCTCCTTCTCCTTCTCAGACTGATTCATCATCCAGAAGCAAGGTTTGTCTGCCACACTCTCTTTCGATTGCCCGATCATTGATGGCCTCATGCTTGAACGCGCAGGTGTTGTTGATTCCAGCAGTGACCATGGACCACCACGACGTGAACGGAAGGGTAGGACATTTCTGTCGTGACTTTAGGCTTCAGAACTCGGATGAAGCCACCATAGGATCTTCGTTTCAGCTCCCAGCTGTACTAATAAAAATCGCCAGTTCGAGAGCATTAGTAGCGGCAGACTTCTAATGCCGCAGGTCTTCAGGTCTTAGATTTTACGAGATCAGCCTAGGTGCATGAAGCACTCGAGAAGAAACGGACATGAACCCAGAACTTGAGAAGATAACCCGACTTTCTTTTGTTGATCACCATAGAAGCTTCATGAAATACAGTCCCTCCTCTGTATGTTTTTATGGACGAAAGCAACAGATTACTTGAGTAGTGGGCGCAAATCATTGGAGACTGCACGTACGTGATCAGAGGAGTCGGGGAGTGATGAGTGCCCTTTTACGTGACCACCCTTCTGAAATACTTCGGCTCCTCAAAGCTCCCAGAAGCAAGGTACGCGCAGCTAGCGCTGCCGCGAATAACTGAAGCGAATCGAAGTGGAGATTTGAGACACTTCAGTAGACTTCGATGAGTCAACGAAGTTATTTGAAGTGCGCTTCGTGGCGCGCGACACAGAGAAGTGGGATAGGTTAGCAGCTAAGCAAGTTCGTCGACTCGGAACTTGCCTGCTGCAATGAGCTCATCCGAGTTTATGGCATCCCTAGATACCGGCCAGTATGATTTACTTCTCCTGCAATAAGATACGGCGTGAAATCCAGCCGGTCGTGCCAGTGCTTATAAGAGAAATTAGGTATCTGTAAAGCTTCGAGAACAGTTGATGAGAGGTCAGCACACCGATCTGTGCATGCTTCTGTGCTGGAGGAGAACACTTGCTCAGAAGGAACAGCAGCAACGAAATATTATGTTCATTTGATGAATGGCTAAAAAAACTAAAATAGTGCACGTACCTCCAAAAACGAACGATATTAGCTGTGCCTTTAGCTGCAGCATCAAGAAGCGCTGTAGCGCTGTATTTCTTGTTCGGTATATGCAGCAGCTCGACATGCTGCCGGGGCGTCATATACTGGACATATGCATGCAGAGGTGGATAGAGGTTTCGCAAAGTCCTGAAAGAACCTTTGGTGTTACTAATGGTGAAACTGGTGGGCCATGACTGTTAAAGTTCTTGGACCTGGGATGCAAGCGAGTACTAACGAAGTCAATCAAAATCTCACGTTTCGAAGTGAAGCGAATTTACCTCTTGTCAACAAGTGTAGCATAACATAAGCACGTAATGACAAGACCTCGAAAACTGCAAATTCACCTCTAACTTACCCGAGTAGTAGGAACAGCGACGGCAAAGACCTCTTGACCACGAACAGGACAACTTTCTGGCGCTCGCCAACGCCAACGATGATTCGCATATACGAAAGGTTCATTACCTATCTCTTTGCTTGTTCGGAAACCCGCCATCGGTATTCATCCAGCTCCTAAGTCAAGTTTCATCACTGCATGCGGCAGCGTGCGCCCTTTAGCGCACCAAACTCCACTTGTCCGTCACTCATTTGCTGCCCTCGTCGACTGAGGGTGCGCTTTCGGCGCCCGCGCTCTCATATGGCCACCATCGTTGTTCTCCGTCAAAGCCTGCCTCCTTTCTGCTGGACTCATCATACATTATCCTGCCGACAATGCCGGACACGCCGTCGCCGAGTTATTCAGCATCGATGTTTCCGGCCTCAACTGTATCCTTCCCAGGAAGATTGTGCTGCTCGTATCGTATTAGCATTATTACCGCCAGGTATTGTGAAACACGAGCCTGTGTCCCCGCCCTCATCAGCCCTCATCACTCTCGCACTCATGAACAGCAGCGATGACTTGAACATGTTGTCCGTCTCGGGATTTTTCGTTGAACTTGAAAAACATAGAAACATGTCCCATTCATTTTTTTGCTTGGAGGCAGCACCAGGCTTCGTGAGGTTGTAGTTGGCCTAGCGCCTGATGCAGGAGGATGCAAGTTGGAGGTCAGGTGTGGTAGCCTGGTCACGGCGGCGGGAGACTGCAGGTCGGGCATGTTGGGCAGGCAATGGGCGCGATGGCACGATGCTTAACCTTATACACGAGCAGAAAATACCTTGCCGAGCGGTGCTGAAGGTCTTGACCTGTCACGGTACTATAAGTGAGGTAACTGCCTCGTTTTCGGGAGCTTGGAGGAGCCGAAGTACTTCGGAAAGGTGACAGGGCACCTAGTACCACGACTCGTCGGGACTGCCTTCAAGGCGCCATTACGGCAATAAAGCGTTCCGAGAGATAACCTTATAGAAATCAATTAATTACATAAATTAAATTCTAATTCTAAATTTGGACTTAAAAACTGCGCAATCTCCGCTTTAAAGGGTCTCATCACCGTGTGCAACAGCGACCAGACCTAATTTCTTCCATTCTTCGATCTTCATATCAGCTTGAATTTGTCAGGTTTAGAGTGTGTACAGACATTATCTTGCACGATGTCGCAGTGGGGCCAGCCGGGATTTCAGTATCCCATGTCCACAGGCTATCCAGGTCAACAGTTTCAGCCTGGCCAGAATCCTCAATTTCAGCAACAACCCAGTTTCCAGCCTGGAGGAATAGCTAGTGGTGGTTTTCAGCCTGGTGGAATTGCTCCACAGCCTACCGGATTTCCAGGCGCACGACCACAGCAGCCTTACCAGCAGCCTCAACAGACAGGCTACCTGGGCCCGGGCCCCTCTAGACTGGGTGTCTTGCAAGCCCAGCCTACGGGTTTTCCAGGTGAGAGTAGCTTTGCGCAGCAGGCTCGTCCGCAGCCTCCACCTGTTCCGCCCATTCCAAGCCAATTCCAGCAGCAGCCTCAGTTATACCAACAGCCTGGATTCGCAAATCCACAGCGTTTCGGAGGTCCGTCTCCTTCAGGATTCGGTGGAAACCCAGGTCTCGTACCCCAGCCAACCGGGTTTGCGGGTCGTACTCCTGCGCCCTTGATTCCCCAAGCAACTGGTTTTGTAGATCCACGGTTGCAAATGATGTCTAGCTCGTTCTTACCTGCCAATATCTCTGCACCATATGGTGCAGGAGGAATTCCCCAGCTTGCTGCCCCTCCCCAGCAGCAGTTGGGTGGTCTATCTTTGCAGCAGTCCTTCCAGCAACATAATCAGGCACGAGGCATAGGGTCTGCACCCAAGATCCCATGGACGCTCTCCAAAGCCGAAAAGAAGCAATATGACCAGATTTTCAGATCCTGGGACTGCCCATGGCACTGGTTTCATCAGCGGTAAGACCGCACTCGAGGTCTTTGGCCAGAGTGGAATCGAAAAGAACGAACTGGCTCGCATCTGGTGATTATCAATTTTTCTTACTGTACATCAAGTCTCTAATGTCTATGCAGGACCCTTGCTGACGCTGATAACCGCGGCAAGCTTAACCTTGCTGAATTCCATGTCGCAATGGGCCTGATCTACCGCAGTATGTCCTTGCATTTCATCTTTACTTTACACCACTGACACAACACTAGAACTTAATGGCAATGACATACCTGACGAACTCCCATCCGAACTTATCCCTCCATCCTCTCGAGATCTCGATACCTCTGTTAATTTTCTCAAGGACATTCTCAAGAATGATACACGCGCCCGCTCTCCATTGGGTCTCGACACTCCTGTCTCACGTCTCAAAGAGCGTTCATTCAATTCTACATCTGCACCAGGTGCTGGCGGGCGACAAGATGCTACAGTCTACAAGCATACCGATGCAGAGCCCCCTGGCGGGTTCTACCAGCCCCGCAGCAGGCACATCGATCGCAGCACTGTGCGCTCGCGTAATGAAGACAACAGCCCTGCCGCAGACATGTCTGATATAAAGCGTCAACTTGCCAACACGCAAAAGATGCTCGATGCAAGCGCAGTAGCAGATGCGGGCGATGATGAACTCGATCGTGAGATGGGCGATCTGCGGTACCGCATCAAGCGTCTGCAAGAAGATCTGGACTATGTCTCCCGCGGTCCAAGGAGCGCGAGCAAAGAGGAGGAACGTAGGAGGTTGGAGAGAGAGCTTTTGCAGCTCATGCACGAGCGTGTACCTGAGCTCGAACGCAAGATCGAGGATCGCCAGGCGAGGAAAGAGAGAGAGAATCGCGAATATGCCAGAGAGCGTGATAGGAGGAACGAGAGATCTGGTCGGTTTGATGATACAGATGGCGGGCATTCGCCTTCCTTGGGCTATCGAGATGATGACCGTGATAGACCTTATTCTCGCAGTGCATCGAGGTATGATAAGGAAAACAGAGACTACGACAGGGATAGGTCGTACCGTGACCGCCATGATGATCGCGATGTGTCGACAACAACGCGTACTCCGCAGCCACCGCCTGCTGCTCCGGCAAACAACATATCGCAACCACCACCACCACCAGCCCCTAGCCGCTCGCCTGCTCCAGGATTGAAACAAATGACACCTGAAGAGCGCAAAGCATTTCTCCAAGTACAAGCGAAGAAACGTCTCGAAGAGCGTATGCAAGCTCTAGGTCTTTCTATCCCATCGTCGACTGTATCATCTACCTTGGGTGTCAGTGTTGAAGACAGACTCGCTCAGGAGAGGAAGGAAGCGGAAGAGAAAGCCAAGGAAGCTGAGAGACAGGCTGAAGAGCGCGAGAGACTTAGGAGAGAACGACTTGAAAGCGAGAAGGCTGTTAGGGAAGGCAAGGCGACTCCTCAGCCTACGCCTGCTGCCCCAACACCTACTACTACCGCCCTACCTCCTGCCCCTGCACCCAAGATTGCGTCACCAGCTCAGAAGCCCCGTGCACCAGCACCACCCCCACCAAGGAAAGGCTTTGCTCTCCGCCCATCTGCGACTTCATCTTCTTTGCCCTCGCCTACTCCTGCTCCTGCTCCTGCTCCTGTAATTCCCACACCAGCTCCCGTAGCACCTGCTCTTCCACCAGTACCCGCTGTACCCAAAGAAGACTCAGAGGATGCAGATTTCAAAGCCCGTGAGGCAGCACTTCGCCAGAAACGGGAAGACCACGCTGCCCTCCTCCGCAAGCTTGAGGAAGAAGAGGAGGAGGCGCGCCGTGCTGATGAATTATACCTGGCACGCCGAAAGCAGTTCTTGGCTAGTAAATCTGCCGTGTCCCCTATCATGCCTGCTACACCTACATCTCCTGTACCCCCGCCGCAGCCTGCTTTTGTTCCTGCTCCGCCGCCGCCGCCGCCTGCTCCTCCAGCAGAGCCCAAGTCTGGGCCCGAGGAAGTGGCGCCTACTATTACTACACCACCGCCACCACCGCCCGCACCGCCTGTAAATAAGTCAAGTACCAATCCCTTCAGTCGAATGATGAAGGAGGGGGGATCTACTGTTTCAACCCCTGCAGCAAGCAACGGTAGCAGCAACCCCTTCTTCCTCAACAATCCTGCGCCTGCGCCTACCACACCCGCTCCCCCCAAAAGTCCTGGACCTTCGAGCAAAACGACCTACAACACGGCTGGAGGTGATAGCGAAGATGACTGGGATAACCTAATGGAAAACGAAGAGAATGATAGTAGTGATGAGGAGTTGGGTTCAAGGGACACGCGTATGGGTTTGGCGCAGCAGCTTTTTGGGAACTTGTTGCCTTCAAGGCCGCAATCTGATGGACCTGAGAAGTCTCGAAGTCCTGCACCTCTGCTACCAGCTTCTGCACCCCCTGCACCATCTGCACCATCTGCACCCCCACCACCATCAGTCAATATCGCATCCCCAGCTCCAACTGGTAATCACAGTGCCCTCTTGAACGCTATTCAAGGAGGCGCAAAATTGAGGAAGGCTGTTACTCATGACCGTAGTGCTGCAGCAACCTCCGGCAGAGTCATCGGCGATGTTGATCCTCCTGCTCATATCAATGCTGCACCCCGTCCGGCGTCGCCTCCCGCTGCTATCGCCCCTGCAGCATTTGTGCTTCCTTCACCCCAAGAATCCATCGCTGAGGCACCCCAGATGAGCAGAGGGTCGACTTCAGGACACAGTAAGAAGGAATCAGTTGACTGGTATACTGGTCTTGCTGCTGACCAAGGCGCTGTACATCACTTGCCGACTACTATTGAGGAGGATGAGGAGCCGGCTGAGGAGATATCTGTGATGCCAGAGATTCAAGCGTCTGAGGCAGCGATTGATATGATGGATGATATTGATAGGTCTACTGGTGAGCAGCCATGGGGCAGGGGGGGAATCTGAACTGATTATTTTTTAGAGTTCCGTGTGTGGTCGCTTTACCCGTATGAGGGACAGAGACCTGATGATCTTAGTATGGTCGTTGTTGATCTGTACGACTGATTGCTGATTATTTTGTTAGGCTTTCATGCGAACCTGATCGTTACTGCTCATCCTTCCAAGACAGGAGGCGCCTGGTGGTATGGCACCATCGTGAAGGATGGCAAATCTGGATTCTTCCCACAAACATATGTACAGAAGGTGGAACCAGGTGCGTGAACCTCGATGTACCTTTCTTTTAATATGTTCATCATGTATGTAGTGAAAGCAAACGCGTTGTACTCATACGCAGGGGAGGGCGCAGATGAGCTTCCCTTTGCCGAAGGCGACGAACTCTCCATCATAGATAGAGGCGAAGCGGATTGGTGGAAAGCTGAACGAGACGGAATTGTCTTCATCGTGCCGGCTGCTTACCTGGAGATAGTAGAGGGTTCGTGGATTTTATCGCCTCCCCCTTGAGTTTTCCTCTTAACCTTGATCGCCGTTGGCAACTAGACTAAAATCTATTCTTTTGCTTTTCTTTTACATGTACGATTCGGAAATACCATTTTCGTTGTTAACAGCCGCCGGATCTCCACCCCTCCTGCGCGTGAACCCGCATGAGAAGCCGTCGACTAACATTGACAGTGCCGAACGTCCTGATATATCGGGAGCAGCAACTGTCAGCGGATCACCTGATGAGGACGACCACGTTGACAGGTCTTCCGATGAGGGCGAGGACTATTATTCGATGGACGAATCAGATGACGAATCAGAAGGGTCTGAAGATGGGACTATTGAGGACGAACACGCTCGAGAACTTGAACGTCAACGAGTATTGGAGGCGGCGGGTCTGATTGTAGATACGAGCTCGAGTGTGACAGCGCCGCCTAATCCCCCAGTACAGAAGCGCCGTCATCCACCCGTGACTCCTCAACGGGTTTCCATAGCACCAGTGGCTTCGAAGATTCTTCCGCCATTGCCGACTGTTGACTTGACAGATACTGAGCTCGATTCGACGTCTCATCTGGACGACGCTTTCGATCGGTACGAGGTTTTCAAGAAGACGAATGGAAGCTTCAGCAATAGGATGTCTGTCTCATCCTTTGATACCTCTCCTTCGTCGCCGCCGCGCTCGCCCGCCGTGTCTTTGGCGCCTAGTCTCACACATCGAGATTGGGAGAGTCGTACGTCGCAGTTTTTGAGCTTTTTGGGGAGACATACAAATAGGTCGAGTACGCCGGAACAAGAAAAGAAAACGCTGGTCATATCTGGTCCTATCGTCAATACGCCTGCTGGTGGCGAGACTGGAGATGAGAGCCCTAGTTTTGGCACGGTGCGTGTCTTTTTTGCTATTACCGGGCGCCGTATTGAGGTGAGTAGTCATGGGCGAGCCTAGTGGACAAGTCAGCACTTGAGGGCATCCCTAAGATGGAGCGGCGACGACAAGAGGTGAGATTATGTGCTTGTAGTGTGGTTGCTGTGTCTCACGATCTGCAGGCAATTTTTGAACTTATTTCTACCGAAGCAGATTACGTTCGCGACCTGCAGCTCATCGTTGAAGTATGGTTCAAAGTGCTATTAATATTGTAGTGTCCAGATTGCTCACGTTACTATGACAGTTGTTCTACTCCCGACTTATGGGCACACTCGGAGAGAAGGCGACCACTGTCATATTTGCCAACATTGAAGACATCCTACTCACTAATACTGTACCTTCTCGGTGCTCTCGCTTATTGGCTATGACTGACAGCTTTGTAGACATTCCTTTCTGTTCTCGAAGAACGTCAGAAAGACTGTCGGCTCTATATCGACCACATTGGCGATGTTCTGGAGACTCACATTCCTAACATGCACCTTTATCTGGTACATACTTCCTGAGTCTGCGCATCGTTGGTATTCACCTTTTTTAGTCGTACTGCTTGAACCAGCACAACGCTGCCAAGGTTCTTCAGTCCATGAGAGATAGTAATACCGACCTTGCTACTCAACTTCAGGTATGCTACAAACGTTTTGTTAACTGTTTACTAACCTTTCTCTCAGCGCCTCCGCGATGACCCTTCTGCTCGAAATCTTGATTTATCACATTATCTCCTCGTACCCAGTACGTTCATGCGGAGGCGTAATAGCTGTTAGTAACTGACTTTCTATTCCAGTGCAACGCCTCACCCGATACCCTCTCCTAATCCGCCAAATCCTTCAATACACAGATCACTCCTCGACGACCAATACCTCCATCCAAACCGTAACTAACGGACAGCCTCCAGCAGTCTCCATCCAGCTCCCAGGCGATGACGAGGAACGAAAAAACATCAGTACCGCTTTGAAAGCAGCACAGAAAATTCTGGAGCATGTGAACGAGACGATACGGGAGCAAGAAGGGAGAGAAAGGCTAGGTGAGATTAGCAAGGATCTGTGGATTGGACAGGGGTGCGTATTTTCTTGCATATTTGCTCCTGATGGCGCTGAGTTGTCTTCTCAGTCACCTTGATCTAACCGCTCCGACACGCCACCTGGGACCGCGGAAGCTTGTGAAGGAAGGGATAATAAGCAAAGCAAAAAGCGGACGCAAACTTCGTCTGTTCCTATGCAGCGACATTCTCGTGTTGACTCATGAAGGAGGAAAGGGTTTATATCGCGTTGTGAGTGTTTTTATCGCCATGACCCAAATTTAGGTAGGTGCTGATGTGTGGGATAGCCCATACCTCTCAACGAAGTGCAAATAAAGGGGTCGAGAAACGAGCGAGGTTCGTAATATTTCTACCTATCACGACCTTGAGTTTACTGTGCCATAGAGGACTCTCTGCTTCGCCTGCACCTTACTTACCCGCGTGGTGGCGATACCATTGTTTTGCGAGCGATTTCAACCAAAGAAGCTCTATCGTGGAAGGACGCAATCGAGCGCGCTAGTCGAAGAGCCAAGGATGGAGAGCGACGAGCTGTAAAAGCTCTGCGTGCATCATCAAAGGCGGACCTACAACTTTAATATCTACAGACATTCTATTAGACTTCTCTGCTATTGTTATGATCCCATATTAACTGACATTCAACTACCCATTCCTACGCAGCATCTTATCAATTCTATCTCATTGCTGTGACTATGGACGATCGTGCGATGTCTGCATACGTACTTGAATTGTGCTGAAGTGATTCGGCAGCTCCGGCTTTCTGGTTGTGCGGCGACTCCCCATTTGGGATACCCTTAATACGCTACGGTACAGCAAATGAGCGCCCAGTCGTCTCTCGATGCTCAACTGCCACCATAGCGAGCCTATCCATAACAGAATGTATTATTTAATGCTTTCCACTCTCCATTGCTTCATAGCTTGATCCTTTCGAGACCCAATAGGAGTTCTTCATAAAGTTATGCATCACACGTAGGCAGCATCGCCGCGATCTTGTCCTTCCGCTGTCTAAGAAGATTGATCATGGTCTGTATGCCCTTCAACACGCCCTCATCGGGACCTGCCCCGTCGATAAGTCGGGTATGTGCGAAGTCTATGAGAGAAAGGGAACACAAAAGAGCTTGGTGTTCCTCCTCTTCCTCTATCGCTTCGTCGGGTATAGACTCCAGAACAAGTTGTCCGTTTTCATCTATCTCGACCTCTACTTCGTCGTCGTCGTCGTCGTCTTCTTCTTCTTCTTCTTCAGTCGTGGCGGTCCCGGAAGGCATGGAAAGCGTCTTCCATGCACGTTCCCAGTCTCCCTCGTACACTATGAGAATACTCCCACCTACCATGCGCATCTCAATGTTCGCTATGGTAGCTTTCAATTCTTCTAGGTCGTCTTGAAGTGTAGTGAGAACGCAGTGGAGGAGGATAGCAGGAAGACCAGATTGTGGCTTTGACACGTCTGAATCTGATGTCTCAGTAGAGTTCGGTGGTGACGGATAAGGTGCAGACGAGACGGGAAAGAACATCTCAGTGACGTCAGGAAGCTGTTCCTTCTTGATCGATCTGCCGTACGACTTGGGCGTCAAGATAGGTTCGGAAGAGTCATTACCGTACACCTTCACCGATTTCAGCGTTAATCTGAGTATTGAAACCATGAGCAGGTACCTGAAATCCTGTGAAGCGAACGCCCGTTTCTCCGCTAGTAGTATTATGAGCGACTTTGATCATACGCGCTTGCTTTTCAGGAGGCGCGTCTTGATCGTAGAGGACGGTCCCAAGTTTCACATCCAGAATACAAGGCTTCACAAAGCCGTACGCAACATTTTCAAGGACGAGGCGCTGTGCTGGACCAGATAAGAAAAAACGGGACGCGCTGACAGCAGAATCGGATTGACATATCTTTATCCTCTGGCACTATATTGCCATGTACGGGAACTATTTCCATATTTCCATCGCCAACTGCATTTGAATCTTTGAGTTGCCCCTCGAGCTTCAGCACGCCCAGAAACTTTGGGGTCCAGTTTCTAAGCTTCGAGAGTTCATCGTGATCGCCTGCTGCGGCGATTCGTTGATAAAATTCAATTTCACGAGGAAGGGCTGGCTTGATCAAAAGGGAATCGTCTTCTGTTGTCTCAATGCCTGCATGGCCGCCTACTTGAGCTTTTAGAGGGCGGGTGGCCGCTATCGTTGGCCCGGGCAGGAGCGGAGAATTAGACATGGACGTAGAGTACTAGCACGTGACCCGGCGTGTTTCATTTAATAAATTTACAAAGGCGTCAACTTTCAAGCTTCAAGATCACTACACCGACGTCGATAATCTTCAATCATTTTTTTCAGTGCTTCCAACAATGAGCAGACGTGGAAATAATGTTCGGGGACCTACATCTGCATTGACTGAGTTTCTTCGGGTATGTTTCGGTCCCCCTAAAACATTTGCATCGCTTCAATAAAATTTTGTTAACAGGAGTTAGGTATAAATCCTGCTACCATTGCTCGTCGAGTGGCTACCCAGAATCAGCCTGAGAGCCAGTCACAAGATCAATCTGTAGCTGGTCCGAGTAACTCTGGGGATAACCCGGAAGATGTTCCAGAAGAAGAGCAACCGAAGGAAAGTGCTCCCCAGGCGTCGAATGGCCGACGTGGTCGAGGCAGGGTAAATCGTTCATATGAAAGTCTTTCATTGTTGAATTGACTCTTTGGTTGAATAAGAACACTGGCTATGCCTCAGACGAGCTCGACGAGCCTGCGGAAGAATCTCCTGTCAAAAAACGGAAGGGTACAAAGGGCCGAGCGACGGCCGTCACAAAAGCCAAGGCCAAGAAGAAAGCGAAAGACGATGGTGAATATGAAAGCTCCTCTGAGGACGAATACCGGGCAATGTCGAAGAATCTCTGGTCAGTGGGGGGAAACGGTGGTCCCAAACCTCCAGCTGGGAGCTTCGAAACCTGCGCGAGATGCGAAAAGCAGTTCACTGTGGTATGATTTTGTTTCACTCAGAATACACATGGCTTAACATTGCGTGTAGACAAAGTATACTATGGCAGCAAATCCGCCTCCTGGCTATCTCTGCCACCACTGTGCCAAGGCTTCTGGTACTGACCCTTTCAAGAAGCCCGTAGTCCCTCGCAAACGCGTTAATGTCACGGAAAAACGGGATGTTATCAGTTATCAGGAACGCCGTTCTCCGTCTCTTGCGGCAATATGTATCGAGGTGGGCCATTAATAACCTTTCATTGTCAAGACGACTGAGCTTTCATGGCACAGCTTATCAGCCGCTACATTAACGATGTGGAAGCTTTGGGTGATATAGGTGCCGTGAACATGGATGAAATTGCGAAAGCCCTCTCTAAGAACCGTGGTCTGTGAGTGATGAGTATGGGATACTTCTCGGAGATTCTCACAGCAGAACGACAGCACTCCTGAGAATGCACATTTGTTCTATGATGTGCTCAACAAGAAGCTAAGGTTCTATGATGCAACTAGTATGTTTCACTATCCTTCTGCTCGTACCGGTTCACCCAAGCCTTTTTGTTCAGATTTGACTCCAGACGCATTGACAACCCTCGCTTCCCTCAACCCCAACTTGACTCACTTACATCTTGATTATTGCGGGCGTCTCACATCGCCCGTCCTTTTAACTTTTTCCACTTCAATGCCGCAGTTGACTTCCCTGACACTCCTTGGCCCATTCCTCGTACGGGCAGAAGCCTGGATCGAATTCCTCAAGGCTATGTCAGGCTTGCGAGTGTTCAAGATTACGCAAAGTCCAAGATTCGACTTAGAATGCATGCAGACATTCGCAGATAGCTGCAAAAATATCGGAGAGCTTTCATTGAGGGAAATTGGTTTGATGGACAACGAGTTTGCGGATCCTTTATGCTCTCTACCGCCATTGAGAGTACTAGATTTGGCGTTTCCAGGAATAGGCATAGATGAAGACGGCTGGATGAAGATCATAGAAAAGCACGGGAGCACTCTTGAAACACTTGATACCTCAAAACATGAAGGATTCACTGACCATGTCCTCCAGGAGAGTGTCAGGAAATACTCCCGTATCTTGTTCGAATTAAAACTGGACGAGTGTCTTAGTCTCACTGATGAAGGCGTGGCGCAATTCTTTGGCAACTGGGCTTATCCCATATCCGCTCTGAAAGATGAAGGCGACGATATGGATGTGGACGCTGACCCTGTGGAAGTCAGTCTCACATCCCTCGAACCATTTACGCCAAATCCACCGTTGCGCGTACTGTCTCTTGCCCGAAATCAAGAGCTCTCAAGTGCGGCACTCGCAGCTGCCATCGTACACTCTGCTCAGTCGCTCACGTGGTTGAGTGTGAATGGACTACGCAGCGCTTCCTCTGAAGCACTTGCACAACTCAAGAGGGCGAAGGAACTGCGCTACCTAGATGCTGGGTGGTGTCGGGAGCTAGATGATTTTGTGATGAAAGATGTTGTCAGCAGCGTGCATGAAGTTGAACGAGATTAAGGTGTGGGGATGTAGTCGCGTAAGGGGTGTTGGTTGGGGTGTGAAGGTGAGCCAAGAAGCTTCGTTTACGTATCTGCAAACTGATCTGACTTCACAGAGAGCCATAAAGGTTCATGGGATAGAACCGAGCGGGGGCATGTAAAAATATCGCGTGGTTACTTGGTGCAGCATTGCATGTACATGCTTGAGATGGTGTAGTTATTTACAGGTTTTTCGGCCGCCTTTTTCTTGTTGAGTACACTGAAACCTGCTTTCATTACTGACAGACAAGCCAATGACCATCTGATATTTTGATGTGGCGATTCGCAGGCAGTTCATGAGGCCCGTTTCAGAGTATTGATATATAATTTGGTAACAGATTAAAAACACGCGGCGTACTGTGGAGATTCGCTGCCATACCCTCGCACGAAAAGCGGCGCCAAGCCCATCAAGCATCTTGCTGCAAAGCACTCACAAATTTGACGGCATTTGAGCTATCTTTTCATTTCCGAGTTCGTCGGTTGCTCCTCGACATTTAACGTTCAACTTTGACGGTGAAAATGTGCATCTCAACCATCATGGGAGGGCTCGTGCACTCGGAGGTATGTGTTTTATCTCGAACTCTATGTACTTTCACAAAGCGCAGCAACAGGAATCTCTCTCCATTCTGCTTGCCCCACCAGACACTCAGGCCGCTGCGATGCCAGAGCATGTGGAACTGTACAATGGCTCAGGGCGCATACCTTCAGAGATTGATCCACCAGTTGGAGCACTGTATGAAGATGAAGATCATTGTCAGTGAGTAATCATCCCCATGGTGGGATCTCTCCCCCTCATCTCCACCATCTGATAGAGGATCTGGACCCAAGCTCTGTGTAGCGTTCGTCGGAATGGGATCGCAACACCCAGCCATGGGTCGTCAGCTCGCGGAAAGATACCCTCCATTCCTTGCTTCCATCAAGGAAAACGATAGGATCCTGATGGAGGTATATGGCCAGCCATCGTTATTGGACCGCACAGGCCTCTTCATTCCGGGCGCCGAGTGCTCACTGAACGCCAGTGGTACCTGGTCGTTAAATGATATCATTCTATCATTTGCATACGTACAAATCGCCTTGTGGGATCTCATTCGCAATTTGGGATTCAAAGCAAATTTCGTTATTGGCACAAGGTATTTAATCGCATCGATCAGAAGTTGAAGATGTTATTAAATGGGCGTTCAGTATAGGGGAGATAGTGATGGGTTACGCGGCAGGCCATTACGATAGATCAACTGCGATCGGGATTGCTGCGGCCTTCGCTACTACCATGTCTGAAGTCGAGGGAAACGGTGCCACCATCTTTGTCGCCGTCAGTCCACGGCAAGCACGGATCATCATCGATGACGTGCTGCTTCAAGCAGGGGCAACATCCGGCCTCTGGATTTCATCCTTTCATTCTCCACATGCCGTTGCCATCGCTGGCACCCATCCCCTCATAGACGCCTTATTTGCTTTCCTAAGCAACTCCAAGACCTTCTCAGATATATTTGCATTGCGGCTCCCTCAGCTTGGGTGTGCATTCCACACACCATTGATGGAACCAATAGAGGGACCGTTCAAGGCAGCACTGGAGAATCTAGACCTAGACCGAAAGTCGGATGGGGGAACACGCGAAGTGCGAGTGATGTCCACCACTGACGGTGCTTGGCTCAATAGGCCGCTTGATAGCGACTACTTCTGGGACAATGTTCTCCGCCCAACGAGATTTGGGGACATCGTGCAGAAGCTTGTTCATGAAGAGGGCGAGAATATCATTATCCTGGAGATCGCTGCTCACCCAGCAATGAAAACTTGCGTAGAACAATGCGGAGCTCGTTATGTCGGGCTAATCCGACGCCCTGCCCCGGACTCCTTGATTGATGGATCAAATGAATGTATTCAGCTTCTTGAAGCGGTCCAGCATCTTTACGATGCTGGGTTCAGGAGCGCACTCTCGCTAGGGGTGTTTGAACATGCCCTTCGACTCCTTCGTACCGGTAAATAGGTTGCATGATTAGTTGTAGACATGGTGACTCGACTCACCATATTTTTGGCGATTGACGCTGATATAGCTGCCTCCTAGATGAAAGAGTTTAGGGGAGTGTGTTGTCCAAGTGTGTCGTCCAAACTATAACGCAAACTCGCTAATACTGGGTATATTCACGCTCGGATCCAGCCATCTAATGTACATCCAAATTTTGGAGTAAGAATATGCTTCTGGCTTTGCATTGAACCTGTGTTGACCGCAATTCGCTGGATCAAAGGTCCGGATAGCTACCATGGCTACTACTTGTACCCGTGGGTTGTTTCAGACTCAATGTAAAAACGGGATATGAGGACAGGAACAGGAACTAGTGGGAAGGAACGAATAAGTGCACTGTTTAAATCGTGACTTTTCCCTGGGTCAACTAGTACTGAACTCACGCTGCCAGAGTATCCTCGGAACTGGACTTGTCGGCAGCCGCTGATTGTGATCCAATGCAGATTGAGAGATATCTACTTGAGAAACACACGACATCAACTGAAGACGAAAGTGCCTCCCCGGGATCATCATTTGGTGTCCATACCTATGGGTGCTGGCGCACTGAACGCTGGACGCGTAGCCTGAGGGGGTAGTAGTACGAGGGACTAGAGCTAGTACATTGTTGTAGACTCGTAACCAGTCTTGACTACGTCTTTGAAATGTTGAAAGCTTTGCTATGCGTCTACACCACACTGGCTGGGAACTTCAGTACGACCTGATTGTAATTGCACGTTAATGAATTATTCAGGGATCCACTAGGCATATATGTCATTCATCAGTAATGGATGACTTTTTCTTTCTTTCTCGACATCAATTAGAGTATCGATCCTCATAATCTGACATAATAATCGCCTCCAGGGCACCGAGTTCGCGCACCGCCATGACATTCTGTTAAAAAGTTAGCTGAAGCACACAACATGACGTGAATCAAACGAGATGAATGTGGTATCCAAGGCTCGAAAGTCGTCGCACAGATACAACAGAAAGCAAATAATAATAAATGATAAAATAAAAACGCGCACACTCACATCTACCAATTCGTTGGGCACAGCATTCAGCGCCAACTGGCTCCACCGCGCCAGTCCAGGCAAAAGGCCTGCCAACCGTATCTTTATCTCCTCCTTCATTTCCTCTTCCACAGTCAAATCAATCGGATTGGTCGCTGACAGCCCATCTGGGAAGTTTGTCGAGTTCGAGTCTACGAACACCTTCGCCCGCAGTCCGTCGACCAGCACTATCGTGGCGCGGTCGAGCGCAGCGCTAAGGGCATAAGCAAAATCTGGGCCGGACAGATATGCTCTGGTCTGCGAGAGGAGGGAAGAGAATATTGGATCATTGAACTCGGCGCGAGATTGCGAGGTCGGAGGTGGGGACGTTGTATTTGGGGCAGGTCGGCTGGAGGATGGCGATGGGAAAGAGGAGGGAATAGATGAGGGAGGAGTTGGAAAGATACCTGCACGAGGGGTGGGACCGGCAATCGGTGGAGAGTCATTGCTGTCGCGTAACGATGAAATGGAAGAACCAGGGAGGGGTGAAAATTTAGAGGGGACTTGGGAGAGAGCACCACCTTGTGCAAGTACGTGGGCTGTTGTTTCTGGAGTCGATGGAAGGAGAGAGCCAACAAAGCTAAGTGGTAGAGTGAGTCAATGAACCCGGCCGTGAGGCAGCGAGAGGGACTCTACTCACCGGCCAGGTATGCTTGCTCTATCGTCACCTGTACCGTCCCGCTCAACGCGTCGTCGAACATCAAGGATCAGTACGTGGAGCTCAGAAGGTGACAATTTTGTCTTGAGAGATACTCTGACATTAAGAAATTAGTAAAATACGCGTATACGCCTACCTGAAGAATATACATACCCCTCAAAGACGGCTTCGACACTACCTTTCACTCTTGCGGCTATATCCTTCCATCCAACGTGTAGTATCCACCAGCTAAGTGTCAAGAACCGCATCTCAGCATCGTCTGATACGCCTTCCACCTCTTCATCCCAGTCCTCTTGACCTGCAGACCATGCTGGCCATATCATCTCCACGTCAACAATACGAGATACAGCCTCACGGAAGATGAGACCAGAGAGTGTAGGTGATGCCTCGCGGATGCGTTCGGCGCGTTCGGCGGAAAGGACCGAGGTTATGTAGCGTTCACGTGCTAGAAGAGCCAGCTGTATGCTTGTGAGGAGGGACAGCAAAGTGGTGGTATAGAGTGTCGTCAGTGTACGTGTTAATGCTGATATATTGTGTGAGCAAATTGTAAGGGATACTGGATATGACAATGTACTTAATATTTTTACTTCCTTCCATAATTGTGCTTTCGTTCGGGTGCTACTTTCACTCATGGAGGAAGCCATGGAAGCCTTTTGTTCCTAGTTTGCGCATAAATAGAGTTTTTCAATTCCGGATCCGAGAAGCTCACATGAAAAGGGGCACCAGGGTTGTAGCTCAGTGAAGAACTAGCGGTGGTAATTGAGTCAGATAGTTGACTACCAGCCGAGGCAAGGAACTCGTGAGGTAGCTGTAGCTGCTCACTCGCACTCCTGTGTGATGAGACGCTCGAAAAGCGATCGACCCAACTGTCTGTTGAAGCTGCCATATTCGATGTCTCTCCATCAATGCCTGAATAGGACGACAATGACACAGACCCAGCATCCGAGCGCATATCTGAGGTGGAACTAGCTTCGGATTCGGAATGAGACTCTGGATGTTGAAAGCGAGATTGAGGACGGGACATGCGTGACAGAGATTGAAGCTCGTTGGTAAGTGACTCGACATCCATCTCCTCGAGGATTTGCTCAGCCAGTGTAGGAATAAGTGCCATAACAGTAAAACACGCATCATCATGAGTACTCTGAAAGCGTCTTCGAAGTCTAATAACAATGAATGAGCAGGTAAGTCAGTAACCTTTGACAAAGTCGGCGAACATACGCCTCTCGAGCAGCTCTGCTTCTGACAACCTTTTCTTTGACTTCCTCCAGTCTCTCGTTAACATAACAGCTCACAGCATAGGCTCCACATAGAACAGCCGATGTCCCGAATAGCCCACGACGCCGGTCGTACACGTATTTCCTTGCAGCGTCGAACATGAGGTCACTGGAGGAAAGTTATGGATGATGTAAGCATTGGGGTAGTCCTCATGATTCCAGTCTCACTTATCTCCGCAACATCCTATGGTTGGAGTTCAACACCTCTAACACCTTGCAGGCACATAATATTGGCACTGAAGCCAACCTCAAATTTTGATTGAACAGTAATTTATTATGCTGGTGTTCATTGAACCCACGAGGCTTTTGATGTTCAAAGCTTACAACTGTGACAAGACCAATACGCCGTATGTAATTCAATGGTACGTCATATTCAGTGTTCGAAATGCCCCTCTATTACAAGTTCTCCATTGCTCAAGCGGCGGGGAATTCTGTTCAGAAGTAACATTTCGGCCAATCAGCAACGAACTATTTTATATCGTACATCAACCACGCTATCGGGAACATGACTTACTGCTGCGTCTTGCGACTTAGAATTGATGTAAATGCTTGACATTTATGAATTAATCCATTCGAGACCTGTGAGTGTTGGAGAAATTGTGCAAAGCAAACTATTCATACTCGCTCTTCTCAGGTTCTAGTGTCTCCATCAACAACACTTTTCTTGAGAGAAACCTTGCGGCAGTCAGTAGTTCCGCATATACTATCGTCATTCGCGCTGACAGACAAAGATGCTATCAAAGCAGTAACAATAGCAAGGATATTAAAGAAACGCATTGTGATATTCGGTATGGGGAGCACTAAATACGAAGGGAAAAATTGCTGGCTTCTATACCCTGACACTAGCACTCTGGGCACGACTTCATGGTGGATTTAGGCAGAACGTACCATCCGAAGAGACGTCATTTGCGTGCCAGCGGACCTCGAACCTGATATCGACAACAGCTGTACGTATTTGCGATCTGTCGTGCGTCAGAGCTAAAAATTCCCGTCCCGTAGGATGCTGGACTTTTATACATGGCCGATGTTACTGGCTCTCGCTGTTACAGTGTTATGCAGAACTTTTCAGAGCCATGTGTAAGCTCGTTGCTTACCTGAGTTCTCATAATCAGCATAAATACTGTCCGCGATAAACAAAGCGTGCTTTGTTTATCACTGCCTTTTGGCGTAACGGTTAAGGCCTAAGGGACGACAGTCTTGACCACTTACACTTACTTCTACATTGCTCCTTTGTATCGCTTCTGAAAACCCACGATCTTGTCTCGTTTACTCCATTCGATCCGCTTAGTGTTTCCCGCCACTCCCTGGCGGGTTTCCACCATGTTCCGCCAATGTATGTGATTCCGTGACCATGATCTCGTCTACCACTGCTGCAGGCACTAGTCCCTTGTCAGCACGCGTTCGCTATTCCAGCCGGTTCCGCCAGATCGGTTTCGGCAGATGCGGCAGAATGTCAAACTACAGGGTATCACGTTGAATGGTGTTCTAATAAAAACTCATCTAGAAAATATGCAAGATAGACGATAGTGATAGGGGGAGCAAAAGGCCAGACTGCTCATTAATTCAGTCTATCAAGTGTTCGTTCTTCTAATGCCTCCATTGCTCAAGCAGCACTGAATTCAGCATCTCGGTCAAACCAGCAATGAACTGCCTGAGTATCGTGCATCAACCACACTGTACCAACGCGTTACCAGAGAAACGACTCACTGTTGCGACTTGCCACAGCTTTCCACTCCGGTTTGATTTATGACGTATTAACACAAAGGAATAGAAATGAGTCCTACAACGCCGGTGAGCCTTGAGGAATACTGAATGCGAGCTACTCATACTCACACTACCGGCGATGTATATCTCCTTACATGTCTGACCAGGGCAGCATTTATCAGTCAATGCGCACAAAGTTGGGCATGCATTGACAAATGCAGACGCTGTCAAAGCGGCCACAACGGCGAAGACGGAGGAAAAATGCATGGTGCGATGCGACACAGGGTCAATAAAGGTGGGTGGGAACAGTAGGAAGACTACTGCTTTATAAATGTCGCGTTCAGGACTCTATGACTCTGGTTTGGGTAGAACCTATTATCCAAATAGAGGTAATCTGCATGCCAGCAGGCCTCAAATTTGACTTGCTCTGTCACCGATATCATGAGCGTAGGAATTTGCACGCTGCCGTGCTCTGAAGTTGTCTCACTATACATAGAGTCTTAAAGCTCTCCAAGTCCAAATCGCAAACGGTATGGCCACCGCATCGCCCAGCATACTAGTCTCGTCGATTATGATGTGATGATCGCTCGCCTTGGTGAATTCAGTCGTACGCCAGCTGGTGTTCACAAGGTTTGCCTCTACTATTGTTGTCTGTTGATATTTTCTTTTCGGTCGACACGTCAAGAAGAATCTTTTCCGTTCCCTGAGAAACCGGTGGAAAATCTGGTATCCTAACGATAATCACACTGCAGAACAGTGAAGTCAATTTTTAGTGGTGATTTCGAATGTCAAACGAATTCCAATCGTCAATTTGATAAGGGCTGCCGACGCACCTTCTTCGCACACGATAGAGGCTTCGGCAGAATGCAACCTTGAAACAAGATGCCACCGTTCAATAGCAGCTTGATAGCGATGGTGTCATGTAAATGGCACGCATTAGGGCATCTACGGCATTCAAACCCAAATATGAACCTGCGGGGCTACAACCAAGGCGAGAGACCGAGGAAGCGCTCAGGCCTGGACTCCGAGGTACAACTCATTATCTTGTGAAATGGAAAGAATGCTTACGATAACGATCGCACCCTTAAGTACGCTGTACCCTTCGTAGACGTCTTCCCTCATTACGTGACGTGGGAGCCCTGCGTCGTTGAGAGTGAGCAGGAACTAGGACGAAAATGCACCTCTGAGGTCGATGTACAGAAGCTTTACTCTGTCCTCAAACGCGGGAAATTGGTCCTGACCTACGACAGCATCGATTTCTGCCTGTGCACATGTATCTCGCGATAAAGCAGAATTAAAAACGTCAGGAATGATGCTGTTTGTTCATGTCAATGATTGTTTAAAATTTACATGAGGCAGGGTGCAAAAGATACCTTACGGTGTCAGCTCTGCATAGATCCCCACTACTATGTACACCACGAGGTAATATCTTCGTGTTTTGGGCAGACTGTACACACATCTTCTGGAAGAATCTGTTCTGAAATGAAGGAATGCGTATAACTGTCACTTTGTTGATCAGCGGCGACAATGGGTTAGGAACTGAACGGCATCTGGCAGCCCGAGCACGGGTCCGAGAGGCACAGAACGATTAGCCGTCCGGCCGTATTACTAGTCACGGTCCCGCACTAACTCCGCGTTAATTCATCCCGATTTCGAGCACGCCCTTCACCATATCTCCTACCCTTGAAAATACTTGACACCATGCTCACATCGGTGCGCATCGCCTTTCCCGCTCCTTTCGAGATCTCCATATCTATCTCCCTACCCGTTAATGGCTCAATCTCCCTCGGAGTAACGAATGAAGTCAAGGATGAATTTTCGACCACCAAGGTCACAAAGTTGTAGCAAGCGAACGCTAGTATCCCCTAGATCGCATCTTGTTCATCAGGAACCACTTCAACAAATATCTGGCGACTTTGTCGTACAAGAAAACAATCTAGGATCTTCCACATCGGGTCCGAACGATGTGCTCATTCATCTGATATGGGCGCTTGAACTCCTTTCCACAGCCTGCACAGACAGCCTTAATCTTCCCCTCATGCACCTCTTTGACATGACGACCGAGATTATCCTTCTTGACGAGTGCCAAGCACCCGTGCCAGGTGCATTTTACTTTGCCCTTTGCTTGGATGGGGACAGACAGTTGCGCAGCAGGCTCATAGACAGAATCCAATGTGCCACAGAGCGATAAATCTAGGGATACATTGTAAGTGTTTCTGTTGAATGATAGTGAATTGACCGTGGCGATGATTCTCACCCTCTAACGACGATGCCGTGACACGCGGGTCATAGAATGCTGAACAGGCCTCAGAGTACATGTTGTACCGAGGCTGAGTTAGGGGATGTTGAACAATCGGCCCATAGTCGGCAGAAGTGCGAGCGCCGTGGGGTAACAAGCCTGTACACAGTAAGTGTTTAAATAAAAATTTTGGCTGCAAATACAGCAACTTACCTTGGGGGGGACCTGTACCCTCTGACAGCGATCCCGTAACCCCGAACGACGTTCCATGAGGTGCAAACTGTGGCACGAGGCAGCGGTCGTGCGAAGGTCCAAACGATGCAATGACATTGAGACTATCGAGTTCAGCTTGAGAGTCGACGGTGCTATCACGTCCACCCGAATCCTCCATTGTGACATCTGACTGGTAGTTACCAAGGAGATTCATCAAGACGCTGCGGATCTGCTGGATTTCCTCATGCACACGACGCTCTAAGCTGTCGAGGCGGTCGAGGCGCTGGAGACATGACTCCAGGACTAGTCTCGTTGAATGTTGGTCAGGGGCCTGCCCTGGCCACGAGGACAATGGGTTTTGTAGTGTTGATCTAGATGAAATTTTGGTGCGCTCGTGTCTTTTTCTACGATGTGCGCGCAAGTTATCCATCTGTAGACTCTAGGTGACAAGTAAAGCAATGCAAATGCTGGAGAATTCTGTTATCCTTTGTGAGAGTTGGGAAATTGAACACAAAATGAAACATCGCCCCGACACCTTTATATTACATGTCCATAACGCGTCTGGCAGGCGTAATCTGGATTACTCCGAGTAAGCGCTTCCAACTAGTCCGGTTGCCTCATGTTGTATGGAAATTAATTGGTTAGTCTTCCAGGAAATGAATGATCGCTTGCCACCTTGAATCTTATCAACTTGACAGCTGCCTATCATGGATACAGATCGTTTTCCCGCCATGCGCAGCCCACTTGCTTCTAGGCGACGGTCAAGGATGTGGGTGAAAAATCCGTGCGCTGTCACTGGACGACTCCATTGCAGCGACTACCTCCAGAAATTCTCAACCAAGACCTAGATTGAAGGCATCATTTAGGGTACTCATGCTTCTTGATATTAAAAGGGGCAGCCCTGTTCTTGCAAATATAGGGGCACACAAGGATCCCGCATTCCATCAACGCAATCACGCTAGATTCCACTGGCGCCAATTGGTTCACCGTGTGGTCTTTACCGTAATGCCACCCGCCATAGAATTTACTTTCCCTTGGCACTTTAATTAACTTCGCTGGGCGCCTCTCATCACGATGTACAGCCAACTCTGCTTTGTAGTACGTACTTTGAATAAAAACGTTTTTATCCTCATCGATACTTCCCTCATCATGCATGTAATTAATTGTGGTGTCTTTCCGGATCCCAACAGATGCATATCTCTGCAGTGCTTCAAGTTATGCTTTATTTTGTATAGATTCATTCTCCGTCTTGAGAAGTATCGTATATTAACAGATAGGCTGACGCCGGCACATAGTATCGGTTGGACGCCATTCCGCCATTGTGATGATAGACGTGAGAGGTTTCACTAGGCATACTGGGCTTTGCCTACACCTGGGAGATCCGGAATATGAATGCCATTTCATGAAAGTGGGATTTAGCTTACTTTGGTACAATTCAAAAACGACGCAGTTACGAGATTAAAGACCAACAGAAGCTTTTACGACGGTTATGGGGTGCTGTCGTATTTGGCAGGACTTGATGCCAGGATGATCCGTCGAGCATCTACAAAGAGAAAAAGGTATTGAACCAAACGCATAGATGATACCGCATACAGGAATGACATCGTGTTCGCAGTGCCAGTCTCCACGCGTCCGAATCCATCGACATCTATAAATATGTTCCGAATCGCCGATGTTATGTTAGTACTGGTGCGTACTCTTAGACTGGGAAAGGAAGAAAACGTATATGAGTGCTCGTGCGCGGATACTGAGGAGGGGCAACAAGCAGGAAGCATCAATCATCAATCGGCGTCGTACTAAAAGCATCAAAATGGGTATTGGGTTTCAAAATTCGCTGATCATCATATCGCAAACTACGCACTGCACAAAAATATTCTGCGATTTTAGTTAGGTGTTCTCTAGTGTTTATAGAATACAACTGTGAAGATCCTATAGAAAACATCGAGCAGTTGTGTTCACAATAAATCATCCATTGAAATATGTCACACCACTGAATGTTAATGATTGTAATGCTACAATCTATATACTTTGTCAAACAGGACAAAAACTATGTGAAAACAATCTCTGTCCTTATACAAATGATGCTTACCACTGCGATTTCTATATCATGATTGAGTGAGGGCAGAACCATGTTATCAGTGAAGTTGTTGAAAGAGTGGATGCTGCACCGTGACCATAGTGCAGCATCAATTATAATCTCCGCTCAAAAACTGTACATCGAGTAAACAGGGGAGGTGTATCTTATAGCAGCCAGATGGGGTCATCACTCACCAGCGCAATGACCTGGACTGTGAGTTTAATCCTCGTTGGTATATATCCTACATCCAGTCTTTGATTATACACTTTTGTGAACATACTCACTTTCAATCTATTACTATCATATCCTTTCCACTTAATGCACATACTACATTTAGATTTACTTACTGTGGATAGCTGGTCTATATAATGTACATGCACGAATCCGTAGAATCTTTGATTTCCTTCGAACGCTCGTTCAGATATCGATATTCAAAATTCTGCCGAGCGTACCGTTGCGGAGCTATAAAACTCCAGTGTGACATTGCTGTGACAAATTTTGAAACAGCATATCCAGTCCCTGCCAAACTGACATCGCACAACCGGATTCCTTCCGCCGCTCGAACATCATCGCAAAAAAAATCAGATTTCACCTGGGTGTGATAGAGCACGATTTTTCCCACAGGTCTGTCAAGAAGCGGAAAAAAAAAACCTCTTGACGAGTGTGCTACGCTTCAAACATTGAAAACCTTTGAAAAACCCCGCCAGTGATAGTAAGTGCAAAGTTTGTCAACTGCTTCGCAATCTTCCGAGTCGCCTTCATTTCCGAGCCATCATACCATCATTTACCTACCACTATTCTCCAGGCGCCGGTCTTTGCTGACCGTTCACGAATCATACAAGTTCCTGTTCGTGGACCGCCCATATGCACATGGTCTCCCTCAGCTCGTGGGCTGATATAGGTCGAACTTGGGTACGTTTCATACGCTTCAGCCACCTCATTCATAACATCTCTTTTTGTTTGATGTCTGGTATAGTCTGCAGTCGGAGCCGCTGCCTTCCGTGATTCCATCTTATCAACATTACAACATTACAACTCATCACCGCTAACGACATTCGCAGAACAATCAAGATGTCCACTTCCATAAGCGCCAATACATGAACGCAACTACCATGGACAGTATCCGCAGGGAGACCTTTCTACCCACCCTCAAGGTCAGTCCCTCTTTTTTCCGTCGAGTACCTTCGACTAGAACCATCATGCAACCTTGCAACAGCTTATCGTGTTGTCCACCCGTCCCAGCTACCTTTCAATAGTGAACTGGTCACGCATTTCTCAGTGGCCATGAGCTCTCTGGCAGTCCGAACTTCTTCGACATTCTTCGACACGCTCTAATCACACCACCGGGTTGAACTGCTAGATCGCTGTCAAGTACCAGTGCATACTTGTGTGTCCCTTCCGTCGACGCATCTGTCAAATCCAAAAATAGGTTCTCGATGACCTCGACAGGGTTACATCCATCTAGGCTCAAGAATCTGGTCTGACATGCTGACAGGCGCATGCAGAATCGATCACTCCCTGTCGTTTATGCTGGCAGATTCGGGTATCATGCTCCTGCCGATGATTGTCTAGCGCTGCCAGTGGGAGGAGGGGTAGGAGCAGAGGCGCAACTCGGATGTCGAGCAGCGCGAATTCCTAGAAACTCCTCACAGAACCATTTTTGTATTTCTACTTCAATCCAATTCATTTTCACTTATATGAATTTTCATCCACGAAGCAGATTTGCAAATCATCGTAACCAGGTCCGGCTTAGAACGCAAATATCTAACCCACTCCTTACTCGCCCCTCTGAGTTTGGGTTCAAACGGTCACCTTTTTCTACTCTGGCTTGTAGAGATTCGCACATTTGGCATTCATCGCATATGGTATACCAGTACTTACTAGCGCTGACTCTGCGACGATCCTATCTGGTTGTTTTCAAGTTGACGCAGTGAATGCAAATGCATACCGAGCAATCAATTAATTATGGTTCAAACGTTTTGAACGTTCATGAAGCCCATACCATATCCAACACATGCATTAACACGGAGTCTCTCCCACGTCTGATGGACTTTGTGCTGCCGAATGACCTGATTTTGATACTCCGTCTAAACTCCGTCCAAACACTTTCAAGTCGATTGGCGGCTGGCGCTAAATGATTCATCTTTGCGCAAATCACATCCCTTCCTTGGCCATGTACCTTTTGGAGTTGAGTATCACCGTGGGTCAAAGACCGATCAGAGATCGTCACTAGCATGCTTCAACTTAGCGGTACGCTCTCCCTCCGCGTTATTTACCTGTACAAGAAGTCATCATATTGAATCTTAGTATTTGTATTGGTGCGCATTGCCTAAGTTCATGTGCTCTTGAGAGCTCCATACCTGGGTGCTCTCACCACTTTACTTTTGACAAATCTACTCGAGATCAGTACTTTCTTCATTCGGCCCGACAGATATGGTCCCTCAACATATAAGGGCGCGCGAACTTCTTTCCACAGCCAACGCAGACAGCCTTGACTTTACGCCGATGCACCTCATTTACGTGACGAGTGAGATTATCCTTCTTGACAGTTCTTGAGCATCCGGGCCAGATGCAATTCACTTTATGTTGGCTCGGGCTGCCCTGCGCAATGGGAAGACGTGGTTGTTGGTCGTGACTTGTTGAAGACTCGGACAAGGTCTTCCCATCGGAGTACGTGTCATACTGAGGCAGGAGCCCGAGTACACCAAGCCCATAGCTGACGACACCAGGGGTGCCATCGGGCAACAGGTCTGGTCATATACGGTAAGCATTCTAAGGAAAGGTTGTGCATATTGCGAACTTACTTTGGGGAATTGTACCTATGGAAAGACCCTCCGCCAGGGTACTAGTACCAAATCCTAAAGGACCGTACTTGAGGTCTGAAAATTGTCCCGGGAATGCTGGTGGCTCTGCCAAGACGGAGAACTCTGGTGGAGTCGACGACGGTGGAACGGCATTGAGCTCGAACGCAAGTGGCATGATGATCTGAGGCTCATCATTGACGATTGCCTGGGAGTCCATGTCACCATCCAATGTGCCTTCACCCCCCACTATGGTGATTTCTGATTGAACGGTGACAAGTAGCTCTGTGATGCGGGTGCGGATTTCCAGAATTCCTTGTAAACACAGTCCATCCTATCATGGACTCGGTCAAGACATTCGAGACACGATTTTAGGCTTGATCTCGTTGAATCTTGATCAGGGACATCCCCCGACCATGAAGACGACGTCAGCTGGGGGGTTGGTAGTGACGATTCAGGCCTTGAATGTACATCCATGGTAAGCTCATGCTCTGATCTCGAATATACGAAGCGTGGAACGAGTTCACCTTTGCAGATACATGCTCGTTTTAAAACCTCGAGTTGCGGGTTCTGGATGGCACGGGAAGTTGTATGAATGTAAGAGAATGCAAGACTGTTGCCTTTTTATTCCCATTATTCCGCAAACTGAATTTTGATTATAGCACCATGGCAGTCAACGTAACCCAATACTGCGTACGGCTACTCCTTCCAAGCCTAAAATGGAACTTGTCGAAACCTTGACTGGTCACGTAAAGTTACACCGTGCTCGCAAAAATCACGGTGGCAGTCTTGAGCTCAGGGCGGGCCCGCACAGCGAAAGACACAGGCACAAATATAAAAGAAATTTGGATCGACTTCCGGTTGTAGTACGGTACATGGCGCTCATAAAGGGCCATGTGTCATTAAGTTAGAAACTAATATTGTGTGTGATGTTTCTAGGCAAGAGCCATGCGATAGGGGGAAGAATTTCATGTATTTCGTAGTCTAGTATGGTCCGCCGTCACCCGAACGGCCAGCCCTTCGAAAAGTTCAATCCGAATAACCGATGACCCTATGCTACGTGTATAAGGTGATTGTGCACAGTTGTGCACGTAAAACTTCCTGTGCATTTGAATGCTGGTCACTGGGTCGACATATCAACATACGAACGTTTCAGATGTGCCGCAGGATGAAAAGAGAGTAGACCACCTACCCCAAACCTCGTAGCCATCCTTAACAATTATAAGCGTGAAACGGTCGATTCCGCAAAACCAATTCGCATCCCCTTATGTGCATGCCCCACCTGAGCACCACATGTACTCTCGTAAGGCTCAAGTTTACGGTACTCAGATCTCGCAACTGTATGCAATTAGCCATGACGTAAAACCTGTTCCCGTCTTCACTGGCGACGTCACACAACTGTATGTTGGGTTTAGAGTGCCATAGTGACATAGATACACATTCTCCTAAACTGTTCCGAGAAAACCGCTTGAAACTTCGGAATGTACGGTACAGTCCGAATTACGTTGGCTTGCCAATTCAAATTCGTGAACTTTAGCACAACGTTTTCAGCGTTTAGAATTTGAACAAAATAAGAATAACTTTTTACGCTGCACAGAATCCCTGAGGATGAGCTTACTAAGAATTTACATTCGAGGTCCGGATTGAAATCCGCCGAGACCGTCTTCGCGGTTAGAGCATGCTGTTGAGAAGACTCCATGGCGCGGGTTTGCATTTGAATTTGAGGAATAGATGACTGTACTCACGCAGGAATGTCCTGTCTCGAATGATTCTCGGCATCCCACACCCTTGCTATTCCATCGTTTAGCAAATTCACTCAGCCACCAACACTACATCTTGACTCTAAGAGAAAAACAACACTTCACCAACGTTCCAGGCGAACACCTCTCTCGGTATCCAAATACTCTTATCCCCATCAGGGGACAACATTGTGTTTACTTACGGTGTGCCATCCCCGTCTCGCTAATCTTGCCCTATCTGGTCACCACTACTCGAATCAAGTTCCACACCCGCAAGTCGCCGAATGAACAAGCGAAGATGATCCGATGTTCGTCTGGCAGGTCCACACTTCTGGCAGGGCGTTCGTTATTGCTGATATCCCATCGGGCGCTGCAGTACGTGATTGTCACCCAAAGTGTGCAGCTAAAAACGCGTCGAACCAATGTTTGCCCAAAAGTTAAACAGTGGCCCACAGAGGGGTGCCGCGTCCAGTAGATAAATGAACAGTGGCCAAGACGATGCGACAAAGAGCACGAGGTGCGTATTTGTATAACCAAAGCATATGCTGCGCAGCCCGAGACGAACGGGTCGGAAGTTAAACAGCCAGTGATGCCGTGACTACATGCGTGTGAAAATTGCCATCGGCATCCAGTGGGGACCTCTCCAGGTAAGTCGGAAGGACAAGACGGCCAAGTCGTAACTTGAAGACGGAGCCCTGATAGATAGCAAATTGTATGGCGGGTGTATCTTGAAGTCGGCGCCATCAAACAAGAAACTTTTTGCGCAAAGATCCCGAAAACTTGACAGATCCATGATGAAGCCAAATCAGGAATGTACCGGCGGTGCTTGCTAATTAGGTGAGAAAAAACCTTACAGCAGCTGCATGGTATGTCTCCCCGAAAACGTGTCAGCGACTGTCAATCAGTAAACCCGGTGGTGAGACTCACATATTCCCAGCCGAGGCGCTCTTTCCTGGACATGACGTTGTATAGTATCCCTCTCGAGGATATTCCCCATTGATCTGCAAACTGAATTTTGATTATAGGACCACGTAACCCAATACTGCACCAATACTGCGTGGCACGGGCTGACTCGCTCTAAGATCTCAAGCTTCAAGGCGGAACTTATCGAGTCGAGACCTTGTCGTAAATTCATTTCTGTCGCATAAAATACGGTGGCAGCTCAGCGCTCAGGCCTCAGGGATGGGCTCGCACAGCGAAAGACACGGGCAGGAAATTGGAGCGCTTTTGACTCGGTTGCAGTGAATCTGGTCATAACGGGGCCATATGTCACTAAGTTGGAAATTAATATTATGTGACGTTTCTAGGGAAGAGGCATGGTGACGCATGGATCGAGATGAAGTTGCCGGTTCATGCACAATGGCCATGGCCCGTCACCCGAACGGCCAGGGGTCCAATCTGAATAACCGACCCTATGCTAGGTTATTTGTACACATTTGTATACTGGTAGACATGTCAACATATGAACATTTCAAATGTGCTGCAGGATCAAATTTAAGAGTAGACTAGCACACCCCAAACCTTGTAACCATCCTTCACATATATGAGCACGAAACGGTTGATTCCACGGAACCAATTCGCGTCCCACAATCTTGTGGGCAGTGGTCATCGGGGGTCATGTCAAGCCAACGTCGACGCTGCGATTTCGTCCACCAAGGTGGCCTTGTAAGCAAATACCAGCATCCCCTAATAGATCGTGTATTATTCATAAAGAACCACACCAACAATTAATTGAGTAGGGCTTATAATACCACAACCATGACCAGCTAGCGGCTTTGACGTACAAACAGCCTTAATCTTCCACTCGTACACCTCTTCGACATGGCAAGTAAGGCTATACTTGTTGATGACTGCCGGGCACTCGTCCCAGGGGCATTCTACTTTTTCCTTTGCTTAGTTAGCCTGCACAATGAAGACGGACAGTTGCGCGTCGGGTCTGGCTGAAGAACCGAAGGGGTCATGCTCCCCGAAATGACTGCCCTGGAAGGGTTGCGCAGTGGACTCATAGATAGGATCGGACGTGCTATGGAGCTATAAACCTAGGGTTACGTTGTAAGCATTTTAATGAAAAGTTGCGAATGATAACGAATTCACCATGACGAGCATTTACACTCTCCAATGACGATTCTGTGACACGCGGATCAGAGAATGCCGGAATGCCTGCAGAGTACATGGTGTGCTGAAGCTGATTTATTATATAGTCGGCACAACTGCGAGCACCATGGGCAATAAGCCTGTTAACGGCAAGCATTTAAACGAAAGACTGCATATAAAGCAACTTACCTGCTGTAACCCCTGACAGCGATCCCATGACCCTGAACGATACAGGCTGTAGCATGAAGTCCGCGGGGCCGTGCGAAGATACAAACGGTAGAATCATAACATTGGGACCATTGAGTCCAGCTTGGGAGTTGACGGTGCTATCACATCCTTCCGAATTCTCCATTGTGATATCTGACTGGTAGTCGTCGAGGAGATCCATGAAACCGCGAGCCTCCTGGACCTCTTCGTGGACATGACGCTTTAACCTGTCCAGGCGGCCAAGGAACTGGTGACATGACTGCCGGATTCTTGATCAGAGACCTGCACTAATGATGAAAACAACGAGTCTTGTAACGATCGCATCATGGTGCGCTGTCTATGATGCAGCGTAATCTATAGGCGAGTGGCATCCTCCTACCAGATCTCCAGATGCCCAGGCCGGCATATGCATGGCGCTCTTGTGAGAGCTACAAGCGTAGAGACAATCCAGATGCAAGTGGTCAGAAACTACAGGGCTTAGACAGCTGCAATACACCGTGATGCTGATCAGCGGCTCCATGATACTCGTGCCGCAGATTTCGTAGCTGCGCGAGTAAAGGATGAGGTACCAGGAGAACCACAATTTGCTGAAGACCATTTTAATCCAGGACTCGAAGTTGATGATGTTGCTTCCGGGCACGAACCGCATGGTGATATTGATAGGGAAATGAATCCAGACCCTCTTGAGCCGCTAAACAACCTCTTCGAGACGCACAATGGGTCCCCCCAATGTTCGAGGCCCAGATGACTTCAGCACCGATGAAGATAAAGATATCTTTCAGCGACTTGGACGGTCCAATGTGCCGGAGGATGATCCAGCTGTTCCTGATGATGATCCCGGCGCTGTTCCTGAAGGCTGAGGATGGTGATGGTGCCCTCCATGAGGACACCGCTGCTGCCGAGGCTATTGCTGCCAGAAATTCCAACTCGTGTTGGGGGCCCCATTAGTGGAAAATGGCATGTCTCCCCGAAAACGTGCTATCGATGCGTCAGCGAGTCATCCGGCCAGCACAGACGCACCATTGAAAATTTACGATAATTTACGATTGCTGTCATGGTCCACTTTCAAGGCATCTTCGTATGCATGGCGGAATATTTATGTATCGCAGACCTCGATGGGAAAAAAAGTACTTGAACCCAGGATGACTCTGGTCTTTCGATCTTCCTCGGGAGAGATATCGGACGGAATCTTCACCCAACAATTCTCTCGAGGATCGCTGCGAAAGATTTCATCAAACTTGAGTTATTTTTGGAGTCAGCAAACGTCGGTCCCCTGTTCGTCTTCAGGTCTATCAGCCCTGTCCAATTTCCATGTGGATAGGACCACAGAAGTTATTACGAGTGACATGATAGTGAGAGCACGACTTGAAGAAATCGTGACCGAGCACTGCTTGCCCTAAAGTAGATTCAAGCTCTGCATTAATGATCACGCTTTAGATCTTCTGCCTCCGACACCGACAGTCTCCAGCTGTGCAGCATTCACTTCATTCTCAAAAGTCCCCTCTGCTAAATCAATTTCGAAGAGTCCTGATCACTGAAAACATGCTATTCATACTCCCATATATCTACAAACCATGGTGCAGATCAAAACCCCATACATACATACTGTAACATCTAATGATTATCCAACCCTAGCCCTCGCATAAATGCAATGTCAATCTAAACATGAATGTCAGACGACGCATAACGATAGCAATGTGTGTTCAACAAAACTTATTTCTCGAGAGATGGTACGTGTCCTGATATACTGACGATGAGAAGACATCTAGGCTGTGATCCCAAGACTAGATAGTTCCTTGCGGATCTCAGCTTCACCCTCCATTTTTTTGAGCTGCGTCGCTTCCAGTCGCTCCCCGCGGTTCGCCTTCTCCTTGAGTTCATCAATGGCCTTCAGCTGTAAGTCAATGGCCATCAACACAATGCAACGACGACGACCAGAAAAGCAAACACCAACCTTCTTATTAAGATTCCGAACCTTCTTCGCGACAGGGTCCAACGATTCTGCTCCCGGCGTTGGTGGAACGGAGCCTTGGCCAGGTGTCTGCGTCCCTACTACAGTCACATCAATAGACGGTCGCACAGACGCCTCCCCAGTAGGCGTCGCAGCTCCCGAGCCCGCTTCCCCAGTTCCTTTCTCTTTCTTCTTCCCCTTTTTCTTCGGCTTCTTTTCACCACCCTCTGCCCCGGGCACAGGCGCAGTCGAGGGCGTCTTGGGTGCGGCACCAGGTACATGCCTCCTTCCCCCATTCCCATTCTGATAGTGACCATTTCCGTTCGAAGGCGTGCCTCCATTAGCATGGCCCATGCTACCGGGAGGATTCGGTGAACGGTTGTAGCCCCGTGGAGGTGTTGCGCTGCCGCTGCCGGTGGGCATACGAGGAGCACCGCCCTCATCCTCACGCTTGAAAATCGCTGGTGTTGCAAGGCCACGTGCACCAGGCGGCCTGTAAGCTCCTGCAGCTTTAGGTGTAACGGGTTTAGCGGTCAAAGCCGCAGTCAATACACTGATTGAGGGCTGGGGTGCGGCAGGGATAGTTGCACCAAACGGAGGTGCTTGATCAAGTGGTGTAGGTCTCCACGATGCCTGATATAATTCGTCTACCAGCTGGACGTGCATAAGTCCACTAGTGCAATGCCATATCTTGATTCCGTTGTCCACACGAAGACGAGGAGACAGAGTAGCTGTCAAAAGGAACCTGCCGCAAGGCGACCATTCGCAATAAGAGGTGTTTGGTGCGTCGATGGTACAAATCTTTGTCAACGTTCTTCTGTCGAAGATGTCGATTTTTCCTGCCAAGTTACCAAAGCCGGCAAGCGCGACGAGACGACCTTGCGGATTGAAAGAGATGAAGTTATGAGGAGAGGATCCAAAATCGTGAAGCGTCCGCACACGTTGATCAAAGAGTGTAGTTTTAGCAGGCATATCTAATAAGAAAACTTGTTAGTAATGACTTCCGTAATCTAGGGAGACAACTAACATCCATAGACAACGCCAAATTCTTTCGAGTTTGGGCTCCACGAGACGTCATGAATCGGTCCCTCCTTGTCCAGGGTGACGCGACAGTCGAAATTACCTGCCGCGCTGAGAAGGTACATACCAGTCTCGCCGTAGTAGCTCATGTTTGAGTTATCAACCTCCGTTTGTGTAAGGACTAGTGCCTGTGTGCCAAGATCGTTCCACTTTATCTGGGCGCGATCAGCCTTGTAGAAAGTTTTAGAGCAAGTCGGAGCGCCAGAAAGGGTGGATAGGCCGTAGATCTTGACAACCGCAGGGGCGCCCTGAGAAGAGTAAACTTAGCATAGGAATGTATGTAACATGGAGGGAAAAGGATTATACCTTCTTCTCAGCAACAAACACCGCAACGGATGGGTTCAGTCCAGGACTCAAGGAGACCATGGATGCGCCTTCGACGCGCAGCTTATCGGCAATGCCCTTCCCCCATTCAGCAGGACGGTAGACCTGAATCTCCTGAGCGACAAGACGAATGGCATGCGACTCAGACATGGTGTACTGAAGGTCCCAGTTCTCCTGCGACTTTTGTGTGAATGAGATGAGCTCCTCGCCGGTAGACGCGGAGAAGACGCGAAGATTCTTGTGCTGGGCGCCATCTTCCAGCTTGACTGCGGGGAGGCGTGTGAGTGAGATTTTACCGAGACCCTCGACGACAGACACGAGGCGTACCTGGCCGCTCCCATGTAGAGAGGTATGTTCCGCGCGGAGAGAACTTGAGTTCGATAATATTTGGAACACTCAGTTCTTGAAGCAGCTGGGCACCTTCGGCTAGAAAGATCCGCACACTGTGAGGATCAAATTGAGTCAACCAGGTGATTTGCGCGAGCACGAAGTAAACCTTACACAGTTGGTAGCGCGTATGCAAAGAGGCGACCATCGGGGCTGTAGTGGTATGTGCGAGCTGGGACATCGGGGACGGCGAATCCCTCTATTGGCATGTATGTGGGCGTGCCGCCGACGAGGCCCATGCTCTTCTGTGCGCGGACTACAAGATACCAATTACGTTAAGATCAAAAAACAAACTGGATGGATAAATGTTTGAACGAACAAGCATATTGCTGGGAGAGCTGGGAGGCCATTTTTTTGTGCTGAGAAGACGGAGGGGGCGAGAACGAAGCAAGTGAATGCTTCACAGGAGACTGTCGGTGGAGGCAGAAGATCAAGGATGTAAAGTATAATCAATGCACAGCTGAATTCAAACAAGATCTACTTTAGGGCAAGCAGTGCTCGGTTACTTACAAGTTGGCCTTGAGGCTTCCGGAATCCGGGCCATGCTCTCACTATTATGTTACGAGTAACAACCGTCTTTGACCCGCATTCAAATCGGACAGGGCTGATGCGGCCTGAAGACTAACAGGGCGTATCCAGCGAGCTGACCCACAAAATAACTCAAGCTCGATGAAAATCTTTCGCAGCAACCCTCGATAGGATTGTTGGTTGAAGCTTCCATCCGACATTCTTTTCAAGGAAAATCGAAATATTAGAGTCATGCTAGATTCAAGTACTTTTCTTCCACTCGGGCTCTGTGATATATTTCATCATACATACGAAGATTGAAAGCGGACCATGACAGTAATATTCCTCAATTATCCCAAATCTTTAGTGGTGCGTCTGTGCTTGGCGGATGACACGCTGACGCATTCATAACACGTTTTCAGGGAGATATGCCATTTTTCACGAATGGAGCATCCCCAACACGAGTCATAACTGCCGGCATCACATCACGGCTGTAAGTAAAACCCAAACGGACGACGGACGCTTAGGTTCCACTCTTTGGTTGCGCGACATTCGTTCAGCGTGTCATGCCGGTATTCGTTCATTCAGCCTTTCGTACATGTACCGTTAAATCTTTGTTCACCCAATTAGCTTACCCACACGAGGAATGTTGCACGCAACGGTACATCCCTGATTTCACCCCATCATCACTCTCAGGTTCGAGATCCGAAACTTGAAGTAGAGTCACCGTTGGCCTTCAAAAGATCTGTCAAGCTTTTGATCTATTCGAAGGAAACCCTCTCTTTGACGGCGCCAACTTCAGAGAAGACGCGCGCGCCACAATTCGCGTAATTTTGAATCTATCAGTCACGACTTGGCCGTCTCCAAACTTCTCATGCGACGTGGCCCTTTCCTTAACTACCTGACTTCTCCGGAGAGTCATGGATGGCAATGGCAATTTTCACGCGTATGTAGTCACGGTAGTGTCCATTATCAAATGAAACTTAACTTCTGATTGGTTCATCCCAGGCTGCGCAAAGATATAATTTGGTCACATCCCGTGAAGGATACGTGCATTGTGCTCTTTGTCGCGTCGCCTGGGCGGCACCGTTCATTTACATAAACTCGCTAGAGGCACCCCTCCGTGAGCCACTATTTTTTGGGAACGCTGATTCGTTGCACGCTTCGGCTACCAATCACGTACTCCAGCGCCTGGGATGTCAGCAATAACGCCCGTCAGAAATTTGGACAATACAACTTGTTTCACCTGCCAGGCGAACATCGGATCATTACTTGTTCAAGCGGCGACCTGCAAGTACGGAACTTGAGTAGTGGTGACTAGATAGGGTAAGACTAGCGAGACGGAGATGACGCACCGTAAGTAAGCCACGCCGTTGTCCACGGGAAGATGCGGACAGTGGGAATATGAATATTGGATACCGAGAGAAGGAAGGTGTCCGCCCGGAACGTCGGTAAAGTGTTGTTTTGTGTAGGGTTGGTGGTGAGTGAATTTGCTAAACGATGAAATAGCAAGGGTGTGGGACGCCAAGAATCATTCGAGGCAGGACATTCCTACGTGAATACAGTCTCAAACCCAAACTTATGGTTGATTCCATTGGCTTCTTAGCGGCATGCTCTAACCGCGAAGACGGTCTCGGTGGGTTTCAATCCGGACCTCGAATGTGATCATCCTAATTATATGCAGCGTCAACTTGTCCTCATTCTTTTCAAATTCTGAACGGAAAAGGTTGCGCTCATGCAAATGAATACACTCCTATCATCATCAACTTGTACTCAAGTAACCGAGCACTGCCATAAAGAAGCCTCCGATTGAAGGCTGACGACGACCGACCGGCGACGGTTCACAAGACCTCGTGAATTCGAATGCTACCGCGCTGAGACAGAAGTATGTCATTGTCATATCAACATGTAAACGTTTCAATTTCGGTGCAGGATCAAAATGAGAGCCAAACTGATGCCTACTAGTGTATCCCAAACCCGGATCTTGTAAATATCCTGGGCGTTAACAAGCAGGCACCAAGACGAGCCATGGATTACTATTGCCGCGTGGCCCAATCCGATAGATAGTTCGCGCAAAGAAACTATCTTGACGTGATGGCATTCGGGTCGTTACGCGTCATGGACTAATTTGCGCAATGTAGTAGTGCGATTGAAATGGCAAGTCTGATTAATTCATTCCAATGAGCAAATGAGGTTATGAAGAAAGCCACCATGCCGCAATATACTATGAAGTGAGACGGCGAGACCCTGCACTGAAATTCTCATGAACTGGCAAATAAATTCCTGGATGTGGACTGCACATATGCAAGAAACGTCGCACACAATAATGTTATGTTCTTATAGCCCGTTATGAGCGCTGGATGATAATTGGACGATATGAATTAATCGCAAGCTTAGTATGAAATGAATGGAATGATCCTTGGCAGTCAGCTTATGAAGAGATCCACTGTGATGCTGCAACCGGAGTCAAGGGCACTCAACCCGATATTAAATTTCTCTGATATTTGTACCTGTGTCTTCGCCGTGCGGGCCCGCCCATGAAAGAGTGCCATTGTAGACTTCGCGACAAACTTATATGGTGTAAGTTTACATGACCAGTCACTAAGGTCTTAATAATTTCTGCTTTGGATCGAGCTCGGTTAAATCGGCGGAGAGCTCAGACTTGCGGAGGATTAGTACAGTATCGGGTTACATGATCATCTGGTGCCGTCAGCTATGGGCTTGGTGTACCCGTGTTCCTGCCTCAGTAGGACACGTACTCAGATGGAAAGGCCTTGTCAGGCTGAGTCTCCGGCAAGTTGTAACCAACAACCCGTTCGAGTTGCGCAGGCTGGTTGATCAAGATAAAGTAAAGTGCACTTGTCCTTCACGCTCAAGAGCTGTCAAGAAGGATAACCGAGTCACCCGTCATGTGAACGAGATGCCATCGGTCTACTGGTCAAGCTTAATCTTAAGCTCAAGGTTCAACGAAGCGCTCAGCGGCCATTGTTCGCGGGAGATTACATAAAGTCAGATACGTACATGGATGCGCCTGAGCTGCCTGATAATAACCTCAAATTTCAAGGCAACAAGCCTTTTCATACTCACGATGATGACACACGTTACTTACTCGCTTGCCCACTCGGCTGTCTGATCTAGGTACCGTGACCCCCCATCTTCTTCCCCACCGGGTTCCTCGCTGCCCACAGATCTCCGCATGTCGCCGACCACGATGAGTGCGCGCCATGTGATCGGTTAATCCTAACCGCTCCGCTGCTGCCACTTCCTAGCCTAAGACTCGCTTGTTCCTCGGACGGTTCGAACATAGTAGGACCGGACCTCCCCGAACTGAAGCTTCCTCCAGATGTCGGCGAGGCTGGCCACTTCGACTTCTGCACTTTCTATTGCAGTGCAAGAGACGTTGGCCGATGGGTTGGGAGTGCTGCTTGAAGGCTCTGGTGAGACATTTCGCTCCTTCACCTATGGAAAAATTACTCCGACTTCATATACAGATCCTGAAGTCGTTGCCGTCAATAAGGCTCTTGCGCGTTTTGGTCAAGCTATGATCCAGCCGGGAGCATACCTTGTAGCGCGAGGGGACTGCAAGGCCAGATGTTTGCGGCAGATTCTGATACGGTAAGCTCTTACTCGCGTCTTCACTCGACAACTGCTGTAGTAGACTGCGTCCGCAATCACAATCATGATGATGGCCATACAAATGCGCAGGCTCGCCTACAAGAGGAACTCGAGAACGTCGTGGGGCGTACGCGGCGTAAATAATGCCTTTTCTTTATTCGTCTATTGACTGAGATAGCTCCTGATTAGTGCCGACATTTGATGATCAGAAAATGCTGCCGCAGATTACCGCGTTCATGCTCGGGAGTCTCAGGTGGAGACCTGTCGATCTTGGAGGTACGTCTAATCTGAGTTGTGATGACGGTATAATGAACGGCCCATCTTCACGCTGTTCGACATGATTTACAGCACTCGAGAATATTTAATAGCTAATGAGAACTGTACGTCGCTTTTTAAACTTGCCTTCGCTGACTTCTCTTACCATCCATTGTCCTTTACCCTCTACAAAATCCAGGTGTCAGATGTCTTTGGCACTGTCGCTAACTGCACTCTCTGGTGCCAGCCATGAACGCGCCATTCCTGTGGCAAGTTGCACCCAACTGCACCCCAGTACCTTCCCGGCCAATTGACTATTTCGATTCTACTACTTACTAGCTCCAGACACATGCCTTGCTACCACCAATCAACTGTTTTTACTGCTCTCTGCGTGATTCCTTTTCGTCTTCGAAGTGATTTCATTTAATTTCATAGGAAACACTACACTTACATTCAAAGTGTCAGTGCCGATGCTTTCCAAACTTGGACGGGCCCGGGATCTGGAATCGCCAAAAGCTGCTCGTCGACTCGGATGAGGCTTACACGACTAAGGCCCTATGTCGAGAATAATTATGGGCATGAGGTGGCCGCGTGTAAAATGTCAGATTTTTCGCTATTTAGGGAACATGGACTGTATAAGGCTGCATCCGTGAATCGGCATTCGAGAGGAAAAGTTTAATTCACCATCAGGGTTTGATGGCTTCCCAAGGTTGTACCTGATGGATACGGTTGGCATTTCGCGTCTTCTGTATCGTCAAGGTTTACATTACGTAAATGGCTCATTCTCGTCAGCTGTCATTCACTTCTAGCGAGACTAGGACGGAGGATGAGCCAAGATCTGCCGTTATATTGTCTGCCAGACCTGTCACGGATGTAAGCTGCGCAACCATACCCAATCTACAGGCACAAATAATCACAGACTCAAAATATAAAGAAAAAGGCTGACAGGTATTCTTCTTGCATTAATACGACTTCCCGCGTCAACCAGAATCTTCAAGAAACCGAACTCAGCATTCAGACTAAAGTTGCCATTGCATATGTAAGGTTATATTTTGTAGACTCGAGATGAAAACTTGACTTTACCTTCAAGGTCCAGACCGACGCTAACAACCCTCCCGTCGACGACACCTTTGCCCTTGGTGCAGGCCCCAGATCAATATTCAATGCAACCAACGCTGCAATCATATCTCGAGTGCCTTGAACGACACAGTGAAAGGATGATCAATACTTGCAGGGAAATGCTGGAGATCCATTCCCGTCTCAAAGAGCTTCTTCCCAGCGACCAATCAGAAGTCACCGAGGGCACATGGGATGGCACCGTTGACATCCAAGCGACCGTCAATGAACCTCAGACCATTGCCCCAAGTGTACTCGATGAGGTTAATGCTAGTGCATTGTCATCGAATCTCTCCTTTCCAGAGCCATTACCATTCTATAGCCAGCTTCCGGATGGTCCTTTAGCATCTGTCGGGGGCACTGGATTGTTGTTAGAGGGTGGAAATCATCCCCTCGTTCAATTTTCCCAAGGTAAGTTTGCTATCATTGGCAGCCTTTTCTTTGTAAACTCACCATATACGAAAAGACGTAGTGCCCTACAGCTCTTCCGATCCAGACGGCTATGAGCCTATGGCACAAGACTTCGTGCCCCAGCACAGCACGTACTCTGAGGAGCAGACCCTGTCAAGTTCCTCAGCCGAACACGATGAACAACTACCTGTCCAGGAGAAAGTACAGTGCACCCGACCTGGGTGCTCGAGTGTCGTCAACAAGAGTAATCTCACTCGTCATATCAACGAAGTACACGAGCGGAAGGTCAAGGCTCGATGCGCCAGCTGTTTAAAAGGGTTCGCACGCCCATACATGATGTATGACCATATCCTTCGGGGCAAATGCGTTCCTAGATTTGGTTGACTTGAACAAAATGATGCATGCATACGCACGCACGCCCAACTTCACCGCTTCGATTATTGATAATTGATTTAGTCTTCTCGAAGTTGTATTCTCTAGTGTACCAATATTTTCTGAAGGCCACCCGAATGCGATGGCTATGATCATTGAGGCAAAATGTATGGAACCAATCCGGAACCGCACTGAGGTCGCAAACTCCGACATTCGAACGTTCATTCTTGACCTCATTCGCCACGGAGCGCTATGACGGAGGCTTGATCATCCATTAGTGATTGAACAAGGAAAGTCCTGGAGATAGACGCGTAGTGAATCTTGAAAGGGAACACGAAAGGTAAAACCATAACCATGATGTACAGCAGCGGGAATAAAATTCGATTAGATATGGCTGTTTCTCGCGTGATGACATCGATGTTGATTATGAGAGAGCATGCAGCTGAATTGTCTATTCAATTGTGAGGGAAAAATGGGGAGCATGGCCGAGGACACGTACTTATTTGGTTCAAATGTTGACTTGGAGCGCTGACATGGGCCATGATTGGGATGGGATGGTCCGGTTCCCGAGTGCTCGGAAGGATCCGGTGTGTCTACAATTTGTTTTTCACAACTGCAGTCTCTATTATAGCAGGGTCTGGCCATCACAGCATCTTGCAGTAGGATGTTCGCCATATCTTGTCGTACCCACACCGATTAGATTTGCTACACCGCGCTCTGCCCCTAGTGAGTCAAGGGTCCGTCCTCTCAAAATCTAGTCAGCAATGGAAGCTAAGGTCTGTCATCAATTCATTCTTATGGCTTACTACGTGCAACTCGAAAACAAGGCGACGACAGATCATTAATCATTTTAGTACCAGTGCGTCGCTAAATACCACTCTCAGACTTCATTCGCCCTTCATTCTAGTCAAATCTGTCAGGATATACGGAAGTGATTTAGAAAGGGAAGGGAAGAGCAAGGCGAGTACTTCGAGGTTGGACTCCCTGCTGGTGTACTGAATGTAAAATACAGAGACCGAGTAGAGCAATGGCATTGAAGGATGGCTGGGGTCGGATCACGATAACGTTGTGCCAATTTTTGGCATGACGCTTGGATTTGGCCCATTACCAGCCTTAGTATGCCCATGGATAGAGAATGGCACTTTGACACGTTACTTGGAGCAAAAACAACATCAAATCCTGACTCCGAATCAACCCGAAAGGCAATGGTGAGCGGCCATCACACTTGCTCACCCTATTTCACGGGACTATACAGCTCTTGGAAGTCATTTCCGCAGTTCTTTATCGTACGCACTGACTTCTCCTCTATTTCTCGCGCCAATTAATCTTTCGATACTGTCGCCAACCGCACCAGCTGACTGCCAACATTTTTCCTGTGCCAAGCCATACTCAACCGCACTCTCCAGCACCTTCCCAAGCTGTCCATCACTCAATAGTTCAATTCCACTACTTACTAGCTTTTGTTACTTGAGCTACCACCAATTGACTATTTCTGCCGTTATGTGATTCCTATTCTTGTTCCTCCTCAAATTAATTTCAGTAGAAAACGCCAAGTGCTAGTACAGTCTTTTTTGATCCTGCACCAAAGTTGAAACGTTCCCATGTCGACACAGCGACATACTTCCGTTTCAGTGCCAGTTACGCTTTAAATATGTGGACGGGAGCTTCGAATGGACGGGAGCTTTGAACGGACGAAAGCTTCGAATGGATGGGAGCTTCGAATTGACGGGAGCTTTGAACGGACGAAAGCTTTGAATGGATGGGAGCTTCGAATGGACGGGAGCTTTGAACGGACATGTACAGGAGCTTCGATTGCGCGGGATGGGAGCTTCGAATGGATGGAAGCTTCGAATGAACGGGATCTATTATGTACACAATAACCTCGTACATGTAGTATAGGGTCGTCAGTAGACTTTCCGAAGCCATTTACACGGGAATTCATATCGCAGTCTATACGCGTGGCCGGCCTATCGGAACACACCCAGTTCTCACTTGGGATATCGATGATTGATGGTTCCTGCAGTTGGCCCCCTCGGGCCCGGCGCACTGGCACTTATGCATGATTGCCCCTTTCGCAGTGGCGTTGCGGTAGTATTTAATGATGAATTTGAACCAACAGGGTGGATTCTAGCGGATTGTCCTAATGGAATTCCATGTGGTTGAGTAAAGGCTGTAGACGTAATTAGCTATTTATCACGGATTTCATGAAAGAGAACATACATATGGACCGCCACGGCTATGTTTGGAAGTCGATTGGGAATGGCGATATCAACCAGTATTGATGGAGAGCGGAATATCGATCCTTTTGTATCCCTGCCATCTGTCCTTGTTGACATCATGAAGCACAAGTACCAACCAAAATGATCCTTGTTACAATACACTTCTTGGTTAAGAAGGAAGTCACCGCGATGGAGACCGTCCAAATGGAGCTACCACGGTAGCTAGACACATCCAGATAACCAACTCGTTCGTAATGATACCTGTGACAGTGCACTACCTGAACTCAATTGAGGAGTCGTCCAGTGACATACTAGCACAGAGTTATTCGGGTACGTGTGGAAATTTATTCACATCGCGTTTGACTGTCACCTAGAAGCGAGCAGGCCGCACCACCCTGCATGGCTGTCGAGAGATCTAAATCTATAACAGGTAGAGCCAAGCTCACAAGGCTCGAATGGCAGGCAATGATAATTACACTTTGCATCTTATATGCAATTCATTTCCGGTAAGACTTGCGAATTGGTCCCGTTCAACGAGGCAGCTTATTAAAAGCAAAATACCTGCCAGAGGCGCCATGGGCACGGAGCGCATGATAAAAAGGGCTTGGTATGATGTTCCATGTTGTGATCAATTTCCCAACTCTCGCAAAGGATAACAAGGGTTCTCCTGCTTCCGTACTGTTTTACCTGTCGCCCAGAGTCTACAGATGGATAGGTTAGGCGCGCACCGTAGGAAAGGACACGAGCGCACCATAAATTCATCCAGATCAACACGACAAAACCTGTTGTCCACATGGTCAGTACAGGCCCCTGATCAACACTCAACAAGATTAGTCCGGCAGTCATGTCTCCAGTGCCTCGACCGCCTCTACAGGTTAGAGCGTCGCGTGCACGAGGAAATCCAGGAGGTTCACAGTGTCATGAATCTCCTTGACAACTACCAGCCAGATGCCACAATGGAAGATTCGGACGGATGTTATAGCACCATCGACTCCCAAGCTGGACTTGATAGCCTCAATGCTATTCTACCGCCTGAATCTTCGCACGACCCCTGCTTCGTGCTACAGCATGCACTCCATAAAGCATCGTTCGGGGTCGTGCAATCATTATCAGAAGGTACAGAAGGTGAGTTGCTGTATATGCAGTATTTCTTTGAACGCTTACCATGTACAGGCTTATTGCCCCATGGAGCCCGCAGTTGTGCCGACTATGTAACTCGGACTCAGCACAGCATGTACTCTGCAGGCACTCCGGCATTTCCTGACCCGGGTGTCATGGAATCGTCATCAGATGGTGTGGATGCTCGCTTCGGTAAATTCGTTATTAAACACAACTTTGCATTGAAACGCTCACAATGTATCCCTAGATTTACCGCTCCATGGCGCGTCCAATTCCATCCATGAGCTTGCTGCGAAACCCTTCCAGGGAATTTATCTTGAGGAAAATGCACCATCGAGTTTTGCAGCCAGACCCGACGTGGAACTGTTAGTCCCTGTTGGGCAGGTTAGCCAAGCAAAGGTGAAATGCACCTGGGAGAGGTGCTCGGCACTCGTCAACAAGGATAATCTCACTCGTCACGTCAAAGAGGTGCACGAGGGGAAGATTAAGGCTGTTTGTGCATGCTGCGGAAAGGAGTTCAAGCGTCCGTACCAGATGAATGAGCATAAGCTTCGGACCGGATGTGGAATGTCCTAGTGGTTTTGTATAACAAAGTCGCTAGAGATTTGATGAAATGATTCCTTATGAACAAGATGGGATCTGGGGGTGGTGATGTCCAGTTGCTACAAGGCCATCTTGGTGGATGAAAGCACGCCCTTGATTTCATTCGCTACTTCGAGTGAGGTCGAGCCATCTGCATCAATGTCGGCAGAGAAAGCCCTAGAGATAGGTATGAATACCTCGAAAGAAACAGGGAAGGCGATGCGCACCGTTGTTTGTAATGTCAAGTGTTTTCAAGAACCAAGAGAGTGCAGCCCTCGTGAATTGTTGTGGAGAAGAAGAAGTATGGCTGCACTGCCAAGACGAGACGTCGGGACTCGGCCCCCGGGCCCCAAGGATTGTTCGGGTGCCTAGATATAAATATGCCCTATTACCGGCATCTCCGGATCCCGGGTCATGACTATCGTTCCCAGGCCCTGTTCCACGACTACACCTCCAGCATTCCTCTTGGAGATGTCATGTTCGATCCCTTGGAGGTGAGTACGCCAACGACGAACAAGCGGAAACTCAGCGGCATTTATTCGCATCGCCTTGTCCGTGCCTTTCAAGTGTTCCGTATTCATTTTCGCTCACAAATTACTTTGCACAGATTCATTGAAACTAGCGGAGCTTGCATGCATGCGTGCGTTGAAAACAACTTCATCTACATGGGTGCGTGTGTTGAAAATAAACGTCGACTCAGATAAGGTTTTTCTTCAAATACAGGCGTGTGAATTGCCTATACATACTTGCCGTGCGTCATTTCGTCGATCGACATAATTGCAATCTTGATCATCGAATCTTAGCTCGATCATGGGCCTGCCCTGACTGCGACGTCGATCTAGACCTTTCAAGGCAAGCTCGTTTTGGAGCCATGCGCGACACAAGCTTACTACTTGCGCAAAGACTCGGTTCGGAATGGTGAACCTAGCTTCTAGTAGGTGGCATGGGAAGATGCTAACGCAAATCACTAGCTAGTCGTTGCCTGCCCTTGTGATCACACTCTAGGTATGCAATCAAATTTTAATGGCCATAGCAGGCCAGTATGACTTTCAAGTTCGGCTATTCCAAGGCAGATGCGACGTAACTATAGGTTTAATTGCACGCTTCAAGTAACGATCACGTACTGCAGCGCCGGATGGGATGTCAGCAACAACGTCCTGCCATAAATTTGGACAACACAGCTCGCCTCACCTGCCCGGCGAATATCAGATTGTCGCTTGTTCAGGTGGCGACCTGCGAGTATGGAACTTAAGTAGGGGCGACCAGATAGAATGAGATTAACGAGACGGAGAAGGCGTACCGTAAGGACATGTGATGTCTCCTGATGGGAAGATGTGAGGTGATGAGAATGTGGGAGAGGCAAGGTGCTCACCCGGAACACAGATAAAGTATTGTTTGTCTGTTGAAGTCAAGATGTAGGGTCAGTGATGAGCGGATTTGCTAAACGAAGGGACGCTCAAGACAGGACATTCCTACGTGAGTACAGTCATCTATGGATGCTGTTACCTGTTATTTTCAGAATCCTGGTCAAGATGTGGACTGCACGTAGTATGGATACAATTTATTGCCGTACCTCATTGTGCAGTGCATCACTTCGAAGCGCTGACTTCCATTTCGCTGTGTGACCTTGCAGAGCCCAGGCACAAATTTCTCGACATAAGTCAGGTTTTCGTAAACGACAACTGTACACAACTTGGAAGCGACAGCGCAAACTGATCAACGCTAAGAGCAGCTTCCTACTGCCGTACTCTAGTGTTGTCTCCAGGTCTTGAAGCCATCTACGACTAACAACACCTCAATTGAACATTCGCTCTTCTTGACACGCTTTCCTCTCTTCATTATCACTTCTATACAATTATTAGACTATCTTTATAGCGCGCTAGACGCAGCCATGGTATCTCATCATATGGCATGGATGTATCCTTCTATGTAGTTGTTGAATTTCATCAAGCGCATATTGAGTTGTGTGATTACATGGCTGTTACAGACGCGGATAACAAAAGGTATAGAAGGAGGGAGGGGACCGTCGAGCACAGTGAGCGGTGGAGCTCAGGTGACGCACGTAATCGTGTTGGAAATCATACTGATGACACATTCCCGGACGTGAAGATATTCCAAACTCAATTTTTATAGGAGGCTCGCCTGACGTACGGCACAGTAGCCCTTCCCAAAGATCCAAGATACCTGTTGACTTCAGCCCAATTCAAACTATATGGGTTTCGAACTTGGTTGACGAAAGGGAGCCAGGCGTAAATAATGCGAGCGATAGTTTCAGCATTTGTTATTTGAGACACGGATAAGTTCAAAGCCAATGATCGTAGGGAGGTGTGTTGTATTGGCTCGGCATCAGGATCGATGTTGATAGTTGCAAGATTGATTGGCACTCGTAGTGTATGCAATTCTGGACATAGACTGAGCGCTGTGAATAATTCACGGAGGGAGATTTCGGAAGAAGGATAGCTAGCTGAGTTATTGATTTCCAGAGCGCAGATGTGCGGCCAAGTAGACATGGCTTGCAAGAGCATGTCATTGTCCAGGTGGATGTGGGAATTATGAGATGCGAGCCTCAGGCTTCGGAGTTGCGTAAAGCAAAGGAAGTGCGGAATTGGTGTCAAAGGCTCGCTGTTTGGGGGTACACGGTATCTCTCATCAAAAGAACAAATGGTGATTTCTTCTAGAGTCCGGCACGCTTTGCAGCGGGACAGAGCATGAAAGAGTTGCTCGGCATCTTCTGGAGAGATATACCTGGCATTAAATACGAACTCTTTCAGCGAGGGAAATTGCGAGTGTTGTATGACTGTGATGATATCTGCAGTATCATAGAGGTCGTGAAATAAAAGGCTTGTGATATTAAGGAATGATATATTCACGATATCTTGTTTTGACAGCGAAGGAGGGTGATTGCATCCTTGATTAATTCTCAATTTGAGAAGAGCAGGGAGGGAGGAGAGGTGTTTCCATGTTGCCCAGTCGAGCATTGGACAAGAAATAGCTACAAGCCGCGTGCACCAATGGATCCTATCGGATAGCAGGGACATCTCATTTGCTGTGTTGTCAAACTGGGACATATTGGGAGTGTAGATGCATAAATGCTCCAGAGCAATGCAACGTGTCACAAAAGATTGCAGACTCTCGTCGACGCTCAATAGATGACATCGGTGCAGCATGTGAGGCAGAAAGAGGTTCAAATATACGGTGGTCAGACTTAATGACTTCAGCCTCGGAAATATGCATGCCTCGGCGGGGATGACAGAGAGAAGGTGCGGATGCTCAGATTGTATGTCCAATATGCGTATACGGGAGGAGTGACGCAGAAATTGACGGGCCTCATGGGCAGATAATAGTTCGACACCTTTCGCCCATGGTTCGTCCCACTGTTATGTAGACGCTCGGTGAGCCGAAAAGAAACGAACAAAGCGTAATGAAGTCGTGCACTGACCTTTGTACTACTATGATATATCAATGGATGTAACCTCGCTACACAGCCTAGCAGTGGTTCTAACCCATCGATTTCAGCCCACAGCAGATCCATCGCAGGCTCGTGGAAGATTTTGCATGTCCTTGCAAGCGCTGCAAGTAATTCCTGGGCCGGTGTTGTTTCAGTAGATGGTATTATTTTCACATAGGCGAATATCTCCAGGAGGACTTCGGGAACAAGTAAAGCTTGATGCATCACTGGGGTACGGTAGAGTCAGGACTCAAAAGAAGATTTGTATGTCAATCTAAAAACATTGCCCTCGTGGGACTAATGGGTGTTGTTACCTGCTATTTTCAGAATAATGTTAGTCAAGATATCAATGTGGGCTATATACGCAATACAATTTATTGCCAAAAATGTGGATACTCCATGAATCATTGTTCACTGCATCACTCGAACACTTCGTCAACTTCCATTTCGCCGCGTGACTTCTCGCAGAGCAGAGGTATGAATTTCTCAATATAAGTCAGGTTTTGGGTGAACGAGAGCTGTACACATCTTGTAAGCAACGGCGCAGACTGATTAACGCCAAGATCAATCGTAAAAAGACCCAAAGTTCGGATCAAGTTCTAAATCAAGAGTATATATCGCATGCGTCCGGTCGAAGCGCACAGCACTGCGGCTGGAGTGGGATGGCATTAAGATGCCGCGCTGTACCATCCTGATCTGACGTCCTGTATCGTCATCTGTCATCGAGGTACTTCCACATCAAGAAACAATACTTACATGCAAACGAGGAAGTGCATCGGTGACATTGAGTGCAGCGCCAATGGGCTGCTTCTCACCATAGAAAATTTATGCTGATGATGCAGCGCGTGGCCACACGATCGGGTCGACATTTTGGGGACCAAACTGTTCACTCCATAGAATTTGCTCGCCTGCAGATTGGTCAGAAAGGTTGATTTAACTTCGAGACTAGATTGTGTTTACCTCCGACAACGAGTTCGTACTGCGCCTCGGTCAAGTTTGCCAACGGATGAAAGGTATACGCCTAACGAGACACTGTGAGATGCGTGGCTATCCTCAACATTATACTTACCTCGGACTAGCTTTTGAAGGGGTCGCACCAGCTATTTCTGTTCTCACAAGGAATGTCAGTTCAGATCGAGTATATTCGACAAGATGAAGATCAACCCAATTGGGTCGTCTCCCAGTCCCTCACCAGCACCATAGTCCTAGGATAATAAGGACATTATATTCTATAAACGGTCTCGTCAACTAACCAGGTAGAAGTAATTTGATGGTGCTTGGATGATCCTGAAACACCTTGCCACTACTGCAGCATCTGCAGAAGAAATCCAAATCCATTCAATAAGGTTGAATCAGCGAAGTCAGATCATGATATTATGATACTTACATCACAATAGCCTGGTTTGAGAGTGTAATATTCTAGTCGAGGGCCATTTCTGGACGACCGTTTTCATCCAATCTCAAAGGAAGAAACACGGCACATACCTTCCCATATGACAGGCGTCTTTCCCTGGGCAATCAGTGCGTCGTGGATGGTCTGTGCGACTGTGTCGAGAGCACCGTTCAGCGTCATGCCGGTGCTGTTGAGCTACTGCTGCGTGAGGTAGTCGTCAGCGTGACAGTTCTTGCCGATTTCATTGCCCTGGTGCTGGAATAGTACGAAGGAAGGATCTTTGCGACGTCAGTAAGCAAGGGAGCAGCGAAGTTCATAACCTCTGAGAATGCAAAACGATGCGGCCAGCAGGGGCTCGTTGGCGAAGTTTGTCCATGGGCCAGCGTCGAAACTCACAACATATTTGGTGTAAGTGGCCACAACGATAGCAGCGTGTCCGTGTGTATCTATTTCCTGGTAGAATGTTCTATCCATTGGTTGACAAGTGCTGACCATCATAACACCGATACTTCTCTGCGGGAACATCATCAGCGAACAAAAGACCATGATAAAGGGAGACGTACTGCAGCAGCACACTGCACGATGTATTCGCTGCGCAAACATCTTGAGGAGAGCACTATGCACTGTTGATGGTGAGCTCGGGATACTGCGTAGCTTCAAGTTCAAGTTAGATGTCAGCGATAACCGATGCGAGTAGCCCACTCATAAGTGATACCGAATCAAGGGTTGGGGTCATCCGAATTACTATTATGTGGCCCTGACTATAAAGGAATATTCGAGAATACAGGACTGGGTTCAAATGGGTTTTGCTGCACAAGTCAAGTCCGTACAGACAGGTATCATGGTCAAGCTTCAAGAGATTGGTCGGGAGAAACGATGTGTCATGCTGTAAAAGGTGAAGCGAGCCTTAAATGTATTCATCTACCTGCTGAGAGGACGGTCTACAGTCCTTGATGGACCAGCAATTGAAATAAAACTCCAATGGCGACCAATGATCGCATGAAACTTAGGACGCGACGGTTTTGTCCCGAGAGAAATTGCGACCACAACTTGTGCGCTCGCTTGAACTTGGAGTAGGGTGGTTTGCCCGTCAATATCTGACATAAGGGTGAGACTTAATGTCGAAGAAACGTAATCTTAGGGCAAACCTGGAAAAAAATACACCTGCTTCGGGGATCGCGCCTTCTTCGAGGATTGCAAAAAGTTCGGGTGCTATTCACCGCACAGTGCCATCCAAGGCAGACGTGACATAAGACGCGCCCACGAACTCCACCCCAGTAAGATCGCCCTGAACAACGAAGCGCGAGTGAACTAAGGCAAAGAACCATTATCGACTATACTGCGAAACTGAGCAAGTCACTTACGGTGTTGAAGACCCGCAGAAATTTTACTGAGCTGCAAAGGTATGAGTACGTTTTCAGACAGATCATGCAAGACATACCAGTTGGAAACGATTGGTTATGGACACGGTTTGACCATGGGATCCCAGAGAACCTGAAAGCGATCCGTTGTCATACCAGGGACAGACCAAGGCAACGAATTGGCCAAAGCTTGATACAGTGGCGTACAGTGGGACGATGTATCGTGTAAGTCTCGGCCAAACTTTGAGCTCACGGCGAAGCCTCTATAAGAACCAATAAGCAACACTGGATTGTATGAAGCACGCTGACGCACCTTACTTTTGTTGTTGGCGCGGAGAACTCGTGGGAGATAGTCCAAGTGACGCTGCCCGATTCAGAAATAATAAATTTGGAGTGGCTGAAGTATTATTTTCGAGCTTGTGTATTCGTTCTAACTTATGGTGAAAGGTGTTGGATATTGTAAGCTGCCACGCAACGTTCGTTATTCGTATCCCGATTACTCCCGAAACGCTCACCTAATTCCTGAATCCTGGACGCTCGTCATTTTCTCTCAATCTTATATCCGAGACCGAGGGTATGTCCGTTCATTTAGAATTGCACATGAAGCACTAGGCGACTCACCACACCGCATATTTAATTGTGACAGAGGTAATCCAAGTTGCACGTGCAGTGTGCACCTCTTGTTCCGTGCACATTAAATGAGGGTTCGCGATCGTCGATTTAGAAGAACCAACTTGTGAAATCCAGGACTCTATCGTCATACTTGCTATATTGTCGACTCCTACCTAGCCGTGGTGGCCATGCGTCCAGAACTGTGGCAGTACTAGTACGTATGGCTGTTCAATCTGTCTCCCGCAAATGAATGAAATGATATAGGACATGCGGCAGTTTACGAGGTTTTGTTCTAGCACTGTGTATTGTTTCAATACAAAAATAACCTATGAATATAGTGTTGTAGCCACCGCCGTGATGTGGCGGTCAAGGGAGAACGGTCATTAATGCCCATTCCAACGGGTGTCCCGTTCAGTTCGGACTACAGCATTACCAACCAGACTAGTACTCGGACTTGTCAGATCTACTTCCAGAGAAGGTGATTAAGGCGGCAAGGAAGTGACTATTGTTGTGGGCAGTGCTGCTGTATGGAAGCCCATTGGGTGGAGTCAGCCGGATACAGCATGCTCTATCATATTGCGGATTCAACGGAAGAGAACGGGGACGTCTAGCACGGCTTTTGATTCACTGCCTCTGTTACTAACTTACAAAAGGAGGTGCTATTATACTATTGTCTTATTGTTTCTGCGCTCAGCCTGCCTGTTAAAAGAGCCCAACGCGCGAGTCTACTGACCTAAATCATTCTTCCATTCTTATCCCACTGCAGGTCCTTGTTACCGAAGGTCGGGAGGAAGTCGTTTGTGGAGAAGCAATCTGTCTGTCATGATCGCTACCACTGGTGGTGATAAGATAGCCCTCGACAACCGGCAAGTCCACGATCATCGTACCCTGTGACAACGCACTTGTTCATGCGACTTGTAATTCAGCCTAGCCGACCTTACAGGAGTCGTATCCAAGGACTCACCTCATCCAATAGCGCACGGTAGTTTCGGGGATGTGTGGAAATGCACCTATACTGCATCTAACCGTCAAGGCTCGGAGGTAAGAACGCTACACATATGGCTGTCCAGCAAACTGAACCCATGACAGGTAGCAGTCAAATCTATAAGGATCGATGAGTCGCAGGTGACGATTTCAGGGCCAGACTCGGAGTTACTCAAGTACGTTTTCGGCTCCCCCTTTGCATGTATACGCATGCTCGCTTCACAGAGACTCCTGGGCAATTTACGGAAGCAACTGCCATCACGAAAATATTTTGCCTTTGCGTGGTTTCAGTCACGGATTTAAGCTACTTTCAGCGATAATTTTCCCATGGACACAATGGCTCACTCACCGCATACCTTGGACACCGGTTCATAGAATCAACCATCCAACGAACATACGAGCGTTGCGTTTCTCAGGCACGCTCGCATGTTCGTTTGATGGTCAATTCTGTGAAATGGTGTTCAAGATATGTAGTGAGCGAGCTATTGTGTATCCATGGGAAAACGGTCGCTGGAAGTAGCCCAAATTCGTGACTGAAACCACGCAGAGGCAAAAGATTTTCGTGACGGCAGTTGCTTCCGTGTACGGAAACCATGTTTCATGGGACTGAGACTGAAGAGAAGGTAACACCTTATGTATATGTATACGCAGCCATTTACATATTGTTGGAGCTGTACTAATAAATCAAACCAAACTTGACTGAGTCTGCCGCATGATCACACTATGTAGTATAGTTTCCTGCGACGAAGAGTTGTTTCTACGTTATGTACCTGCAGAATTCAGCACGTCCAATATTTGCGACATTTGAAGTGCAAGTGAGCTCAAGTTACCCTTTTTCTACCTTTAAGCCGTTGTCATCGGAGCAGGCAAAACAGCTACGCTAGCAGCATCAATGAAATTATCATAATTCTAGAGCTCTTTCGGAATCATAGTAGTATAGTAAGTACCACAAAGTAACTACGTACTGGTTACTAGTAGCTCCGAGTTTGCATGCGGCTTTGAATGTTGTTGCTGTGCGCCATTCTTCAAAGCAGTGAACTCAGATTCTGCGGTTGGTTTAGGGAGATATAATGAACCGGCGTGAGTAGCATTTGGCTAAATAAGAGTGATACGCAGTTTCTTGGCTTACTTGTCAACTTGCTCATGTATGTAACATGGAGTCTTCATCAGCAAAAGACCTTGAAATTTCGCTTGTCAGAAAGAAGTTTGATGCTTACGGTGAGCTTACGGCCTGGTGATCGGAGCAACGCGATTGGTGGAACAAACTTTTCCGTTGTACACCGTAAATACTCGATATCGATAGTGTTATAATTTTTAAACGGGTGTATGTATTGCATTATATGTTATTATATTGAGATTGAGTTGAAATACTAGTCTAGGGTTCGGAATTGCATTTCCAAACACCGAGTAGGGTCATTTGTATTGATCATTGGGCCATTCAGAAAGTTCAGAATCACAGCAATCGATTGACATGCATTCAAATCTGCGCTACTAATACTATTAACGATCAATACTACGCGAACTCCGTACTAAACGTATGATAACTTTCTTTATCTGCAAAGTTATTCAAAAAAAACCGGTCATAGGACTCCAAACACGTCGTCGCAGAAATGTCCTTGTTGACCTTCTCACCGTATTCTGGTATCAGTTCGACAGCATGTGTAACATCCGTCAACAACACCACACCACCACGCCTATAGCGTTTGCCATGTTGGTCCACCACATATGACCGCTCTACTGTCCACATCGCGAGTTCGGGACGGTCATTGGGATTGGCGACGAAGTCAAAATATTGTATGTAGAGGAGCGGACTGGAAAGATATGTTGGAAGAACCAGGTTGGAAGCACGTGGAACCTTGGGCTGAAAAATAAGTCGAACTTGGGCGACGCGACTTGCTGAATATCACCTCGTTAGTGTTAGAATATGACAGCAGAAAATATACGTACTAATTTGGCCATCATCACTCGTAACATCGACAAGGACGGTATCACAGTTCCCGAGGGGAAATAGGTCGCTGGGAGGGTATGATTGGATCACCCTGCTTGGCATGATCACTCGAGGTTGGAAGGCAGAGTGAAGTTGCAATCGAAATTTGTTCCACGCGTAAAAGCGTCCATGTCTGTGGTCCCAGCGAGTATTCTCGCCACTGGAGAGGGAAGAACGCTGGATGAACTGGGAGACTGCGTGATCAAAATCAACGAGTGCGTATTTGGTGAGAATATCGATGGGCGACAGGGACTTGAGATCTGGTGTTGAAGTTAAATGGAAGGCAGTGAGAGCATCTCCAGAAAGAATGCCCTTGTGAAAATGATTACGGACTCGTCGAGGTCCATGGACAGAATATGCTTCATCGGGGAGTATACGAGAAATCCAGGAGAGTGCTGGGTTGACGGTCGTCACTTCCTCATCTTCAAGGTTTATGGCGTTGACGAGCGATGCGCCATGGGAAGTGATTAGCGCATACAGGTTGAACAATTCCATTGACTCCTGGCGATTGAGAATCCGTACACACTGCTCCGTGAAATCATTCACTCGTCGACTTGTTCGGGCAAAGAGATCCTTGCAGTGAGTGATGAGCAAGCGCTCCGTCATGTCGGCTGAAAACTGCATCAAAGTACCCAGTCTCTCAATCGTGCCTCTGAAGCTTTGGAGTAACTCGAGCTTGGGGATGAAAAAGTCTTCTTTGGCGCCCTTCTTCCCCCTCCTCGCCTCGGCCTCGACGATAGCATCCTTGAATGCATGAAAATCGGAGAGTGCCTGCACCATCGACTGTAAGGATTCGGGAGAATGGACTGGATTTTGAGCATAATAGAAAAAATCTATGAGAGCGTGGATTGCGCGAACGAATCTAGGTGGAGCAGCGCCTGAGATTGAAGCAACAATGGTGCGTTGAATATCACAATGCTCACGCCCAGTCATTTGGTTGACGTGCGTGATGCCTTTAGTAAAGTGGTGCGTCCCTACCCGTTTGTGCTGAGTGATGAAGCGGGTGTCGAGCTCGGTTTTTCCTACTATCTCCTTGATCCATTTGAGTGGATGATCTGCAAAAAACTTATGAAGGGTATGTAAAACTTCGCCAGGGAGAAAGACAGATGGACACGAAAACGACCAATCAAGCCAATATGGCATGTGGACCCCAGACAGATGGGCAGCTTTTGCTGCCTTCTGAAATTTGTCAAGATCCCAAGGATCAATCTCTTTGGCGATCTCGTGTATAAGTTGTAGTGTGTGCTTCCCAGTGCGAGGAGGATAGAGAATTCCATCACCGAATTTGTCTTGTGTCGCCATAGTGATTGGAGAGACATTCTTGCTGACTGCAGCGATCATGGAGGCCTCAGGAAGGTCACATACATGGGCGATGAGTGGTGTAAAGACGTATCGAATATGTCGGGAAGGATCAGGCATAAAACAGCCATCACTCGCTGCAACCTTCAGGTTGGCGCAGACGAGATCAACGCACTTATGCCATAGCCGCGCCTGAAGAATGGTCTGATAGTCGGAATGCACGCGAAACTTGCTAACAGGCATGTAGGCGATACAGCGCCAAGCTCGCAGGGTGGCCTTGGAGCGAACCTCCGAATCGATGTTACCGATGGTGATGAAAAGTGGGTGCATCTCGAGCCCTCCAGTAATCCGCGTGACAGGAGTCTTATCGGATCCCAGGATGATAGGTACTTGCGTAGCACCTACTGGCAGATAGTCCTAGGTATATAGAATTAACTTCAAGTAGTAGACTTAAAGGGCCAAACTAACCTGGATTTTCCATGCCATATCGGCACTCATATAATCTCCATACTCGCGTTGACTTCCTGTATTGACTACGTGTGGCTGGAAGGTAATGTGATTGGCGAAAACCGGATCGCTGAAAAGTTGTTTGACAACCTCTAGAGCATCGCGCCAAATAAGTTGCATGGGATAAGTCGTCTTGTAGCCCGTAAACTCTAGGTTCGAAACTTTCCATGGCACAAAGGAGGGTAGTGCATCGGTCCAATCTAGAAGTTGCTCCTTGGAGGTGAAGGATGGTTTTGGGCGAGTGTGAAACTGGAAACAACGGAGTCAGGCCTGTCGAGCAGCACTCAAAGTCTCTCCTACCCATTTTAACTTTAAAAACTTGTCAATCTGAGCTTGAGTTAAGTTTTCAACCAAGAACTTTGCCAACTCCCATTCTCCTTCATCATGGAAAGGGTAATACGTATTTATTTCTCGCCGATAATTATACTGATCGTCTTGCAGCCTGTCAAACAGGTTCTTGCCAACACCAAAGACATATCCCAAGTGCGGATGACAATAACCAGTAGTGGTAGAAGGTTTTGACGATTGGGAACCTCGCAACCCAGGGGGAACAGGGAATTGATGCGGACGTTCCTCGTGCGGCCAACAGGTAGACTGAGAATTCAAGTGCAGGGTAATGGCCTCGATTGTAGGAAACTCTTTACTGCAGTTGGGACAAAACCTGGTACAGGTATGTCCATTGATCATCAGCACTATTGAGTGACAATGATAAGTATACGCACATTTGCTGCCCTTTGCTGAGTGCTAGGCGTTATGCAGTGCGCAAATTGATTCAGTCTTTTAGACTCCGCCGGCTGATGTCAACCTTGTGATAATCCAACAGGTCGCTTCATATAATTGCAGATTTCCCAGTTAGCCTTCCGCAGGTTCTCCCAAGTCCACCCTTTGTACATGATGATTCATACAGTCTCTTCTCCACAAGTCAGTTCCTCCCCCGTTTCTCGAGGCGGTAGTTGCCCTCCTCCATCAAGCAGTCCTCCATCTTCACCTCTGTCAGGCGGACGTGCTACCACTCCTGGATCATCTCTTTTTGATTCCAGTCTCAAGTCAGAAAGCTCTCCCAATACGAGGCATTCTGACATATGTGCTTCACTAAGAAGCATATCCTCACTGTCAAAGACACCTCAGATTGCAGCTGCCAAATCGGAGACGGACAGCCTATTCTATAATCCGTCTACACCTCCAAATCCTGCACGCGCTTCTCGACGTGGCTTTATCCACGAGAGAATGAGCAACAAGTTCATTCCGTACCCCCCCTCTCCGGCTCCAATTGAGGTCCGTTATGCAGCTCGTGTCACCGGGCGAGAATGCAAACCATACGTATCCTCTGACTCACTTCTCGAGGTATCGTGTATTTCTTTTATTTAATTGTAGAGACTAAATTATTGAAAGCATGCCGGAACATTGGAAAATGGCCTCACGCAAATGCGTCCTGCAACCTTGTACAAAGGGTATCAAGCAAAGCTTGCTGCTCGTGAGACTGCACGCCAGCGCATGTTGGTGACCGCATGGGAAATCGAGGAAACCGAGCGCTTCCTTGAGTTCCTGGATGCTCTGCATGTCGACAACGAAGAACGGCTCGGATTCGCTCAAGAAGACTTAAACATCTTTAGGAAGCTATTTTCTGAGCGTGACCGTTCTGATGTCAATGACGACAGAGATTACCTTCAAGCTGTCTACGAGGATGAAATGGAGATTCTTCGCGTTGTCTCGCTACAAGCTGAGCAGTTCTCAAAGATCTTAGGTGCACGTGTCAAGAAGGATTTCTTGCAACCTGGAGCCAAAGGATCGGGATCACCATCGCCTGAGCCTGGGGTTTCGATTAGAGATAATCTGGTATCTGCAGATCAGGAAGATAACTCACAGGTTTCGGTCAATTCGGCAGCACAGTCCGCACACCCTTCCCGTACGCCGTTATTTGTATGAGCCCTGCGCTTCCAATTGAGGTATGTATACACGTGTCCAATCATTATGCGCTCGACTGATCAATTGATAAGAACGCATTGTAACATGCATGCTACAGTTTAGCAAATCCATCATGGCCCCTTTCTCATTTGTATTCATTTTTCACATCTGCAGCTGTTCTTTTTACATCGTGCCCCTTCATTTTAACCCTTATCCTGTTCGCAGCCCCATGTCACAAGACGTGTAGTTTATTTGGGTGTTGTTTGTGTACAGTCGCTTCTCGTAGAATTCAAATTGGACTGCTCTCTGCGCCCATGCATCCTCAACTCCCTCTACTTTATGGCCAGCAAACGTGCACCGCCCCACAAAGGTAAGACTAACTTTGCGAAACCTGCTCGTGGTTCGGGCCTCAACCCATCTCATGCTCCCGCGGACAGTCAATTGAATCTCGTCGATGAGCAACCGCGCGAACCGATGTCTTTTTTTAACCCTCACGCCTCAAATCAGCCGCTGCCATTCAATCCTCACACTACCCACCATCCGCACCATCCACAGGACTCCGCGCACCATCAGCACACGTCCGCTCCCCACCAGCGTGAGTCTACTTACGATCAGCATGAAGACTTCGCCCAGCATCAGCAAGAAGATCTCGCACATCATCATCAGGATTTCGCCCAGCATCAGCATCAGTCCGCTCCCTACCAGCGCGAGCCAGCTTACCAGCATGAAGATCTCGCGCACTATCAGCATCAGGACTTCGCGCCTCCTCAGCAGGACTTTGCGCCTCCTCAGCAGGACTTTGCGTATCCTCAGCAGGACTTTGCGTATCCTCAGCAGGACTTTGCGTATCCTCAGCAGGACTTTGCATATCCTCAGCAGGACTTCGCGTCTGGCGCTGGATCCTCGACCGGATATGTTGCTCCGTCATTAGGTAAGTCTGCCTGCGCTCATAACATATGTCTAGCACTTACCCTTCCACCATAGCGCCCAGTTGGGTCGGCGATGATGAGGAATTTCAGACTCATTCAGTCCTGCCACCGGATCTCCACCACTTACGGCCAATGTCGACGGGAGAGATCCCCAACTCCCATGTGATACATGTAAGTCAATGTTAGTATCTGCATCATCGAAAATTGACCTGACATTACTAGACTACAGGGCCTGCAAGGACATCGAAAGCACGTCGTCGTGCAACTCGACGTCTGCCCCCCACACCACGCCTTGTCATTCCTGTTGTGATGCCCACAACGATGACGGGGACTGTCGCACCTCCGGAATCCATCAAAGGTTCCGCCGTTGACATTAGTCCCGAGACGCGCAAACAAGTGATCTCGGCCTCAAAGGAACGCGTATTATCCATCGTCTTTTCCGACGACGCACTGGTATCTCTCGCGGCTGACAAAAAGCGCATCGTCAAAAAGGTCATTTCCGAAGTAAGATCTAGAATACCAGCCCTTCTCGGTATGAATTAACACGCGAACACTGACTTATACTAACTATTTGATCCTACTAGTTGCAACACAATGGACGGCTAACGAAAAGGACGTCGCGAACGTTTGGTGCGCAGTGACGAAATTTCGCACTGCATTCGCAACGATCATCCGACAAGCTGTCGTGATGGGATATTCCCTCTTCCCACCACAGGGCTGTACTATCCCCCCAGATACTTTTCGTGTCGATCGGATACGCTGCCTCATCGTAGATAATGACTTAGCGTTCATGCATCAATACACTTTTGCAGTAAGTCTTTATTCATTTTCGAGAACATTTTTTTAATCTATTTCGACAGGACGGTGCGCTTGTCATTCACTCAAAATTCACCAACCCATTCATCCTTCATGTCCTAACGAAACTCATCTGGTGTTCGCCCTTCCGGCTCCACACTTTTCTCGACGAATGCCCACGCCGTCAAATACGTTATGCTATTGGCGCAGCCGGCGCCATTACAGAGTCTGCATTGATGGAGCAGGGCTTGATACAACTTACAAAGGGTAGGATTACCCCCCAGATGACGCATTCGACATTCACAAAGATTGTTCTGGGCCTGGATCAGCTAAGTGACGCTGAAAAGGTTATTTTAGACGACTTCACAGACAGCATCGTCGTTTGCGGGCGCTCGCAACAGCAAGCCAACGACGAACTATCTGATTTTGATTTTGAATAGATACATCATGTATACCGATAATATATTCACATTAGCTAATAGTTGTATCTCACTTGTGAAAATTTCGATGCTATTTTACATATTTGTATCGTGTCCGATTCAAAAAACTAACATTTTACTACAACGGCAGTCCCAGAGCGGTACTTTTCTCTCGGTTGAGCCAAAACGACATTTACGAACGCATGCCCTGAGCTATACCCAATCCGAGTTGTTCAGAACAACTTTCGAACTCGTTGTCGGTAACTCGACTCTTTTAGATGTTAGGCGACTTCGCCTTTTACAACTAATAGTAGCTCAGGATTTGGCTTCTGCGGGAGTAGTGGTTAACCGAGTCAAGGCTATGTTTGTTTAAATGCTTCAAGTACGTGTACAGGAACTTGCCTCTTCGATTTTGATTAAGGAACGAGAGTTCCATTGCTCTCGGCTGATCGACACTAAAATTTTACATCTTCAACGTCACTGTGCGAACATCGGAGGATACGGTACTTTGTATTGTTTAGGAGATCCTTGGGACCATAGCCAAGGGAAGAGTTCTCTGACTAAGGAACCTTGAATAGTTCATGACAATTGTACAGCAAGCAGCAGTACCTGACAGATCCGCACACAATTGATGCAACGGCATGTTCCTGCCGAGGTAAATAAATTCCCATGAACCAGTGCCTTTCCTTGTACGCAATGTGCCGCCAGCCTCTTCAGCCGTTGATATAAAGGCAGGAGTCTTGCAAAGCCCAGTAATCATTCTTGTTTACCCCAACCATGCCCCAGGCCTATAAAATCCGGCCTCACTGCGCTACCCATGCGACAAATATCATCCCTTCCCACCTTGATCTTTAGTAAAGTGGTCCATCATCATTGGCGTCTACATCCACTGTAGACGCCAAGGATGATGGATAATTTTCCAATAGAGTTTCTCGGCGTCTCAAAAACACTTCTTCCAATAACGATGGCGTCCCGAAGACGACGGAGAACTAATCAGTACTCAATTGAGCATGCCCTAAGTCAGTCTAGGGTTAAGGTTACTAATATCTGAATTGACAGATCTTCCCACCTACTCTTTAATGTCGCCCCATACGTGTAGCCTGAGTCTGAGGAGCCTCTCAATGAGTTCCTTCGTTCATTTTGGCAGTGGAAAATGGATACAGAGACACCAAATTGCAAGAATCCTCCACTCCCTCCCACTCGCATTAAGAAAGTCACGAGCGATCCAGACGTGAACTCGAGGGTATGTCGCTTCATCATAAAATAATCGCTAATTACATTCACACCGAACTTATTTGCAGATGTACGTGTTACCAACAAAACCTGTCGTACCTCTCTCAATGAACGTTCATCTAGCCTCAAGCTGCTCCTCATCAGGATTCTGAACACCATACAAACGATGAAGCTGGCGGCAGTGGTTCTGGATCAGGTGAGGATTGTGATGCAGTTTGTAGTGTTAGACCCTATACCCTGTTTTCTCTCACTCATAAGAACCGCGCTGTGTGTACGACGTTCTTACAATCGCTTTTTACAGCTGCAGTCTATTAGCGCCATCGAACGCAATACTACACGCACCGTCCACCGATGTATGCTAGTTTTTTTTACTCATTGTAGGCTGACCTAATATCGACAGTACATGTGGTTTGGTGCTAAGTGTGCTCAGTCGATTGTTGTATATGACATTTACTCATTGGCTTACAGGTCCCAGAGGCAGGATGCGAAGCTATGAGAGCTGGACTGGGCGGTGCATGCGCGAAGGCATGAGATGTAACGCTGATACGAGGTGTGTGGACCTGCGTAGGAGTTTGAGCGAGGGTTGCTAAACGTGTACAGAAGACTATATAATTTATTGGAACTCTGACACGTTACTTGGAGCAAAACCACCATCAAATCACTGCCGCAACCCGAAAGGCGCTCGCTGGTGAGCGGCCATCAATGCATCACACTTGTTACGTTTTCTGAACGCACCTCACGGGACTATACAGCTCTTGGAAGTCATTTCCGCATTTATCGTACACGTTGACTTTTCTCGCGCCAATTCAAGCTTTTATGACCCTGCATCACTACGGCGTTATCTTTTCGGGTATGGATCACTCACTCGGACAAGCGCTGGCATGTGTGGCTGCCTTCTAGACGGAAGTTCTACTATCGGAATTTTCTAGCGAGTCTTATTTTCTCTTCTTTCACCGGAAGGACGGTGCGATGGATGGGACGAGAGCTTTTCCGAGTTTCCAACGAATCAAGTAATTTTGTGGCCTTCCCTAGTACCCAAGGTGACGTGTACTTTAACGGAGCGTTATCTGAACGGCTCCGAGAAGGGCATAACCGAGGGTTGGATGTGTTATTTTTCAGGACGTTGTGCGAGAGGACACAAGTGTTCTACGATCTCTCGTATCGAGATGGATCTGCAGTTCCTTGAGAGCGGGCGGACGTGCACTTCGACGGGCCGTAATGGGACCACTGACTGAAGCAAGAGCTGAACAAGGATGGAAGGAGAATCGTCAACGTCACCAAAACTGTCTTCGCATGCAATGCCGATTGATCGCAGAGCTGCGGATAATATGGTTGTATTATTAGATGGCTGGTTGGACAACCAAAGAGAAGGGAAACCTAAAAAAATTCATCGAAGTCAGGATCATTCAGAATTTCGGACTAACCTTATGTTGGTACAAACGGCATATTCAACTGTGGCTGTGGTAAACTCCCATGAATGCGCCTTGGTGCTAGTCTACAGCAAGTTCTTGGACGTTCACACAGGCAGGGATCTTGCAAATATTCTTGTTTTTCTGGCTATCCAAACTGACGTCAATGATAATGAGTGAGTAGACGCAGTTTTTTTGCAGTTTCAACTTGAATGAAGCTGACTCACATGGCAATCTTTCAACCAATTTAGACGCCTAGTCAACCTTGCCATGAAGGTTGTCAAGGAATTGACTTATGCTATTGCGCAGAACAGTTTCGGCGACGCATGGAAATCCAGAGCCTTAGAAAAAGATAATACTAGGGAGGTTGGTACAAGTTTCATATCAAATTCTGGATTTCTGACATTTGATGATAAGTTTCGAGGTGGCAACGGTTAAGAATGTATGAGGATCGAAATTTAGGATGTCAGTTTCAAGGATATCATCAGCAAGGTGGGCCTATATGTTGTAGAACGTCCGCTATAATGGTATGAATATTCGCAGAGATCTTCCGCTAGTACTAGAAACCACTGCGTCCTGATAACATTCTTCCCTTGTGTGGGATTGCCTACAGGATTTGGCCCAGTACTAACTATCGTATCTCCACGGATGCCTAACGGAGCCTCGAGCACATATCTTGATGAAAATTCTGACAGCAGTCTCCGGGGCCCACAAATTCGGTCTGGTAAGTCTCCCCCAATGATCATTAGCTGTACCACAACTCACGGGCGTCGTAACAGCTTTCCGATGTATTACATGAAAATAAGAATAAGCTGATAGTATATGGCGCACGTACTTCTCAACTGTGACGAACGGGCTCTTGTATGGGACCATGGGTTCTCGACTACATGTTCCAACCTAACCGGGACCTCTTACATTGGGAGTAACGTACGATGGGCTGGTCCTGAGTCTTCTTTTCGAGCTTCTGGGTACCAAAGACCAGTGCCTAGCTCACCAAAACTATATTTTAAAGTTCATTTGAATGTATTGTATGCCAAGTGTTGTCTTACCAGGCGTTGTCTGGCATGGCGTATATCCGCAGCGCTCCCGTGCCAGGTTTCATCGGACTCATGGCACTTGATCATTTGGTGGTTCTGGCCGTCCTCGTCCTCACGGGGTGCCAAGCCGAAGCAATCCATGCCGTTAACGATTGTCACTAGAGCACTTTTGGGTTCAGTCATCATAGCAACCCCCTATCGCTGATGTCCGAGATTTGATGTATACAGAGAGACCAACTTGCATGATTCGGTTATCAATATATCACACTCCAAGGCATGTGCCAACCCCTACCTGGTTGTGTGAGGAACGTGTTCAGGGCTGCGGAAGTACTATGCGCGTCCAATCTGTCTCCTGTGAATGACATATGGATTATACAGGTCAGTGAAATTTCGGGGAAGGCGCATAATTGAAAGTTTTGTTCTGTTCGCAACATTACATGTAGTACACCAGACTTGGGGGTTGGAACTTGGAAATTGAAACACCTAGAGCAGGTGATTCAAGTGGCAAGGAAGTGACTAATTTTACGGGTAACACCGCTTTAAGCACCACAAGATCTTATTCGAGCGGAATCAAAGCGCTATATTGATTAATCGATTGTTCGGGGGCGAGATCCGCTCGGGCTGATTCAACGGTGAATTAGCGTCTTTTCATATCTGGAGACCTTCGGGCCCATCCACACGGCCCCATTCCCTGGAGTTTCTTTTGCCCCTTTCCCACGTGCGGCAAGTTCAACATCACCGAACGAGATCAACGGAAATTGCCGCACTAGCGCGAAGTTCAACTGTTCGGCAACCGTCCGTTTCGTTTCATTGATATTCAACCCAAGTGACTGGTGAATATGATCACAGGCCTGGGTGTAAATGACTGGTTTCTGATCAGTGTTCAGACGACATTTGAAATTATTCAAAGGAATAAATAAATAATACACTACAGAACCGCATGCTACACTCAGAAAACACGAGGATTATAAGGGTCATACAAGTATAATACAGGGGTTTTGGTGCGCACACCACAAACTGAAATCATCCCAAACTAATTAAATACATGCAAGGTTTAGACAACATAAGGATTAGAAGTGAGTCAGAACTACACAATATTTGTCACTGCGCGCCACAAGATATAATTCAATGTCTGCAACGGCTGAGCAATGTTGCTGGAGGGCGTACCTCAAAATAAAGAAGGAAACGGGTGAAATGAAATCAAATGATTAATGGTTTGAAACGAAACGAAACAGATGGTTGCACACCGAACCGTTGGGACCTTACGGTTTTTTTTAGTAATAAGTTAGCGCCTTTTCATATCTGAAGATCCGATTTTCTTCTCATGTGCCCGTCTAGGTTCAGTATCAGTATCTTTTCTCTTGTAGATGCACAACAGATTATACTGGCATCAAGTCCTGCCTTATCGATACGATAGCAGATCATAACGTCGTAAAAGCTTCTGTTGGTTTTTTTCGAATCGCGTTAGTGAGACATTCCCTCTAACGAAATGGCGTTCATTTCCATTTCATATATCTGCTTTTCAGGGGCAGGCAAATACAAAGGTCAAGCGCCATTACCTTGCGTACGTGTCAACACTTCTTTTGCCACTTTCCCACGTGCGGTAAATCCACATAATCATCTGGTCCATGTTACGCCTGCCAGGGGGGGCATGGGCATTGATATAAAAGCCGTATATTTTGTGTTCAGTCTCCCAACTTTCACAAGTATTCTTCCCGCATTCGCACTCGCCTACTGCATCATAGACAAGGACGTGAACGCACCATGGATTTATACACATCAACACTAAAAAACCCCTCGTCCTCACGGCCAGGGCAGGCCCCTGACCAACATTCGACGAGACTAGTCCTGCAGTCATGTCTCCGGTACCTCAACCGCCTTAACAGGTTAGAGCGTCGTGTGCACGAGGAAATCCAAGAGATTCGCAGCCTCTTTATGGATATCCTGGACAACTACCATGTCACAATGGAGGATTCGGCTATCGACTCCCAAGCTGGACTTGATAGCTTGAATGCTATTCCACCGTCTGTATCTTTGCTTGACTGCTGCTTCATGTCACAGCCTGCATCCCATGAAACATCGTTTGGGGTCTTGGGAACGATGGCAGAGGGCACAGGTTCTCCCGAAGGTGAGCTGCTGTATTCACAATCCTTCTTTTAAATGCTTACCGTGTATAGGTCTATTGCCCCACAACAACCGCAGTGTTTCTGGCTACGTGAGGCCTCAGCGCAGCATGTACCCTGAAGGCTTTCCGACATTCTGTGATCCGCGTGTCATGGAATCGTCATCAGAGAATGTGGATGCTCACCTTGGTGAATTTGCTATCATTTGCAACTTTTTCTTGAAACACTTACAATCTATTTCTAGATTTATCGCTCTGTAGCACCTCCAATTACATCTATAAGCCCGCTGCGCAACTTTTTGTTCCTGTTGTGCAGGTTAGCCAAGTAAAAGATAAAGTAAAATGCACCAAGGACGGATGTTCAACACTTGTCAACAAGGATAACTTGTCTCGGCACATTGACGAGGTGCACGAAGGGAAGATTAAGGCTGTTTGTGCAGGCTGCGGACAGGGATTCAAGCGCCCGAATCTGATGAAGGAACATATCCTTCGGACCGGATGTGGGATATCCTAGATTGTTTGTAACGTCAAGTGTTTTTAAGGGAGTTACAATAGGAAATAAAAAGACAGGTTCAGACTCGTCCGAACGAGTCCGACATCCATCCGAGACTAAAAGGCATGCTCGAGTCTTGCCATTCTTACTGGTATGAATCGATGCGGAGTGACGAAATTCGGGCCCGTTTGGTGACCGCTCGGTTCCGTTTCTCATTTGAAACGGAAAACGTGTTCGGCAATGGATTTGTTTCGTTGAATGCTAAGAGCACCGAACAGCGTGTGGGTATTGCAGGATATGTGAGTAGTGGGAAATGGTTAGTGCCCTGGTTGCGGAGTACGGGGGAGGGGGTCAACGGTAGGAAGCGTATTGATCACTGATACATCTGTTTTCCAGGTCAGTCCGCGTCGACGTCGGCCCCAATATTTACTGTGGGTGCCTAGTATGTGCCCTATCACCGGTATATCCCGGGTTATGATTTCAACACACTCCTCCAGTGGAGGTCCAGGAGGTAAGAGTAGCAACTCAGCGGCGTTTATTCCCATTGGTCCGCATCCCCTTATCCGTGCCTTTTGAATTCTTCTCGCAACCAGAACCTGCTTTTCCGCAGAGGGCAATGCCCTCGGAGATGTGGCCTGCCAACGATGGCTACTCTTCACAGAGATTCATTAAAACTAGTGGAATTGAGTGGTGAAAACATACGTTTCGGCTGGGCAGATGAGGTCCCTCTTCAAAACTAGCGTGTGAATTCTCCATATGTGTCGTGCATTATTTTGTCAATCGCAATCTTGATCTCATTGAATCTTAGCTCGATCATGGACGTCGACTGCGACGACGATCAGATGATCTAGAACATTCATCATAGTAAGCTCATTTTACATGAACCCAACTTATACTTGTGCAAAGACTCGGTTTGTAATGCTGAGCCCGACTTCTAGGTGGCATGGGGAAGGTGCGAACACGGCCAGTCGTTACAAGATTCCTGGGTTGTTTCGGGGTGTATGACCCTCCTTCAACCCTTTGTCTAGTAACTTGAACCTTCTGCCTCACACGAATCTTCGTACTGCAGAGCTCACAGCATATACCTCACGTGTCTGCTGCCTACTTGCTTTCATCATGCTGTATTGGTACGAACCACAACCCTGCATTTCACTCACTTATAGTAGTTGTTCAGATGTCCCCTGCACAACCGCCTTCTACGAAGATCACTTGCCCGGTTACATGTCCCGAGACCACCGATGAAGACACTACCACTATTTGGTTTGCAACGTCCAGAGGTGTCCCAAATTTTTTCAACGGAGTGCTGTCGTACAAAATAAGCCACGCTAAGTAGATACGTGAAGAAAATGACCGTGACTTACGCGGCTAATAAAGGTCCGCTGACGGCCGGATCATTCAGTGCTTCTTGTACCATTGGTGTCGGAACCCATCCAGGTGCAATACAATTCACCCGTCCTCGGTGCGATCTTCACAATTTTGCTTTTGAGCGTCGTCGTCAATATCCGTGCTCAGCACATAACTGATTCACGACAAGCACAAAAACTCACTACTCTAGCTGATAGTATAATCGCCGTGATTCGCTTCGCCATATTCACCTGATGTGCTCCCGATGAGCACAATTGCAGCCCTATCTTTTACGCTTTCTGTTGCTGCACGCAAGTGGCGCAAGAACTCACGGCAGACCACGAAGTTTGAGGTGAGGTTCGCACTAATCGTGTGGTCCCATGATTCAATTGTCATATCGACGATAGGTACGTCCTGGGGCGACCATATGCCATGGTTGACCACAATTACTGCCACAGGGCCGAACGGTGTCCCTGAGAGGGCATCGAACATACTCTTTACGGCAGACTCAGAGGAGAGGTCTGCCTGTGCGCATTGGAGTGCAGGGAAGTTGACTTGGAGATTCTGGATGGGTTTGGAGTTAGAGTTGTGATGTGTAGTCACGTTTGCATCGAGGGCTGGAAAGAAAATGATATCAGTCACATCTCTGAAGGCACAAAGACAATGGAATCACACAGGCAGAGTTTGACGGTCTCAGGGCTAATGCCTCCGCTTGCGCCTGGAACGTGGGTGATGAAATCATGAACAAGCTGACGAGGGAATGACTGAACCTGTTACAAGGACATGAATGTTTTTCAGCCCTAAATCCATTGTCTGACTCTGATTAACGAGGAAACGAGGTCAGGCTAAGTTGAATTATTTTGGTTAATCCACGAATTTGCGTTTCCCAAGCCGAAGGGTCACCGACGCCAAGCGAGAAGCCGCAGTATGCGTTCGCAAGCACATCCGTCGACGCGTGTGTTCTTCAGTTGACGGAAACGAGCGTGGAGCTGTATTGTCACGGTGTCGCTCCTGTGCATGTCTAGAGAAGTAACTCCCGTCATCAATCTTGATAGACCTCGGGCCGGTCGTCGTGTTTTTCCACTTACTGATAATTCTGTCTCAAAAACACTGGTATCGAGAACAAGAATCACGTCAAGTGTTCCAGGCTACACACGGAAACGTTTGTTTGCACCTGGGGTTAGCCTAGAATAGTTGTAAACAGTATAATTAGACTTGATGGAGTGCAATCTGAAGTGCGACGTTAACGTTGATTGCGGCACCCAAGCTCGATTTGTCGTGGCGTTTGTCCCAATCGTACCGGGCAATGCTGCAGTTTGAACTTGACGACATTTTTGATAGCCGCTGGTTGCAATTTATTAATAATAGTGAAGTTAAATGAGCTCACGCAGCTACCTTACGCCTCCCCTAATACCCACCCCAGTATCCATCGAGATCATGATTGCGCAACAAGAAGTTCGGGTGCTATTCACCGCAGAGTGCCATCCAGGGTGGACGTGAAATAAGACATGCCCACGGACTCCACCCTAGTAAGATCGCCCTGAACAGTAGAGCACGGGTGAACTGAGACAAAGAACAATTATCAAATATGCTGCAAAGCTAAGCAAGTCACTTACTGTGTTGAAGACCCGCAGAAATATGACTGAGCTACGAAGGCATCAGTACGTTTTGAGACAGATCATGCAAGACATACCAGTTGGAAACGAATGATTGTGGACACGGTTTGATCATGGGATTCCGGAGAACCTGAAAGCAATCCGTTGTCATACCAGGGGCAAACCAAGGCAACGAATTGGCCAAAGCCTGGTACAGTGGGACGATGTGTCGTGTAAGTCTCGACCAAAGCTTGAGCTCAGGGCGAAGCCTCTATAACAACCAATAAATAACATTGAATTGTACGGAGCACATTGACGCACCCTAATTTTTCTCTTGGCATCCTCTTCATCTAGTGCTTGATTCCTGATTGACTTCACAGCTACCTGTGACTTTATCAGACTCGAACATGAAAATCGGGACGCACTCACTACGATGATGCTACCATTCCTGTCCCATGTAAATCGCCAGATGTCCCCCAGGCCTCCGAAAGAAGTGGCGTGCGATCTAGTTGGCCAGTTAAATCTGTCAAGTTATCAATTCTGAATCAAGTCAGCGTTGCTGCCGTAGTGTCTGGCTGAAGTCTCACCAGCTTGTTGGATCGTTTAGATTCGAGTGGGCGGAGAGCTGATGGGAGATACTCCAAGTGACGTTGCCCGAAATTGGAGTGTCTGAAGTATTTTCAAGAAAAGTTGAAGCTTGCGTGTTCGTTCCACTGTGGTGACACCGAAAATTGAGGACCTGAACTTGAAGGTATGTATGTCGCTCCATCATAAAAGTGTTAGCTAACTACATTCCATCGAAGAAATCAAGTTACAACTAGCCAGTAATCAAAGAAAGTGTGGCTATTGACGAAGTGCGTTTGCTGCAGTGGTAATAATTCTCATGATCAAGGGCCAAGGCGATGTGATATCAACCTATGTAGAAATTATGCTTCAAGTACGTGTATTGCTTCCTGTATCATTAGGAACTTACCTCGATTTTCTGCACTCCTGAGGAACGAGGATTCCATCATGATTGTACTCGGATAATTAGCTGTAAGTATGGCATATCGTTGATCGACACCGCAATTTTATGATACAGTCAACGTTACTGCGCGAGCACCGGAGCATTGAATTCCATTTGGTCAGGAGATCCTCAATTCGTTGGGACCATAGCCGAGAGCATGGAAGTTCAGAGTCTGTGGGACATTGTGCATTCTGATACTGTACAGGACACAGCTGAGACTAATTAAGGAACTTTGAGCAGTTCAAGAATTTCGAACGTAGCCTACAACGGGAAGCAGTAGTACGTGATGCACTACACAAGACAGCGGTGCGACCATTTTACGTTCCTGCCACGGCATATTCCTGTAGTCGTGGTAAACACTCTCATCAATGTAGCGCCTTGGTTTCTACAGCCAGCAGCCTCTTGAACGTCGATATAAAGGCAGGAATCTCACAAAGTCTAGTATTTATTCTCGTTCTGTGGTCATTCCCAGCTGCCCCGTGCCTATAAGATTTCGACCTCATTACGTTGCCAGGACGACAGATGAATACTCTTTCCGCGTGGATTTTCAGCCTGAGTGTGCTGCCTAGGAAATGGCGGCAAGTCCAACCGGAAACAGAGACGTCGGGCGCGACACACCTGGATGTAGGCTCCAATGATAATGAGTGAGTAGACGGGCTTTACCTTGAATGAAGCTGACTCATTTGCCAAAAAACTCAACTGATTTAGACGCCCGGTCGACCTTACTGCGAAGGTCGTGAAGGACTTGGCTTATGCTACTGCCCAGGGCAGTTTCGGTGACGTATGGAAATGTATGGTCTCAGACAAAGATAATAACGTGGAGGTTGGTACGAATTTCGTAGTAAATTCTGACATCTGATGATAAGTTTTAAGGTGGCGGTTAAATGCGTCAGGATCGAAATTCAGGATGACAGTTTCAAGAAAATCGTCAACGAGGTGCGCCGACATGATGTAGAACACGCGCTCTAATGATATGAAAATATTTGCAGAGGTTAATGGACGACTTCTGCAAGTGGAAACTACTGCGTCATGATAACATTCTTTCCTTGTACGGGATTACCTACGGATTTGGTCCAGTACCAGCTATCGTATTTCCATGGATGACCAACGGATCCTTGAGCACGTATCTTGGTAGAAACTATGACAGTCTCTCCGGGGCTCACAAGTTCGGTTTGGTAAGTCTTCCTCAATGATCCTTAGCTGCACCACAACTCACGAGCGCTGTAACAGCTTGCTGATGTAGCTGATGGTCTTCAATATCGTATGCCATGTCATTTTTGCATTGCATTAAGATAAGCTGACAGTATATGCATAGTCCACTCTAAGGGTGTAGTTCATGCGGATCTCACAGGTGTAAGCAAACTGTGGTATGCAGATTTGTGACGCTGCTCACGTCTCCGTTTCCTCTTAGAGCAATGTGCTCATCAATAGCGAAGGAAGAGCTATTGTAGCAGACTATGGGCTCTTGACTACATGTTCCGACCTGAACGGGACCTCTTACATCAGGAGTAACGTACGATGGTCGGCGCCTGAGCTCTTCGAGGTTCCGGACACCGAGGATATATCTAGCTCACCAAAACCAGAGAGTGACATTTATTCATTTGGATGCATCGCATACCAGGTCTGTCGACAACGTGTATTTGCGGTGCTCTTGTTCTCATTTGTGCCAGGTTTTATCGGGCAAGCAGCCGTACTGTAACATTCGCAGTGATCACCAGGTAGTCGTGGCCATCCTCAAAGGTGTCAAGCCCAAGCGTCCAGACATCCCTGCCATCGAGGATTGTCACTGGAACTTTATCGAGCAATGCTGGGTTGAGTCATCACAACGACCTCCTATTGCTGATGTCCGAGATTTGATGTCTCACTATAGAGATGCTATGCGTTAACCCAGGGCTTACGGTCTTCGCATGTAATCAACGCTCACGAGTTGGACACCGCACAGTATTGTCGAACGTTTTGGTTACTCATACTGATCCTCGTTGTATATCGCGTTACTCATACGTTGCGGATCTTATCTCTTACCTCACCGTTAAATTCCATATGCTCATCCACGTTGTCCGTTTTCTGATCGTCCGCTAGTGTTTGCCGTCTACTGCGACGGCCTTCCATCCTATCAAACAAGTATGGCCATCGACTTCTTGGGGTTCCGTGCAAATTAAATTCGTCGATTTGGAAGAACCAACCTTGGGAATCCATGATTCAACCGTCACACTTCGAGCTTCAAGGCTTGCTGTATTGCCTGGTTGTGTTGGTCACACATGAATGGCAATATGAACATATTTTATTTGGCCATCTACATAAGCTGAAATGACATATATACGGGTCAGTCACCTTCCACCAGTCTTCCATCTGTGGTCGATAAAATTCCAAATATGATGACAAGGTCAATTGAAACATTGCTCTTGACTTGGAAACGGATTAACTCGTAGTTCCAGCGGAGTGTCTGAGTGTTCTTCCCACCCCGCACACAGTACATGATGAGATGAACGTTGCCTTGCTCCGTCAGAGTTCGAAGAAGCTTCTTCAAAATGTTTCGAGCTTCCTTGTCTGAGACCGTCCCTTCGGTGCCTAATCCAGACCTGCAATTCAGTTCAGCAATAGTCACGGAGAGGGGTGAACTGGACCGACCAGCTGTATCGATAAGCTTTACCTTCAACATCTGGTGGTGATTTATCAAATTGTCCAAGTCGTATACATTTGTTCCAGTCGTACATCCCACAGCATCGGTGGCACGTTATTGACCTGTGTTTGCCATCTTGGCCTATTCCCGTTCAATCACCATGATACGCTTGAACCAGTGTTTTGCCGGTCAGTGAACCAAGTTCACGGTCATTGACCGGATTGCGTGGGAAAGCTGGCGAACTTCGTCGACGTTCATCTGAACACAACTTTCAGGAGTTTCCTGGTCCTACTGTAACGAACTATACTATATCTGGTCAATGCTAGAATATTTGATTATCCTCGTGCCGCTTCACATATCATTACTCACATAAACGCATGGTTTTCGTGTGTTCGGTTCAAGGGTACGTTTTAAGGCTTAGAACTCGAAGATGGACTCCCGACTTTTGACACACCATGAAGATCGGCAAGAGATCAAACCAAGGATGGTGGTGGGATCACTTCGTGGAGCACCCAGGTTATGCTGTCAAAGACCCAGCTTCGATGGTCAGTGGAAAGGCAAAGGTAGTGTGTGCAAGGCTCTATGAGCAACGTGTTGTGCATGAGCAGGCAATGGATGAGGAACAGGTACACTTGGGCCAGCGAGATGCACCAAGGGACGAAGTGGCAATAGCAGGCACTCGTACGCAAGTTTGTTTTATAGCTTTCTGTTACTAACTTAATGTACTAGTTTGGGCTAGTGGCCCGAATGATCCCCAACGCACCTGGTTAATCAGTCGACCGACAACACTATTATGTCACTTGCGTGATTGTGCATTGCACTCTGAGGATGTCCGTTCGCAAGCACGGCTGGAATACAAAATGGTGCAATCGGCTCTCAACTGAGACACTCACCCTTCTGGCAGAACTCAAGATGTATGTTCATGAAGAGCATGTACGCAACGATGTGGTCAAGAAGTGGCTTCAACGCCGGTACTGTGACACCGAGGCCACTGACAAAGCAGAGCCTACTCAAGTAGTTCATGCAGTTGGCGACAATCTATCAGGAGAAAGCAGCGAACGGGAGCCACGCAGCCTCGCTTTCGAGAGGCGAGGGATAAGTGATGTTGCAACAGACCTTATCTGAGCTGTTCAGGAGGAGGAGGAGATTTCCACCACAGAATCAATGCGCTCAGTCCCCATTGGTGCTGCCGGTGCCGGTGGTTCATTCTCCCGCATTGCTATCAGTGACTTACTCGACTATTCTCGTGTGGAGGAATGGTTGGGATCTTTTTATAAAGTCGCTATTCGAGGTTTGGATGCTGAGCTTGAGTTATATGAGCTTCTTGACTTAGATGCCGAGGAAATTGATGATCCAGACTTTCCTCAAGTTGATGATGTTCTTGACGAGTAGATAAATGAGCAGTGCTACCAGATGTTATAGTAGTAGTAGGCGAGTACTATCCATTCTGCGATTGTTGACGCACCGTGTACTGCGGCACTTTGAACCTGCTTCATCGTCCAATCAGATATGATTATCTAATATTCAAGCAGGACATCTGGCACTGCACGAGTTCAGTTCACTTGCATTCATGGGAAAGTTCGCGGCTGAATGTACGTTAACTTTGATAAACGTACACTGACCAGCAGAACACTGGCTTGAACTCAGTGTTTCTGCCCGGAGTCCCGTGCACACGTAAAGTCATCCGGTGATCATATTACAGATCTTTCAATGGAAGAGAAGCATGGCTTAATGTACGTGACTTTTGATTCACTAGATTCCATTCCGACTGATTTGGAACGGGCAATGCCAAAAATGTGTTTTGAGTTCTCGGTACTCTAGGCCGTCGTAGATTTCATCTATGAAGATCTACATTTCAGTTGGGCAGATAAGGTCCCTCTTGCACGTGAAATTCCCTGTGTACGCACCGTGCATCCGAGTCAAGGTACTCAAGACACCAAGAAGATATGATCGCAATCTTGATCTCGATGAGCCCAGCTTCTAGGTGGACATGAGGAGGTACGTACCTCACTACTTTTGCGACCACACTTGAGGCCATCCAACCTAATGGAATTCAGAATATTTATGGTCATGGCAGGCTAGTACGACCTTGGACATGCCGGTCAAACTTAAAGCTTAAGCTTTGTCCGACAACCAGTGAAATCCTGGGACAGAATTATTTATAGCAACACAATGGGAATGAAATTGTCCGGGATGATCGAGATCGGTGTGACCATCCCCCTTAATTACAAAGTCGTTAGCAATGACTCGAGTCAAATTGTCCATCAGAGCATTGAGAAAGATGTATACGTACTACCATTCGGTACACTTTGTATTGCATCTGGTTAGGAGATCCTCAATTTGTTGGGACTACAGCTGAGGGCATTGAATTCCAGAGTCGGAACGGAACCTTGACCAGTTCATGAATTAGGTTGATGCTGACGGCATATTGCTGTAGTCGTGGTAAATACTGTCATTAATGTAGCGCCTTGGTTTCTACAGTCAGCAGCCTCTTGAGCATAGATATAAAGGCAGGAATCTCACAAAGCCTAGTAATTGTTTTTGTTCTTGTGATTACCCCAACTGCCCTGCACCTATAAAGATCTGGCCTCATGGTGCTACCAATGCGACAGATATATTCCCTTCCCCCTTTGATCTTTAGTAAAGTGATCCCTTATCATTGGCGTCTACATCTGTGGATGCCAAAGATAATGGATACCTTTCCAATAGAGTTTCTCGGTGTCTCCTTCCAATGTCCCAAAGACGGAGAGTTAATCAGAATTAAGCATGCCTCTAGGGTTAAGGTTACTAATAATCTGAACTCCCACCTACTCTGTAATGTCACCCCATACATCTAGTCCGGGAAGCCTCTCAATCATTCATTTTGGCAGCAGCAAGTGGATACAGAGACACCAGGTTACAGGAATTCTCCACTCCCTCTCACTCGCATTAAGAAAGTCATAAAGAGCGATCCAGTCATCAGTAAAACCTCACTGTTATTTTCTGCTATTATCTCACTTTACCCGCCTTGGCGCCAGCGCTAAGGCACGAAAATGAATACAAGGAGTGTTAATTGGGTGTCCTGAATTTTCTCAAAGGCGCCACAGAGTGGCTAAGTGAAATTGTCGGTGCAAATGGAAATAAGGCATGTTCAGAATGAAAATAGTAGTATATAGTCAAATTGCGTTTAAGTAGCTACACGCTATCCAAAACAAAGTGAAGTCAAAATGCAATCTTGAATGCATGGTGATCAGTGTATTTGTTCACATAGTAGGCTTGAAATGTGTCATATGAATGATAAAGCTTGAGCTCCCGGGGCACAAATTGCATGCCATACATGGGAATAAGATGTGCAGCACGATAAATAGAGTCAATATGAATGACCGCGTACCCTGGAGCACTGTCTGCTCCAAATCCAGGATGAACTATCCACATTCCTGTATCTTCATCTGGGGTGTCACCAACTGTGTCGAACCAGCTTATTAGAGCGCAGGGATATAACCTGCCCCAGTACCTGAATGAGAAAAATGCATGAACACGGGCGACTTCGAGGCCTTGCATGCCAGGCAAACTGGAGTCTGTGTTGACGAAAACACAGTCATGGCACTGGTACTCATTCTGCCAGATGGGGCAAGAACGGATGTGTTCAACACGCATACCACTGATCCCGCTCAAATCACTCGGTGCATAGAATCGTGATGATGCGGAATTGAAGACCGAGATTTTGCTAAGATAGAGGGGACATTCGGCGAGGGGTATATCAGATGGGTCGCGAGGATCTTTAGGATGCAACTGTTGGAATAAGAAGCATCTGAGGAGGTTGGGTAGACTAGGAATATTGAGTTCTTCAGCAAGTGCAGGAATAGTTTGAGCGCGTTTTTTGCCCTCTGTACATAGTTTATTAGGACATTCAAAAAGGGAGAAAAAGAAGTCTTACAGTGTGTTTTCGCCAGCTGGACATAAGCTTGTAGAACCATTGGTCCATCATCAATTTCCAGGTCCTCATCGATGCCGATCAGCAGAGGTGCTGGTGCTGGTGCTGGTGCCGGTGCTGGTGCTGGTGCTGGCACATTTTCATCAAGTTCATTGATCTGCTGTGTGGGTACTATTGTGCACATTAGTATATAGGATATCTCACAAACTATTTACCCACCCAAGGTGTCCATAGTTACTGAGAGGCAAGTACCAGTTAACATTCCCCAATGTGTGAAGTCAGCTCGTGCTGCGGAAAGTTTGTCGAGCCATTGGTTGGTCACAAGTATTTGACCAAGTGCATTATAATGGCTGGATCATCTCCATGGCTCCTTGACCACTTTGATGTGCTTGTTTTCAGTGATTGATGAGCAGAGGCCGTTCGGTGCAGCAAACAATTGTATGTTTTGGACATAGTGCTTGAGTGAATGTTGACGAGGTAGGGAAAAGGTAGGAACCACTCCTGTCATCCTGAAGATGTTATGGTAATGGTGAAAGCGTGAGAGTGCATCTTCAATTTCGACTAGAGTGTCTTCTGTGATTATGTTATGATGGACTAGGTAACAAAATTCCAGAAGTGCACGAAAGGTGCGCATGACATCTACGGGTACATGACCCTCGATGGCGGGCAAGTAGACCTGAAGAATTAATAAGTTCTGCGACCATAGCATGACTAAATTGATGAATTACCTTCATCAGGGCCTTCGAATCATCTCCTGTCCACTGCTTGAAGCCACGTCCCTGTGGAAATCGTCGCAAGCCTGAAAATGAGGTGACAGCGGCAATTCTAAGACAATGAGTAATGTTACTATGTAATCTAAATGCGGTCAAGCTTACCTGCAATCAATATCATCCATAATTTGATCTGCCTTTCGTTTTGTATGCATGTGTCTGAGGTATTTCTCGACCCATTCAACGAGGTGGTCCTTGAATGCTCCTTTGATGAGTTGATGGAGAATATCTGGTGAGATCATCTGATGGATGTCAGCTCTGGGGAAGTCGTTCATAAATGCCTGTTAAAATAAGATCTTTAAGAATGGTGCTGCAAGGAGTGCGCTGATTCACATACTACAAGTTCCCCAACTATTCCAAAGTCATCCCACAGGTCACCTAAGGAACCTTCTTGAATGAGTGCTTCTGTGTATTCACGACAACAACGTAACACATCTTCGTCGAGATCCTTGCGAGATGCCATACATCTGCCAAAAAAATTGTAACTTAGTATACAAAGATACATACTAGATGACAAAAACGTACTTAGGGCACCAACCATGCACGATACATGCTAACAGTGCTTGCTCCTCATAATCTGCTATGTATGGCCCTAGTCCGTATATAACCCGACAGTAGTGACCGTCTCCAAAACGAGTGACTTTGGGGGTTGTCATGCCTGGTTTCAGCGTGTTGAGAATCTTGGAGAGTGACGAATGGAACAGCTGTCGACGGAATTTTCGGAACACTGCCTTGGTAGCATGTTCCTTTGTAGCTGTAACAATAAGTTAGTCATTATCGTAGAAGCCCACACCACGACACACTTTTCGGCATAGCAAGGAAGCCAATGACTGCTACTCCATCACGATGGGCTCGTCGAACATTGTTGCGAATGTTCCCAATTGAGGCGTATAGCAGATAATACTCGTTATTACCTGTCCCGACTGAAACCGTCGTTTTGTCACTGCCAAGGATGACAGGGACAAACATAGAGCCGAGCGTGCTCGGGCCCTTAGCTATTTCATCCTACATACAGAATTAGCAGTCATTATCGGATGAAGACTGCACTTACTGCCTGATCCCATGCCCAGTCACCAGACATAAAATCCTTCCACTGGCGCTTGTCGCCCTCAGTTGAATATTCTCGATAGGGGCAGTAGTCTATTTCATTGGCGTATGTTGGATTTGCAAGCATATTGCGCACAACTTCATGTGGGTCATGAAACCAGACTTCGTATTTGTCATCCATCCACAGCTTGGTACCATCTTCGGGTCTCTCACCATCGTAGGTTACTGTAAAATTTTGCCAATTCACGTCCCTGAATGGTGAATTATCGATGTTGTCGTACAGATCACGATGATCTGCGAATGGTGGCTTGTCATCGTGTTTTGCAAGGGTAGACGCCCATAAATCCAGCAACCGGTGTAGAGAATCATGCCTCTCATGGCGTGATATGGCAGTTTCCACCAAGGAGTACATAGCACGAACTTGTAGCGTCACTCTGTGCGCTACCCGCAGCTATCCCTATACGAGGCGCAACTTTCCTGCGCTTCGCGATGTATACGCGTGCGCGCGTTCCCGCGCTTGAGCGCCCTATAGCGCCAGCCATCCAGATGCATCCATCCACTGTCCACCATGTTCTCTAGTGCGTATATTTCTATTTCTCTCATCTGCATATTGTTCCATCTTTATTTTTATCATGGACTCTCACCCAAATATATCTTACATACCTACTCAGTAGCGCTTCGGCTCCGCATGACCGTGCTTAGGCGCGCTATATAAGCGCCAGCAGTACATACTATTACTTACTTTTCAACTAACTTTCCATTTTTACAACTTACTTTTCCTACCAGTCACTTACTAGTTAGCAGAACATAGTAGAGATCTATTTGTCTACACTTTGCACCTCTCTTCACTTAGCTTGTATTATATTATCACTTAAGCTTAGTCTCTCTACCATTTCCGCACGCGCGCGCGCTTTCCCGCGCTTCGCGCTAATACGCGCGCATGTTCCCGCGCCTTGCGCGCACCTGCGCTTTCTCGTGCTTCGCTTCAGCGCATACCACTAGATCTTCGCTCCACTTGCTTCCCCTTTAGGGTCGAACGCACTTGTCTCCTCAGGTAACGCAGACTAGGCAATACACGACCTTACAACTTTTACAGATACAGTCTGGAGCATCATTTGTTCCTCTCTGTATTGTTGTTTCTACACCGGTTAATTTGACCTGCCGGCATCTGATTTTGCATATACAGGAACTCTGCTGTTTCGAATTCTGTACGATTGCAAAAGGGTGTCCAGTTGCCAGTTGCTATATTCTCCAAAGGTGGGGGCGGAGTGCCAGGGAGGAGGAATATACCATCCATGTTGCATGGTCTGGCTGTAATCACATTCAGCCACAGTGACAGAATCATGTGAATGAATTTACCATTGAGACCCGTATGATAGTTTCGATACAGGTGATCCCCAGGCCCAACAAATTCCGTATCAACATTTGGTTGAGATGATGGTTGATGTTGGTGCTCCAAGTCGGCATATCCTTCATCCACATCCATGTCGATATCGTGGTCGACATGAGGCTGTGGGCTTGGCAGATGGGGCTCTGGTATAATGGGTTCCAGAGAGCATTGGTGGTTGTCCTGAGGTAGTACTGGTGGGATGGGATGTGCTGAAATGTGATGTTTTGTTCGCCCGGTGATAGTTTTGAACCACCTTGGACAACTTCTACATGGTAGTTGGAGCGAACTATGGTCGCAACGGCGTAGTTGACTCCGTGGAATGTTGTCGGGCATTGCAGCAATACTAGTAGACTAGAATAATGTTCAGTTCTGGCGATTTGTACATTGAAAGGTGGAAAACTCACCAATCAGAAATCTGTGCGTTCAAAGGTGGAAGGATTGCCTATGTTAGCTTGGAAATCTGCATGTTGAAAGGTGAGAGCTCTGGCAAACAGCAGAGATGAAAAGAAAGACAGCAAACTTACGTCAATTAAGGACAATTCAGTACACATGCAGACCCAGTTGCAAAGGATGCTGTAAATGACTAGACTGACGAATTGAACCTTTAAAGTTTCGGGTTGATTTAAGTAAGGAACTTACAAATTTGCAGTCAAACTTCAACTACACGTTGTCCTTGACATTTTTTTCACCCATCTCAAGCTTGCTGCAGCACTCGTTTAATCTGCTACTTGTCAGCAATCATGTCCGATATCACTGAGGGAATCCGCACTCGCCGAGACAATAAGTTCAAACACACGGGCTTGCCAGACCTGCCAGTGCAAGGAAGGGTTCCACGACGTAGCAAGGCCCAGAAAGCAGAGGACGACAAAATCCTTGAGGAAACCCGCCAAGCTCAAGAGCGGGCTGCAGTCAAGGGGCTGCAGCGGCTTGCTGCAATGCAGATGGAGATGGAGGAGGCAGAGGAACAAGGCGTGGTGACTAAACCAAAGCCAGTCAAACCCCATGCTCGCCCTGTCAAGAAAAAAGTAGTGCCTGCCAAACCAGTAAGAAGCTCCTGGCAGTAGGAAGCACTGGTGTTACTAGTGTCACCAATACTGACTCACCCAAGGCTGGTACCATTGAGGACCAAGAAGAAAGCAGCCAGGACACCAACGTTGAGGACGAAACAAAGAAGAAGAACCAGAGGGCCATCAAAATGTCTCTGAAGGACACAATCAGCAATGCTCGAGGCTCACTCACAGGAAAGGTTGAGTTAATTCAGGGGCCACGTGTTGGCGACAAGAAAGGAAAGTCTTCTACCACAACATGTGTCTTTTTGTTCTGATCAAAACCACGATGTTGATGCTGACTGAATCGACTCTTTTTTTTCTTAACTTGACCTCAAAATTCAGGACCAACCCCAAGTTCTCATTGATAAAGCGCATTGATGGTTGGATTTCTGATGTCTCACCAGACGCAACCGAACTATCCAAAACTTCCAGCACTTCTAAGATTTGTACCACTGCCTCAGCTTTGTCATTGGCGCATGGGCCACCAAGCAGTGCTTTATCCAGTTCCTGTGCTACATCAGTTTTGGGCATAACTACCAAGTCCTCCAAATCTAAGGCCCCCCCTGCTCTAGCTAATGCATCTGATGCTCTCAAGGCTCTTGTTGGCGGCTTTGATGATGAGTCGGATGATTCTCAGGAACGTTTGGATGCCTTCATTCAAAAGACAAAGGGGAAGCAGTCTTCACTTAGGGTGCATACTAGATGTTTTGTAATAAATTCTAATTCTAATGCACAAAGCCAATTATATAGATTACCTCAGATGCAATGCCTGAGGATGCGCTGTCTTCAACAGAGGACTTACAGGATATTGAGATCAATGCACTGATGGACCTGGACGATGCATTGGTGGACCTGGAGGACAATTTGTTTGAGGGCAAAGATGCCAGGATGTCCAAGGCGGTGGACAGTGACAGCAGCTTAAGTGACGGAATCTTGTTCCGTCGGAGTAAGAAGCGGAAGCTTGCAGACACCAAATCCTCCGCCCTCATCTTGGATAGTACCCCATACGAGGATACATCAGATGTTGAGGTTATTGATGTCCCTTCAGGCCCTGTCGCAATGGCCAATACATCAAAGAAGGCTGTGCGTTTGACCTCCTCAGTAAGTTTATTTTATTTTAGATTATCACAACTTATATTCTCTGACAGACTGCCGTCGCTGTCTCCCAGTCGGCCACCACAAAGATGCAACCACCTGCAAAGAAGGTGAAAACTGAAGAGGATGCTGATGCCAGCACCGTGCAACTAACGCTCACAGCCCCACCTGGCTATTGGATCGAGAAGCAATACAAGACACGCTCAAGCTACCAAAACTATCATCTCCCTCCTCATTGCCAAGATCAGCGGTGGCTGAAGCAGTTCCTCCCAACCCTTTACCTGTGGGCCGGGAGTCAAAATGACCTCTGGTAATTCTTAGACGCTCCCCTGGTCGAGGCACTCCAGTCCATTTATGATGTTGTATATTCAGAAGAATCAGATCTTGATTACAAGGTGACCGCTCAAGGGTCTGTCTTTGGCGTTGTAAGTCGCATTTTTTTTCTGTCACTATTACTAATGGTTACAATCTCAATCAGGCCACCCAATGTCTCGCAGAGTGGCACAGCAATTTTGGATCAATGGGACTGGCTATTATGATGGATTTTTTCACTAGGAATGCTGACACTGATCCAGAAACACTTGCTGACGCGCTTCTGGAGGACTTCACTTTCATTTATGAGGACATGGAAAACCTAGACCCGATGCAAGCCTTCCGGTCTCCATTCATGTTGCAGCTCTTCGCAACCGCTCATCTTCACGCCATTCTCGGGCATGTTGAAGTTCCCGCACTTAAAACATATGTGCTGTCCGTTGTCAGGATGACTGGTGTTATTGGCATTTGTGCAGCTTCAGTAAGTACTCTGTACATTCACATAACATTACTGATAATTCTACAGCTCAAGCGCACCATCAAACGTCTCCGTGTCAATGCCATTGACATTGATGTGGACACCCTAGATCTGGGTCCCGCACAAATGAAGCGCAAGCTGTGGACACCAAAGACCTTCAACAAGGCCACTGGCAAGGATAGCACTACCGAGAATGCCTTCTCCATCAACAACTGGGGATCAGTAACTGCGTCATACGTGGTTGCTATCAAGGCGAAAGGAGACGACTACATGAGGACCACAACATTAACGGCTCAGAAGTTGCTAAAGAAGCAGGCTATACTGTTAAAATTAAGCATAATACTCACTGACTAGAAATGGTATGGTTTTGTAAGTTTGTTTGTAAACTATCAATCTCCTACAATTAAGCTTAACGGCTTCTGATTCCTTTGGTGATTCTCAGGCTTCCAAGAATAGCGCTACCACCGGAAAAATTACCAAATTGGGATATTCCAATAATCTCACTATTCCCACATACCTCCCTGGCTCTACTGCTGCACCAGAGCTTTCCCCTTGCTCACTCATGTATATAAGTAGTAGAATGGCATGTACATACATAAAATGATACAATAGACCGCTTTTTTCATTGTCTGAGAGCTTGTACAGCAGTCTACAGTGCCAACTACAATATGTGCATCCTAGGACTAAAACATATTCGCTTTTTTGCCCCCTTAGCAGGGAAGCAATTCTGGCTGTATATATCATATATTAGAGTGTTAATGAATATATTACACTGCTTGTTTGAGCCTCTGTAGTGTCCTACATAAGTAGATATGTTAAATTCATGAATACCTCTCAAAAAACATAAACCAGTTCGCATTTTTTAGTGTTTAGGTATATAGACTGGTGAATATTATTTCTAACATCTCTTCACTAGTATATACATCATATCAAGAGTATAGGTCATTAGGATCAGTCCCTAGGGTGATATGTATTGTCATCTTCCTGGTGGTTCACTCCCTAAGAAACTTTTTCCTGCAGCTCCAGCCCTCTAGGATGGTAGGTAGTCTTTTACTATGAACATATGGAATATATTTATCACATAGATATACCAGAACAATACCAGGATCCTTGTCTACAATACACAGTCACTTCCTGCCTACAATGTACTATATTTTCGTATTTTTGAGGTTTTTCACTACATTCTCACTACATAGACTATACCAGCTGTTCATATATCACTTATAGTACATATATGAAGCCCTCCCAAGGCCATGATCATGCAGAAATATGTCAGAGTAATGATATCAAGCACATATCTCCTATTCTCACTGATAAGAATTCCCAGACATGAATATAGTAAAATATTATAATCAGACTATCTTAGAGTACACTATATATACCAAGTAATACAGTCCTCGACTACCAGAAGGATCCATAAATAATTGACAGCAGGGGAATCCAATAGATAAGAAATAGGTCGTGGGAAAGTCAAAAAGTCCAAACATCGAAAAAGTACTATGTACCAACAGTCTATGGAAGAGTGGTCTGACCATAATAATGCAACAAATTGAGACCACAACACTTCCACATCACCTTTACCTTCACAACATATATTAGTATAGTATATATCAGTAGTTTACAATGTATTCTATACATTTTTAATGAAATATTCAACCTAGACAGGGTTGAAATATAACATTTGCATGATTGTGGAGTTTGCCCCTATATTATTGATATCATTACTATGACATATTTCTGCATGATCATGGCCTTGGGAGGGCTTCATATATGTACTATAAGTGATATATGAACAGCTGGTATAGTCTATGTAGTGAGAATGTAGTGAAAAACCTCAAAAATACGAAAATATAGTACATTGTAGGCAGGAAGTGACTGTGTATTGTAGACAAGGATCCTGGTATTGTTCTGGTATATCTATGTGATAAATATATTCCATATGTTCATAGTAAAAGACTACCTACCATCCTAGAGGGCTGGAGCTGCAGGAAAAAGTTTCTTAGGGAGTGAACCACCAGGAAGATGACAATACATATCACCCTAGGGACTGATCCTAATGACCTATACTCTTGATATGATGTATATACTAGTGAAGAGATGTTAGAAATAATATTCACCAGTCTATATACCTAAACACTAAAAAATGCGAACTGGTTTATGTTTTTTGAGAGGTATTCATGAATTTAACATATCTACTTATGTAGGACACTACAGAGGCTCAAACAAGCAGTGTAATATATTCATTAACACTCTAATATATGATATATACAGCCAGAATTGCTTCCCTGCTAAGGGGGCAAAAAAGCGAATATGTTTTAGTCCTAGGATGCACATATTGTAGTTGGCACTGTAGACTGCTGTACAAGCTCTCAGACAATGAAAAAAGCGGTCTATTGTATCATTTTATGTATGTACATGCCATTCTACTACTTATATACATGAGTGAGCAAGGGGAAAGCTCTGGTGCAGCAGTAGAGCCAGGGAGGTATGTGGGAATAGTGAGATTATTGGAATATCCCAATTTGGTAATTTTTCCGGTGGTAGCGCTATTCTTGGAAGCCTGAGAATCACCAAAGGAATCAGAAGCCGTTAAGCTTAATTGTAGGAGATTGATAGTTTACAAACAAACTTACAAAATGTACTGTGTATAATTAGACATGGTTAAGTATCACCCTGCCATGAACAGGTGGAAGAAGTCGGGCAGTGTCGGCCTCCAGAAGTACTTTTGCACTGATGATGACGGCTCAGAGGGCGTTGACATCCGCGCCATCCTGTGGTAATGAAGATTGATTCTTTTTTTCCTTTATTGACGAGCTGACATCATTCTATAGATGTCATTTCTGCACTGCTCACTGCGAGTTTCCAATTGTGCGGCACCCGTCTTCAAACCATTGCATTTTGCCTATCCCATCATCGCTCCAGTTTGCTCGTTTTGTTTTTCATTATCTGCATTTCATATCCTTTAATCTCCTTTTGTTTTGTTTTACATTCATTTTTGCTCTTAAAATCACTGCCCTTTCTTCCTATTTGACCACTTTTTCACACTTCACGTCGCCATTTACTCCATTTTAACCAATGTTTTGTACTTTGCATTGGACAATGTGACACCGTTTGCGCTATTATTACTGCTTTTTTGTCGGTCAATGCCTAGTAAGTGACTTTTAAGAGCAATAAAGTAGAATTCAGAGGATGAGTGGCCTTTTTCTCAATTTTTCCGCCGTCTGCTTTCATGTCACCCCAATGGCTCCTCAAACCCGGTTAAAGTGAGAAAACAAGGATAAATTAGGATTCATCACCAAAAATAAAAGTGAGGTTTTACTGATGCAGGCGTGAACTTGAAGGTATGTCGCCCCATCATAAAACAACTCCAAGTGTTCGCTAACTATGTTCACGCCGAACTTAGTTGCAGGTGTATGTGTTATCAATAAAACATGTCGTACCTGTCTCGTTCATCTAGCCTCAAGCTGCTCCTCATCAAGATTCTGAACACCATACAAACGATGAAACTGGCGGTAGTGGTCCTGGATCAGGTGAGGATTGTGATGCAGTTTGTAGTGTTAGATCCTATATCTCCTACATCAGTAAATTCACATATTCCTTAGTGCAACTTTTTTCGAAAATTAAAACTTATTTTTAACTTATCTATATTTATTCACTTGGCTTTTCGTTGTGACAAGTCGAAAAAGGAAGCGCGTGACATGCAAGTGCCAAAAGGCAGCGCAAGAACAAAAAGTAAGATCAGATACTCGAAAGTATAGCAAGCAATACAAATCCAACTAAGTAGTAGTACTAGCCTCAAGTATCATACTCAAGTATCTCGAATGTGATCCGGTATGTTCTTTGGCTTGTTGCATTATTGGTTGATTGATGCTGAAACCTTGCAGACGTTAGTATGATACACGATGGCCTCCAAACCAAAATCGACAAAGGTGCACTGTGTGCAAGGGGAGAGGTGCCGGTGGATAGAGGCCGCAGATTGGGCGCTGGCAGAGGTGAATGTGGAACAAGCGGAGGCACCATTGGGGTTGTGGGAGAGAGCAAAGAGATGATTGGGGCACAGGAAGGGGGACGGAAGGCGTCATTCAAGTGTAGCGTGACTACAGACTATGGTGAGTGCTAAGATTCTTATGACTGACGAACTGTGAGCTTACCGATCATCTTCAAGTTGATAGTGTCATCTCGGGGATTCAGCATTTGGGAGAGGCAGGATGTAAGTTGATAGTGTCGTCTCAGGGATTCGGCATTTGGGAGAGGCAGGATGTAAGTTGATAGTGTCGTCTCGGAATGCCGGACTGCTTTATGACTGAGTTGCAATGTGCAACAGCATAGTAGTCCACCCTGCCCTTGTCGTCCTGGGCATCGACACGGTCAGGATGCTATCTCGAAGGCGTGGTGATCAGTGAATTTGTTGACATAAAATGAGTGGAAAGAATCGATAGAATGGTAGAACTTGAGGGAATGAGGGATGTACTCAGAACCATAGATAGGTATCAAGTGTGCTGCACGAAATATCGTGTCAATATGAATAACAGCAAGATTCTGGGAACCATCCTCATGAAAAATTGGACCGACCATCCACATGCCAGTGTCTTCATTAGCACAGTCACCAATCTTGTCAAACCATTGGATGAGAGCGCACGGATACCCTTCCCAGTTGTGGATGAAAGAGAAGAAGCATATGATTCTCGCAACTTCAAGTCCTTGCATGCCTTGAGCATCCGAATCGGTGTTAATGAACACACAGTCATTATGCAGGTACTCGTTCCTCCAGAGTGGACATGCACGGATATGTTCCCGTCGCATGCCACTGACACCACTCGGATCACTGGGAGCAAGGAAAGTAGCAGAAGCAGAATTGAAGACCTGGAGTTTGCCTTCGTTCTGAGGGTAGCTACCAGTTGGTATATCTTCGGGATCATGGTGATCACCTCGGTTGCGCTGAGAGAACATAAAATCTCGAATGAGGCGTTGCAGATTCGGAACAGCGACTTCATTTGCCAATGCTGCCACTGTTTTTGCCCGGTTTGGTTCTGTATGATACAATGGTTAGCATTGGGATTGGACGTTGCATGATATCACTTACGAGGAGTTTTGGCAAGTGCTACACAAGCAAGTACCATTGGATCATCAACTATTTCATCGTTATCGATATTCATTACTGGTTGCGGTTCAATAGCATGGTCACCTGGCTGCGGTGCAATAGCAGGGACAGCCTGTTCATCTTCATCTGGCATTGGATGTTGCTGTTTGAGTATGTGAGAAGACAATCAGAGAAAGGAATATTGAACAGACTTACCAAGAGTAGCCAAAACACTTGATAAAATAGTGCCAGTAAGCATCCCTCGCGCATTAAGGTCCACGTGGGATGCTGCGAGCTTGTCAAGGTGTTGATTGGTCACAAGCATCTGACCAAGAGCATTGTGCCTATTTGACCAATGCCAGGGCTCCTTTACAGCCTTGATATGTTTTGATTCCGTAATTGACAAGCATAGTCCGTTCGGAGCACCAAAGAGTCGAATCATGTCCACGTAATGAGTCATTGAATGCTGGTGAGGGAGTGAAAAAGTAGGAACGACGAGACCAAATATCTTGCGATAGCGATGAAAGCGACCAAGTGTGTCTTGAATTTGATTCAAGGTATCTTCAGTAATAACATTGCGCCGCACAAGATAGCAAAATTCTAACAGTGCACGAAATGCGTGAACCATATCTCCAGGTACATGGCCTTCGATAGCTGGAAGAAAGACCTTCATGAGGGCTTTCAAATCATTGCCCGTCCACTGTTTGAAGTCACGGCCTTGGGGAAACCATTGCAGACCAGAGAATGAAGGTACAGCAGCAACTCTGACTTATTGTGAGAGGATGCTATTGAACTAATGAATGAAGTAACATACCTGCGATCTATGTCGCTCATAATCTCCTCCGCCCGTTTGGTCCCGTGCACTGCCTTGAGGTACTTTGCCACTCAGTCGACAAGATGGTCTTTGAAGGCACCTTTGATGAGCTGATGGAGGAGATCAAACGATAGTAACTCATGGATATCTGCTCAGAGGAAGTCATTTGTAAACGGCTACACAAAATATATTAGTTCGGGATTGAGGGGCAGCTGGTTTCCACTCACGACGAGATCACTAATGATACCATATTCATCCCATAATATATCCTTGTGTAGTTCACCAATTATGAAGTCAGTGTGCTCGCGACAGTGATACATGCCACCACTATCGAGGTCTGTTCAAACTGCAATACATCTAACATATATGATCAGTACAAGTGGATACTGATTGCAAGTTCCAATACTCACTTTGGGCACCAATGCTTAACGACACAGGATAGCACCAGTTGTTCTTCGTAATCTGCTATGTAGGGTCCTAGACTGTATATCACACGTTGAAAATGACTATCTCTGCAGCGCACGACCTCGTATTTGGACATTGCAGATTTCAGGCTGGAGAGAATTGCAGATAGCGAGCTGTGGAATAGCTGGCGACGAAATATCTGAAACATGTCATCTTTGGAATGTTTCTTGTCAGCTGTGATACAGCTTAGATGAGGTATAATAAAATCTGAATATCAACACGTACTTTTGGGTATGGCGAGGAAACCGATGATGACAAGAGCATCACAGTGAGCGCGCCACACATTATTGCATACATTGCTGATCGAGGCATAGAGGGGATAGTATTTGTTATTACCAGTACCCACAGAGATGGTAGTCTTATCACTACCAAGAATAATTGGGACTAATGCAGATCCATGTGTCTCTGGGTCTTTTGATATGGTGTTCTTAATGAAATGTTAGCTATGTTCCGAGAAATTCCAGTAGTAATAGGTAGAAAATGTACTGCCTGTTGCCATGCCCAGTCTCCAGACATAAAGTCTTTCCATCGGCGCGCGTCGTCCAATGCATTATATTCACGAAATGGTGCATAGTCGATTTCGTCTTTGAAGGTAGGATTGGCTAGTATGTTGTGCACCATCGCGCAGGGGTCCCTATACCAGACCTCAAATTCATCATTCATCCACGGTGGGACAACCTCGGGACATTCTCCTGTGTACTGAACTGAGAAAGATTGCCAAGGGACATCACCAAGCTGTGTCACATCTATGACATTGTAGAGATCTTTATGATCAGCGAATGGAGGGGTGTCACGGTGTTTTGCGAGAGATGCGGCCATTAAATCACATAGGAAATCCAGGTTTTTTGCGGACATATGGCATTTTTTGAACGCAAACTCGGCCACCTCAAATTCTATTCTATTGCGATATGGGCTCCAATCATCAGGAGCCTTTTGTGGTATGGGAGGTGGAGGGGTGCCATGTGGCACAAATTCTCCATCAGCCGTGCATGGTCGTCCTAGGTGTAGATCTGAGTCGAAGAAAAATAAAGTACAGATTAAAAAGAACTTACCATTTAACACTGAATGGTGCATATGATAATAACGCTCGCTCTCATCAGTAAATTCAGCGTCAGCATCATTTGAATCCTCATGAGTTGGTTCGGGGAGGGTGGGAGGCGATGGTTGGGGAGGTTGTGAGAAACCCGGAGGAGGGAGTGAGAAATCTCGAGGTGGTGGTGAGAAATCTCAAGGGTGGAACTCTGGTGACAGGGATTGTCGGGGATTGTCATGAGGGGGTGGTAGTTGGGGTGGTGGTATGAGATCCTGAGGGGGCGGTCCTGGAGTGGGTAAATTTGAGTGGTGCGAACACCTGTGTTGGGTGAGACCTGATTGGTTTCAAAACCAACGCGTGCAGCCTGGAGCTAGGCATGGAAGCTGGAGCAGGTGGTGAGCACGGCGGGGAGGCATATGTTTTCTATGCCTAAGTTGGTGTTGACAGCCGAGGAGAATTTCCAAGGCAGCATATTCGGGCACAAGATTACTGGTACCGATGTGACCAAATCAGAAAGGTTTAATTCGGCCAGATTCAGAGGTTCTTTAGTAAAGAAAGGCCCAAATCACACCCAGAGGGCACATTGATGCAAGTTCAAGCCAGACTGGAAAGGAGTCCGATACAGTGAACCCTAGGTTCACACTGGCAGCACCAAAAAAATGTGGAAAGGTTCTGGTAAACATTGATGTTCAACTTGAAGTTTGCTGCGCCGAAATGAATATTGACATCTTGCGGCAAAATTGTTGGTCGAAACTAATAGTAGTACTGGGACCAGAAAAGTACTGCTAAACCAACATCTCCGGCAGGTCCGGAAGGATCGCGCTAAAATAGTAGTAGTAAGTGGTAGGTACGTCAGCCTGGGCAAGGGTCAATGTAAGTATTTATTCAGAGTCAGCTTAGACTACAATTTTCCGAAGAATCGTGGCAAAACTTACCTTGTTGTCAGCCACCATCGCCCTCAATTTTCTTCAATCTCCCGAGCCCTCCATTGATAGTATCATGCCTGCCAGTGCAGTTCCGAAACGCATGATGACTCAACCTAAAAATGCAACTCAGCATCCAGGATATATTCTGACCAGGGGCGAAGACCGAGTAAAAAGACATACCAAAGCTCAAAAGGCCGCGGATGACCAACGTGAAAAAGAGGAGAAGGAGGCAAGTGAAACAGCTATACAGGAAGCGCATAAGCGCATTGCTGCATTTCGGAAACAAATGCAGGCAAACCAAGCTACTGTGTGTACTGATGCACCTAAGCCCACTTGTCCTCATCCTCGTCCTGTGAAAAAGGGTGTGAAAGCCCTAGAGACCTCCGACTTGACTATGGCTGCCGAAAAGGCTGTTGGTGCCAAAGGCAAAGGTGGCAGGGCAGCAGCCAGTGCCAATGTTGAGCATCCTGCAAGTGAAGATGATGAGGAGTTGGAGGTCCAGATGCCGGAAGCACGCAAGAAGAAGGGGAAGAGGACGGTGATACCAGTGAAGACACCAGTGAGAGATGCAATTGATGTGGTGGGTGCCCTTATCGATGAATCAACGCAGGCACATGATGATGAATCGTCTGATGCCATGTAAGGCATTTAGTCTTCTTAACCATCATGAAGCTCCATCTGACCAAAACATCTTTTTTTTTTCAATCTTATGGTCCACGATAGTGATGGTAATAGCTCTATGCGGGCTCCTAAAAAATACAGTGTGGTCAATCACATCCCAGTTTGGAGGGAGAGAATTCCTGAGGTTGATGGTTCAAAGCCATCCTCCATCTTCAACTTGAAGAACAGACGTTCTGCAGTGCCTTCCACTCTCTCTAGCACCGCTCCCTCCTCTAAGCTTACTAGGGGAAGCACTATTAGTAGTGCTGGTGCCCCACTCACACCTACTATCTGTACTCCCGACGCTGGGGCCAACGACGTATCAGCTCTTTTCACAACCCTGTTTGCAGACGATGAATTGACCGAATCAGTCAAGCACTCTCAAGCCCTCGCTCGTATGTCAAAATCAAAGGCTGCTCAGGTAAGTCTAATCGTCTAGTTCGTTTTCATGTGCTAACCGCATTTCTAGGGCGTCAAAATTTCTCCCAAGGTCCCAGAGAATTCTCTACTTCAAATGAACTTAGCCCATCACAATGCCAAAGTGGCACTTGAGCAGCTCAATCCAATTGAGCCTGATGTCACTGCCGATGATGGTGCCTTCAATATTCCTGAGCAGACCAAAGCTAAGACCGCTCCTCAGATGGCCTCCCTGGTTGACTATGGATCCGACACCGATAGGGAATCTGATCTTAAACCTCCTCCTTCTGCGCAGGTTCCCAAAGGGTATTATGATGATCTCCAACCCCCATGTCTCGCTCGAGCTTACACATACTGCCCTACCAGTGTCAAGCGCAAACTTGCAGATGTCGAGGATCGCCTGACTAATGATAGCCTGATCGAGGACGACCTTATGATCGAGGACGACGACCTTATGATCGAGGATGACCTTCTGATCGAGGACAACCTCATCATTGAGGACAACCTGGTCGATGAAGACTTGCCCTCCTCCGAAGTTGAATTTGTGGGTCAAGCTCAACGTCACGTCAAGCCTGTGGTCAAGACCGAACATAAACCAGTGTCGTTGCGGGTGACTTCCGCGGTAGTGTGCTTCAGTTGCTAATATTTTAATTCTACTGACTACGAAATTTGTAGACCGGCATAGGCATCAAACACAACGCCCCCCCAGCAAAGCGGCTAAAGTCCTCTATCACAAATTCTAGGAGTGTGTCCAGCATTCCAAGTACTGTGACACCTGGTCCCATGAACCCCTTAGAAGTGACAGTGGAGATCCTCCCCCGTTCTGCATACAGGATCAAGCACCTTCCTGGAGGTCCTCGGGCTGTGGCTAGGTGGAGTTCTGTGTTCATCCCTACTCTCATTTCCACCATCGGAGATCAAGATGAAGTCTGGGGTCGGGTCGGGTCGGAGACAACTTTATGTGCTACTATGCAGGACACCTGGGATGTGGTCTATGAAGATATCCCCCATACAGTGATGACTGATGGACCTGTCATGGCTATAGTGAGTAGTTTTTGATGCCATTCATATCTGACATTTCTTTTGTTCTTAGGCTCTCCAGCGGCTATCAGAGTGGCGCAATGGCATCGGTTCCACTGCTGTCACAGTATTTATGAACTTCATGTTGCTGCAAGATGATGTCGAGACCGATGAAGACCGTAAGGATTTTGCAAAGAGTTTACTTCTCAAGCTAGCATTCTTGTATGGGCACATCAAGGACGATGAAACATTCGAGAAACCTTTTCAGTCTGAGCTCATTATTCAGGTTCTTGTACAGCATAAGTGTGCTACATGGGGTGCCATCAACAGCCATCACACAATAACGCATGCGAAAGGGGCTCTCAGCCTTTCCACTGTGGCAGTACATATTTTTACTCTCTCTTCACAGTATGGCTAAATCATTTCTCGTGTTCAGGTGGAACATGCCCTCCTCCTTATCGCTGGGCCTGATGAGACATGTGTCAGTGAATTTGAAGTCAATAGTAAAGGCAAGGCTGTCAAGGTCCCACACTCTCTTAACAAGGCCTCCGGCAAGATTAGCAGCTCTCGAAAGGCCTTTTTGGACACCAACTTCGGTGCGATGACCAGGGGTTATATGATGTCTATCAACCGCCTGCCAGAGTCAGTTCTCCGGGATGTCTGGGGACAGGCAAAGGACATTGCCTTGAAGAGGTGTGGTGCACACACCACTCTGGATGAGGACTCTGAGCTTGATGAGCGTGCGCTCATCTTCGCCTAGTACTACTAGGGGCCGCCCAGTACTTCCTCAAGTTCATATAGTAGGCCACTGTCTATATTTCCTGCTCGCTCGCTGTTACTCACTGAGTACTACTAGTGTTTCCCACTCAGTCGCTGTTGCTCACTGGCTCACTAGTACTAGTCACCATTTGTTTTTAATGCATTTCAAACTCTACTTTTAATGTCCTTTTTTTTCCTTACTTAATCTACTTGTCGCTTGAAATGCAGTCATTTGTCTCTTAACAAGTCCGAAATAAGTGTGAACAAGTCCAAAATATGTAGAAAATAAGTGAAAGAAGTATCTCTACTTGCTGCTACTTGCACTACTTTCAAAGGCAAAATCATTGAAAAAAGGTCGAAATAAGGGTGGAAAAGGTCAAGTCAAGAGGAGGCATCTACTTTTTCGACTTAAACTGCCTTGTGGCAAGTTGACGGCAAGTTGGTGTCACCGTTCTTGCGAGTGCCTTATCCGTTCCTTTTGGGGAAGTTGCCCGGCGGCAAGTAGCGAAAAAGGAAGGTCAAGGAATGTGTAAATTTACTGATGGCCTATGACTCTGTTTTCTCTCACTCTTGAGAACCGCGCTGCGTGTACGACATTCTTACAATTGCTTTTCAGAGCTCCGGTCTCTATTAGCGCCGTCGAACGCAATACACGCACCGTGACCCAATCAAGCATCCACCGATGTATACTAGTTTTTTTCTCGCTTATTGTCGTTGTAAGCTGACCTAATGTACATGTGGTTTAGTGGTAAGTGTACTAAGTCGTTATTGTATTTACTCATTAGCTTACATGTCCCAGAGGTAGGATGCGAAGCTGTGAGAGCTGGTCTGGCAGCTGTTTTTGGGTGGGGTGCATGCGCAAAGGCACCAGATGTGGCGTTGATACGAGGTGTGTGCTTGCGTAGTAGTTTGAGCGAGGGTTGCTAAACGTGTGCAGAAGACTACACAATTTATTGGAACTCTGACACGTCACTTGGAGCAAAACCACCATCAAATCACTGCGTCGACCCGAAGGGCGATGATGAGCACCTGTAAGCAGCCATTACACTTGTTACGATTGCTGACCCCGTTTCACGGGACTAGACAGCTTCTGGACGTCATTCCCGTAGTTCTTTATCATACGCATCGACTTTTCTCGCGCCAATTCAAGCTTTTATGACCCTGCATGACCGTGGCGTTATCTTTCCGGGTATGGATCACTCATTTGATCCCATCTCGGTTCAGTCGAATATCTTCATCAACGATCTCGGATGAGCACTGGCATATGTGGCTGCCTTCGGGATGGAAGTTCTACTATCGGAGTTGTCTTATTTCTTTTCTTCCATCGAAGGGATGGTGAGATAAATCGGACGAGAACTTTTTCAAGTTTCCAACGAATTGAGCAATTTCGTGGACCTTCCTAGTGCTCAAGGTGACGTATATTCCTTTGGAGGTGTCATGTTTCAAGTGCGTCTCAGTGTTTGTGTCCTCAGCATCGCCCTGGGTCCTTTCTGATAAAGCTCCTTATCATTACTTCCCGCGCGACACACAGATTCCCTGCAATATCTACAAGCATCAAGCCATTGCACCCAGACGCCTCCTGCATAAATGGAGCGTTATCCAGCAATACTGGACGGCTCCGAGAAGGGCTTAAACGATGACCTGAATGAAAGTGCGAAGATCTTGTGCGAGAGGACACGAGCGTTCTACAATCTCTCGTATCGAAATTTATCTGCAGTTCCTGGCACTGATGAGAGCTGGCGGACGTGCACTTCGATGGTTGCGCGAGCAGGGTGGTGCTCACCTGCTAGACGGGCTGTAATGAGACCACTGACTGAAGCAAGAGCTGAACGAGGACAGGAGGAGAATCTAGCTGATCCGTTAACGCCATCAAAGCTGTCTTTGCATGAGATGCTGATCGATCGCAGAGCTGCAGATGACACGGTCATACTATTAGGTCGGACGACCAAAGAGAGGGGAACCCTAAAAATTTGATCAACCTGATTCAGAATTTCGGACTAACCTTATGTTGGTACAACGGCATATTGTGGTCGTGGTAAAATCCCATGAATGCCAGTGCCTCGGTGCTAGTCTACAGCCAGCTCTTGAACGTCAACACAAAGGCAGGGATCTTGCGAATATTCTCGTTCTTCTGGTTATCCAAACTGCCCTGGGCCTAAAAGATCCGACCTCATTACGCTGCCAGTGCGACAAACACTTTCCCTTCCCACCTGGATCTTTAGTGCGTTGCCCAATAAACGGTGGAAAGTCCAACCGAACCAGAAACATCGAGCCCGACGTCCCTGGATGTAGACGTTAATGATAATGGGTGAGTAGACGCAGTTTTCTTGCAGAGTTCCAACTTGAATGAAGCTGACTCACATGGCAATTTTTCAACCAATTTAGACGCCCGCTCGACCCTTACTGCGAAGGTCGTGAAGGAATTGGCTCATGCTACTGCCCAGGGCAGTTTCGGTGACGTATGGAAATGCATGTTCTCAAACAAAGATATTAACGCGGAGGTATATGTTGTAGAACACCAGCTATGATGATATGAAGATATTGCAGAGGTTGAACGTTGATGTGCCATAATAACATTCTTCCCTTGCGCGGGATTGCCTACGGGTTCGGTCCAGTACCAGTTATCGTATATCCACGAATGTCCAACGGATCTTTGAGCACATGTCTTGATGAAAACCATATAGACCCACAGATTTGGTTTGGTAAGTCTTCCACAATGGTATAGCTGCACCACAACTCACGGGCGTCGTCACAGCTTGCTGATGTAGCTGCTGGTCTCCAACTTCGTATGTCGTGTCATATCACTTTCGCATTGCACTAAGATAAACTGATAGTATATGCCATGCGCATAGACGGTCTACTGCAACAAAGTAGCTCATGCAGACCTCACAGGTGTAAGCAACTGTGCGATGTGCATACATACGAGGCTTTTCACATCTTCGTTCCTGCAACGTACTTCTCAACAAAAGAGCTCTTGTAGTGAACCATGGGCTCCTGACCACATGCTCCGACCTAACCGGGACCTCTTACATCGGGATTCGGGAGTAACGTACGATGGGCTGGTCCCGAGCTTTTCGAGGTTCCGGATACCGAACATCAGTGCCTAGCTCACCAAACTAATATTTAAAGTTCATTTGGATGCATCGCATACCAGGTCTGTCGATGACGTATATCCGCAGCGCTCTCGTGTCAGGTTTTATCGGGCCGGCAGCCATACTATAATATTCGCAGTACTTGATCACTAGGTGGTTGTGGCCATCGCCGAGAGGTGTCAAGCCGGAGCGTCTAGATATCCCTATCGTTGACAATTGTCACGGGGACTTTATGGAGCAATTTTGGGTTGAGTCATCACAGCGGCCTCATTGCTGATGTTCGAGGTTTGATGTGTCACTATATATAAAGATGCCATGTGTTGACCCATGTTTTTGTACCAGATAAGTATGGCCATCAACTTCTTGGGATTCCGTGCACATCAAATGAGGGTTCGTCGATATAGAAGAACCGACTTGGGAGATCCATGATTCGATCTGCACACTCCAAGCCTTGCAATACTGCCAACCCCTACCTGGTTGTATTGGTCATGTGCCTAAACTGCGGCAGTACGGCCGTTCTATCTGTCTCCTGCGGATGAATGAAAAGTTCCATCAATCCAGGGTTCGTTGATTTAGAAGAGCCAACTTGGGAGATCCGTGATTCGATCCACACACCCCAGGGCTTGCAATACTGCCAACCCCTACCTGTGTTGGTCATGTGCCTAAACTGCGGCAGTATGGCCGTTCTATCTGTCTCCTGCGAATGAATGAAAAGTTCTCGATGATCGAAATACAGTCGCCACCCTTGCCACCCGCATGGAGTTGATGGACTTGGACGAATGGAAACTGGCACAAGCACGATGTCATTCTTCCTGTGTGCGTTATTACCTATGGGTTTGGTTCAGTACGTACCAGCTATTTTCTCCCACAACAGCTCACACTGGCATCAAGTTCTGCCTAATACGATACCATCCCATAACGCCGCAAGACCTTTTGCTGGTCTCCAATCGCGTCGTTTTCGAATTGCGTCGAAGTAAGCTAAATTGCACTCTAACGAACCGGCATTCACGTCGCGTATCTCTCAGGTGTAGCGGTGCGCACTCCATTTCAAGACTTGCCAATTTACAACACGAGGTAACTTGTTACAAGGAAATTACTCCTTGAATCAGGGCAGTCCAGATTACGCCGGCCAGGCGTGCCATGGGCATGGAGCATATGATATAAAAACCGTATATTCGTTCAATCCAACTCTCGCAAGTATTCTCCTCACATTCGTGCTCGGCCATAATTCACAGAGATAGGTTACACTGCATCACAGACAAGGACGTGAGCGCAACATGAATTCATCCACATCGACACTACAAAGCCCATCGTTCTCACAGCCAGGGCAGGCCCCTGACCAACAATCAACGAGACTACTCCTGCAGTCATATCTCCAGTGCCTCGACCGCCTTGACAGGTTAGAGCATCGTGTGCACGAGGAAATCCAGGAGATGCGCAGCCTCTTTAGGAATATCCTTGACAACTACCAGTCAAATGTCACCATGGAAGATTCTGGCGGATGTGATAGCACCGTCGACTCCCAAGCTGGGCTCGATGGCCTCAATGTAATTACACCATTTGGATCTTCACACGACCGCTACTTCATGCCACAACCTGCACCGCATGAGGCATCGTTTGGGGTCATGGGATCGCTATCAGAGAGCATAGAAGGTAAATTTGCTGTATACGCAGTCTTTCCTCTAAACCCTTGCCGTGTACAGGCTTATTGCTCAATGGCACCCGCGAATTTGCCAACTATGTAACGCCTCAGCACAGCATGTACTCTGAGGACTTTCTGGCATTCTATGACCCGCGTGTCACGGAATCATCATCAGAGTCTGGGATTGTGGATGCTCGCCTCGGTAAATTCGTTATCATTCGCAATTTTTCATTGAAATGCTTAGAATATATTCCTAGGTTTCTCGCTCCGTGGCACGATCGACTCCATCTATGAACCTGCTGCGCAACCCTTCCAAGGCGTTTATCTCGAGGAGCATGTCCCATTGGATTCTTTAGTCGGACCCGACGCGCAGCTGCCTGTCCCCGTCATGCAGGCTAGCCAAGTGAAGGATAAAGTGAAATGCACCCAGGACGGGTGCTCAGCAATCCTCAACAAGGACAACCTCACTCGTCACGTCAAAGAGGTGCATGAGAGGAAGTTTAAGGCTGTTTGTGCAGGCTGCAGAAAGGTGTTCAAGCGCTCGTATCAGATGAATGAGCACATCCTTCGGACCGCATGTGGAAGATTCTAGATTTTTATCTTGTATAGTGTCCGTTTAATACAAGGCCACCTTGGTGGCCCCTTGACTTCAATCGCTACTCCAAGGAAGGTTGAGCCATTCATGGCAGAGGAAGCCCTAGAGATAGTAGTTATGGAGGTCATAGAGGGAACAGGGAAGGCGATGCGCACCGCCGTTTGTAATGTCGAGTATTTTCAGGGGAGTGCTACAATACCTATCAACTTATTAAACGCGTTACGCCATGCTCAAAACACGTGGTTTTATCAGAACTTTACCTCTTCGATTTTCAAGACTCCTGAGCTCAGCACGTCAAAGTCCGGTGGAGGAACGAGAGTTTCACTACACTCACATATCGCTGATCGGCTAAAATATGCATTCAACGTTACTGCGCAAGCCATCAGAGCATTGAGGAAGATACGTAGCACTCGGTACACTTTGTATTGCATCAGGTCAGGACGAGTCGGAGATCCGGGACCATCATGGAATTCTAGGGTCTCTGGGACGTTCAATATGGATTCTAATACTGTACAGGACGCAGCTAAGACTAAGGAACCTGGTTACCTTGAACAGTTCACCTGACTTAGCCTACCTAAGCACATACACAATATCTAGATCCTTATTTGCTTACCAAAGGGTCTTGACCATTTAGAATTTCGGACTCTGGCTCGTACAGGAAGCAATACGAAGTACAAGATGGCTGTTCAGTTTTACGTTGATGAACCGCATTTTGCTGTGGTCGTGGTAAATTCCCATGAATGCTAGCTCCTTCGAGTTGGTTCTAGTTCGCAGTCTAGTACAACCAGCTCTTGAACAACAATCCGAAGACAGGAATCTTGCAAAACCTACTGGTAGCAATCATTCTCGTTATTGTGATTACTCCAAGTGCCCCGGGCCTATATCCGACCTCATTGCGCTGCCAGTGCGATAAACGTCTTTTCTTTCCACCTGGATCCTTTAGTGGCCGCCCAAGAAATGGCGGAAAGGCCAACCGGAGACAGAAACGCCGAGCTCGACGCACCTGGATGTAGACGTCGATGATGATGAGTGAGTAGACATAGTTTTTTGCAGAGCTCCTGATTCATGGGACAAAATTTTCAACCGATGTAGACGCCTGGTTGACCTTACCACCAAGGTTGTCAAGGAATTGACTTATGCTACGCAATTTCAGTGACGTATGAAAATGCAGATTGGCAGACATAATAATACGGAGGTTTGGTACAAGTTTCGTAGTAAATATACTCATCCACGTTATCCAGTGTCTGGTCGTCCGCTAGTGTTTGCTGTCTACGGCAACGGCCTTCCACCATGTTTTCCTATCAGACAGGTATGACCATCGACTTGTTCCGTGAAAATTAAATGAGGGTTCGTCGATTTAGAAGAACCAACCCGTCACACTCCAAGCTTCAAGGCTTGCTATATTGCCTGGTCGTGTTGGTCACAAATGAAAGGGAATATGAATATATTCTATTTGGCCACCTACATAAGCTGAAATGGCATATACGGGTCATGCAGGCCATTTTTGTTCTAGCAACGTGTATCATATGTCTCAAGACGATACACCACAGGACTCGCCTATATATATATATGGTTATGGCTATGGCTGTAGCTAGTCACCGTTGTAATGTGACGGAACATGTAATTTCACAATCATTAACGGAGGACACCCGGTAATTGGGCGTCTATATAGACTTCACCGTACAGACCTGCACACGGTCCTGCATGCGCAGTCTGAGAAGTCTATATGTCGGGCCAATGGCCCAGTTATTTTTCTCCTTGGGGATGCATACTGGCATCAAGCCCTGCTTAATACGACAGATAACCTCCGATCGTGTCGTTTTCGTCGAATTGTGTCAGAGTAAGCTACGTGCAGTGTGCACTTCATTTCAGAACTGGCCTGAACATGAGGCTACCAGTTAGTTTCTGATTCCAAACAGGCCAAATTACACCTATCAAACGTGCCATGGAAAAGGTGGAATGAACATAAAAAGCCGCTCAATTCCCCCAACTCTCACAAGCATCCCCCCCCCATCCGCACTCGCCTATACACTAGGCTGCATCATAAACAAAGACATGGATTCACGCACATCAACACTACAAAACCTACCGCCTGACCAGTATCTAACACTCCAGTTGATTCTCCAGTGCATCCACCGCCTTAACATGTTAGACCAGCGCTTTGACATGTTAGACCGCCGCCTTGACGTATTAGACCATGGCGTGCGTGGGGCAATGCAGGAAATCTGCAGCGTCAAGGATCCCGTTTGCAACTACCAGTCAGGTTTCACAATGGAGCATTCGGGTGGACGTGATAGCACCGTCGACTCTCAAGCTGGAGTCAATGACCTCAATGCCATTACATCGCTTGAATCTTCGCATGATGACCAAATCATGCTACAGCCTGCAGCACTCCACGGAACATCGTCCGAGGTCATGGGATCGCTGTCAGGGGGTACAACAGGTAAGTTGCTTTATACGCAGTCTTTCCTTCAAATGCTTATCATGTACAGGCTCATCGCCTTACGGCGCTCGCAGTTCTCCTATCACAGTGAAGCATTCGGGTGGACGTGATAGCATCGTCGACTCCAAAGCTGGATTCAATAGCCTCAATGCTATTCCACCATCTATATCCTCGCATGGCCCCTACCTCGTGTCACAGCCTGCACCCCATGAAGTCACGTACGGGGTCACGGGATCGCTGCCAGAGGGTACAGAAGGTAAGTTGCTGTATACGCAAACTTTCCTTTAAACGCTTACCGTATACAGACTTATTGCCCAACGGCACCCGTGGTTTTGCCAACAATGTAACGCATCAGGGCTTCCCGGCATCCTATGACATGGATGTCACGGAATCCTTATCAGAAGGCGTGGGTGCTCACTTCGGTGAATTTGCTATCATTCGTAGCTTTTCCTTGAGAGGTTTACAATGTATCCCTAGATTTATCGCTCGATGTCGATGGCACGTCGGATCCCATGTGTGAGCCCGCTGGGCAACCCGCTGCCCAACAGCTCGGTTCTGTTGTGCAAACTAGCCCAGCGAAGGTCAAAGTAAAACGCCCTAAAGTAAAATGCCCCAGGAACACGTGTTCAAAATTCATCAACAAGGATGGCCTCACTCGTCACATTAACGAGGTGCATGAGAAGAAGATTGTGGCTGTTTGTCCAAGATGCAAAAAGGACTTCACGCGCACAAATGTGATGACGCACCACGCATGTCCTTGTGAAAGATTCTAGATTATTATCTTGTATAACAAAGTCGTTAAATATTCGACGAAGTAGTTCCTTATTGAGGAAAATGCAATCTAGGGGATGCGGTGTTCGCTTGATACAAAGCTGCCTTGATGGCCGAAAGTTCACCCTTGACTTCATTTGCTACTTCGAGGGAGGTGGAACTATCAGTGGGTAGAGCAAGCCCTGGAAATAGATGTAGAGATCTCGAAAGGAACAGGCAAGGCAATGCGCACCGTTGTTTGGAATGTTAAGTGCTTTCAGGGGAATACTGCAATAAACTTAATGAGATATGAGGCGAATGTAATGGAAAGGCATGCTCGAACATTCAACTTACTGGGATGAATTGATGCGGAGTTAGGGACCGTTTGGCAACCACTCGGTTTTGTTTTCATCTGAGACGGAAAAAAGCTAGGCGTTCGGAAATGCATCAAACACCTGTCACACTGCAAGCAAACTCTGGATAGTGGGTCCTGGGATGCGCCCGGGGGAAGAGCACCAAACAGCGTGTGGGTATTGCAGGGCAAGTGAGTGGTAGGAAATGGTTAGCGCCCCAGGAGTATGGGGGAGGGGTAGGAAACGTATTGGTTGTATGTGATGATGATGGTGATCCGTTCTCCAGGTGTCCATAGTAGAACCCTCCACGCAAATATGGAAATAGGTGCGGAGAATTCGGAGATGTATGGCTGCGCTAACAACAAAAACCATGATTCGGTCGCAGCGTTGGCGTGTTCGGGTGCCTGGATAAGTATATGCCCTATCGCCGGCATGTCCCGGGCCATGAGTATTATATGCTCCACGACTAGTACATCCCTTGGAGGTCGAAAGTCGAGTACGCCAACGATAAGCCTCACCAGCGAGCGGCAACTCAGCGGCATTGATCCGCATCGCCTTGTCCCTATACGTGCCGTGCATCATTTTGTCGATCAATATAATTGCAATCTTGATCTCATTGTCGATCATGGGCCTGCACGTTTCAAGGCTTCGATCGGATGTGTTACACGTGTCGATCTAGACCTTTGACATCTTGGAGCCAATGTGTGATGCAAGCTGTATACTTGTGCAAAGACTCGGCCTAGGTGGCAGACTGAGATAAGACTAGGTGCAGGTGCCGTCCTGTCGGAGCAGCTGTTACCATAAGTAACAATATCGGCGGTAATTCATATTGATTGTGGTACCATGATATGATTGGAGGCACACCATTATTTATATTCATAGCCCTAAGAAGGCCTTGACGTTCCCGCTCACGCCGGAACCATTGATCGAAGTTGACATGTCGACATACGATCCAAATACATACAAGTAGGTACTGTCGATCATAGAGCTCGGTAGGTACGAGTCCATGTATTGATACGAGGAAATATCTCGAAGGAAGCCAGAAAAAGGTACGAGTTCGCGTATTGATACAAAGTAGCATCCTAAAGGAGTCGAGAGAAGCCGGAATTAGGTACAAGCAAATACAGGAAGTAATTGCTTCCCTCGACTTCTTTAGGATGCTACTTTGTATCAATACGCGAAATTGGGCTTGTACCTTGTCCTTAAGTCTGACATATATATTTAGCACGCGGTTCGTGTCCACCACCCCGTCATATGCTGTGCAACGCTGATGCACGCTCTTGCTCGGTGACAATTGTGTCCACTTGGAATTCAAGATGCCAATCTCGGTATCTAGGAGATTGTAGACAAGTGGCCATTATCGATATCAGCGGAGCAGACAAGACAGGTAGCCTCGAGGTCGGCAGAACCTGCCTCTTCTAACAAAAACGACCGAGAATATTGACAAAGCGCTTACTTTTCTGTTGCACACACTAGTTGATGCCTGCGCTTGCCTCGAGCGTGCTTTTCTCTCGCTACGAAACCTAGTATTTGTTGATGAATTCAATGACAAAATTCTGCATTGTAGAGAATGGATGAGTGAGAGGTGCACAGGTACGGATAACGGTTCTTGCGGAGTCTGTGATAAGTCTATGTAGACCTGCCAATTTCCAGATTTTCTGCATTAACGCGCATTTCAACGGGAATTGAAGCGTTCTGTTCGGGCTACAACGTTGCACACCAGAATTACATAAAGTTGATTCATTTACTACCAGTGTACACCACGGTGGCGGAATGCCCAGAGAAGGTAGTTCAAGCGGTGAGAGAGCAACTATTGTTGCAGGTAGTGCCGCTGTAAGGACCGCAAGATCGTGTTCCAGCGAAATGAAGCGCGTTGATCGGATGCCGGATTCGCTGGTGCACCGGGTAAAATCAACCGGCCATTGGTTCTATTACATATTGCGGATTCTATGGAAGGGTGTCTAACGTGGCGTAACGTGACACTAGACTGTAGGTGGAATGGAGGGTGCATATGCATGAGTCTACCAACCTAATGATTCTACTACCTTTCCTATCCCACTGCAAGTATTTGTTAGAGAACATCGGGAGGAAATTGTTGTGATGGAAAAGCCGCCCGTCTGTTATGATAGCTACCATCGGTGGTGGTGAGATCATCGACACCGACAACTAGCAAGTGCATGATCATTGTACCCTGTAACAAGTTCTGACAATGCACTTCCTCATGTAATTCTAATGCAGCCTACTAGCCCGACTGGACAGGATTCGTATCCAAGGAGTCGCCTCATCCAGTAGCGCGCGGTAGTTTCAGGGATGTGTGGAAATGCACCTACATCGCATCCAACCGCCTGGAGGCAAGCATACTACACGTGTGGCTGTCCAACAATCTGAATTCATGACAGGTAGCAGTCAAATCCATAAGGATTGATGTTGCAGGCGACGATTCCAGGGACAGAGTGACTCAAGTACGTTATCGGCTTCTCCTTTGCATGTGATACGCTTGCTCAAACCTCATGTCTTCAGAGACTCTTGGTCGATTTTCGTGCACGCAAGCAACTGCATCACGAAAATCTTTTGCCTTTGCTCGGTTTCAGTCACGAATTCGGGCTACTTCCAACGATGATTTCTCCCTGGATACACAACGGCTCGCTCACCACATATCTTGAACACCGTTTCACGGAAATGACCATCGAACAAAAACTCCTGATCGTGAGTTGTTTCTCAGAAGTGCTGTTACATCTATAGCGAGAAGAAGCGAGGGACTGGAGCGTTAGAGCTAGAACAGAACGATAATCTCAGTCGTTGGAAAACGGACTCTTTGTATTTAGTATGTACCTAGGACAGAACGATACTAGGTACTTGTTAGCCTTTGAATGTAATAGGTGAAATAATGATCACGTACTGTAAGCCTGAGGCTTACGACACGTGACAGAATCGCATCTTGATTGGACACCGTCTTTTGTTTGTTCGGTGTTTGCACCGTATAGTATATAGAGCTGCTTGCCCCTTTGTTCGTATCTTATCTCTTACCATACCGCTCAATCCCATACGCTCATCCACGTACTTGTTGCCTGTTGTCTGTTAGTGTCGGCTGTTGACTGCAACAGCCTCACACTTTTTTTATACGTTCGACCGAGCGTAATAACTCTGTCACCACACCGGCCGCACCGTTACATAACCAACCGAACCGTTGGGTATTGACCTTGTAGGTCAACCCAGTCTTACGTTACACAAACTGCCTCCCCGCTGTACGCGTATCCCTATCCTTCCGTCGTCTATTACGACAAGGAGTCGCTCCAGACTTGGAGCAACGCCTGACGACAACCCGCCTGAGAACAACTTGCCAGGTCCGTTGTCACCTGCTATCGAACGTGAAATATCCCCCCTCACTACCATCGCATCTTCTCGTGAAAGTCGGAGACCGCGCGCCTTAAACGATGCGCATACATCCACTGACTCAGACTCAACCGACTCTAGCCGTAACTCACACGCAATACCAAGGATGTTGTCCAAGGTCACGCATGTAGAACAGACTGCTGGAAACAAACCGCCCTTTCTCACAGCTGGTGAAATCACGCCCGAAGCTCTACGTTCTTGGGAGATGGGCCACAATACCCTGTAGGTATGATATATTAATATCTAGTATTGTAGAAGGCTGATGTTATATCAGAGCCTGTGGTCCATAGACCATGATGTATCAACTTGCTCACCTTTCCTGCAGGCTGTGCTGTGATGGATCATGTAGACAGTGATACATCAAGTCCGATGTCCTGCATCACGTGATATATCACCAGTTTGCGTGATGTATCCCTTCAAACACTTGTGTGATATATCATTAGTTTGCGTGATGTATCACCTTCAAAGCTTGTGAGGCCCACGTGATATATCATTAGTTTGTGTGATACATCACCTTAAAAGCTTGTGAGGCTTGCATGATATATCATTTTCATTAGTCTGCATGATACATCACCGGTTTCTGTGATGCATCACCTTGGAAGCTCTACACGAGGCTCGCGTGACATATTACTTGCGAACGGAGTTTGCACATCATATCACCTTCAAAGCTTGCATGATATATCACTTGTAACTACATAGTATATTATATACTCGCCCTTGTCAAAAGGAGGGGAATTGGGGTTTAACTAGGAATGAAGATCAACTGTGAGGGGAGCTTGCCATGAAGAGTTGGCTGCCCACATGGATTTGAAGTGGACAGCCATTTTTCGGCGTAGATTGGCCTGGCGTTGGGCATAAGCAAGTGCACCCTCTCTGGCTTGCAGTGAGCTAAAAGTACGTCGTGAACCTTGCGTGTCCCACCAGCCAATGTGCCAGTCGAGAAATGCAATGACGCAGCGCATTTCCTCATGCAATAACTGCACTTCTTCCTCCCACCGATGAGCTCGCGCTCGTGCCTTGCACCATTCAACACGTAGTGCTATAAAATGGCCAGGTCAGTGAGAAGCACCAGTGGTTAGAGCGTACTTACAGTCCTGCAGCCCTAGCTCATTGCTGTTGGAGCCTGAAGTCTTCCAGATCCATGATATACTTTGCTGCCCCATCATTCGGCCATCGTCGTGTTTGAGTGGTACTGCATCCTTTTGCTTGTCGAGTGGCTTCAGGCTCCTCTCCCAGTTGTCGTTCTTGCCCAGCCTTGATGCCAGATTCAGAAGTGCGCTTCTAGAGGTGGAATACTTAAGTGATAAGGCATCGATGCGACATTCAGCATTATTGATGATTCTGTTCGCTTGGGTATTTGCTCGCTGTCCTCGGATAAATGTATCCTTATACTTGTAAAGATGGTATCGCAGGTTGAGCACAGTGCGGAGGTCATTCAGTGTGTCATACGCTTGAGCTTCACGCAACTCCCACTCATGTTCGAGCAAGCGGTCGTCACATGGTACTCGATGGGGTAGAGAGGACGGCAGGAACGGGTTAATGTTGTGAACCTTGGCTTCAGTTGCAACATCATCCGGCGACCGCAGGCGGGAGACGCCAGGAATATACAACAACTGTACCCGGCCCCATGTGTCAATGTGTCGGCGAAGAGCATTCACCCGCTGTAAGAGCTTGCCCTTCTGAACATCTGTAGTGTGTTGTCCAACCACCTTGGCATCAAATTCAAGACGGCACCTAGAATAGAGTCAGTTTGTGATCCAGTGAAGTTCAGAAATGTCGACGCAACTGTTGATCTTCAAGTTCTAATCCCGATGAAATCAGCACTGATGGCGAGATATCATCATGTAAGGACACATCGTTACCGTGCTCAATCTCTGTGGCCTCTGCTGTTGATAAGGCCAGACGCACGGCAGCCTGAGTTATTGCTGTTGAAAACACCATCAGCTTCTCAAAATGCGTTGAATAGAGTACACATACTTGTCGTAGCTCTGTCTTCAAATGGGTTCGGTCGTGAACGGTCTTCCTCCCATGCCTCAATGTCCTTCCTCCATTCGGCTAGCTCATCTGTGGCAAGAGAAGCCTCGAAATTGGTGAGATTGTTGACACGTTCTTGGACCTCGATTAATGCGAAGTTGTACTTTCGGCGGAAAATTAAACCTGCGAGACAGAAACTGTAAGTTCAGATATTCAGTGAGAGGCCAAAAACTCACCCATTGCGCATATCTTCTTCCAATTCCAATCATTGAAGTGGTCATCTAAGGTATCACACCTTGAACCGGGACCCATTTTGTGTGTACTTGTAGCAATGGGGTTGATGTCCGCCCACCCGCGCTCTGGAGCTTCACTGTCTGTGTGACCAACGCCCTTGATCAGATTGAAGGAGAAGGATGTCTGGCATTTGGCGATGTGGGCTGGCAGGTGAAATTTCAGTACGAGAAACACAATGGACTTTTCGTGGTGTTTGATGTGGTACTGGTGCGGGAAGGTGGACATACGTGTCCAGATATGCTTGCTCCATTGGCAAGCAATATCGTATGATATATTTAATGCCACTATGTCCGATGAAGACCGCATGCTAGAGAAAAATAAGTAATCCATATTAAGGTACCTGTATTGTGCTGTTAATAATAATATGACTAAAAAGTGAATGTTATGCACCGTTCGCCCTTTTGTAAGTCGCCGATGGAGCAGGGCTGTTTGAAATTGTGTCGTGCACAATCGATGGTACCGGCGCCAGTGGCCGCAAGCCCACGCGAGACTCTTGTATCTGCGAGATTTACCGCATTGTGACTGGAGCACGAACTCATCTGCACAGAGTTATACTTAGTGCCCAGGACAAATAGAATGATGGACTTACCTCCTGGGCAGCTCGTTCTTGTGAACTGATGAAACTTTTGTAGGCATGTTCCTCTACAAAAAAAGCATATCCGTGATTGAGACCAGGATCGGCCGTGGCCGAAGAGACATTATGGCGAGCCAGACGAAAATTGGCATCAATGCCCAGAAATAAGGCATATAGGAATCTGGATCTGTGTGAGAGCAAAGTCGGAGGGAAAAGATGCTAAATGTACATACCGTATTTCAGATGGTGCGTTTTCCCATTTATCTGGCAGATTTTTTCCTACATGGGGACATGCAGGACATAATACAGCACATGCACCTGGTTCAGTTGCTGCGATACCTTTGGGGTGATGACCTTGACCAGCGCGTTGCATCTGCTTGATGAACAACCACTCTCGCATCATGCTCAACATAGATTCATAACGGTCCTAGATTGTAATATGACAAATTAGAAGAGAATTAGAATTAACATTAGCACATACCTTTGGTACATGAATTCCTGTATTGTCCGTCAAACGGGCAGCTGTTTTGTAAAATTCAAATGTGGAAACTTTGGACTTGAAAGACAACATTTGAAAGTATTCCAGTGCCTGAAATGTTGCGGCTGTTTTGGGATCGACTGTTGTGGCAGGAAAGAGATGAACACGTAGTAGTTGAACGATGTGTGGCTGAGCAGAAGCGCATCTGCAGAAATCTAACCCCACTTTGTAGATACTGTTGTAGTGGATGATAACGAAGTCGTCATTGAAAGCAGGGAGTGGGTTGTCACAACAAACGCCAGAGGTGTGTCCAAGTTGCAAACGTATCCCCATGGACTTCGAGGTAATATCGTCGAATGAGATGCCATCCCAACGCTAAGTTTAAAACACAAGAGTCAGTTGATGTAAGGAATGTGAGTATCTATGCACATACCTCCATTTTATGAAACGGCTGTCTTGCATGTACACGGACCATACACAAATGACAGAACATCTCGGAACCATCACAATCCTGACAACGATATATCGCAGCTTCCTCACCACAAACACAAATGTCTTGCGAATAGTCGCCCTGACCCTCCAGACGGAGGAATTCCTCCAAGAACAAGTTGGCATCAGATTCCCATAAGCGCAAGGCCTCACCATGAACCACAGTGCGTTTTTGCCTCGCGAATTCTACAAACTCTGGCGTGTCATTTTGAAGGTTATCAGGAAAGTCATCGAGAGTTGTAAAGTTAAACTCTGTAGTCTCCAGTAGGACTTCTGAATCTCCACGACAGCGTTTCCCTGGAGAATTTGGAACAGTGTAGTAGGTTGAAGAGACGTTCAACCGCCCACTTTGTCCTGTTTCAAAACTGCTGTGCTTGCGTTGTTGAACATCATGTGTGTGTTGAGGCGCATCATTGGTATCGTTATTCACTGCTTTTGAAGCAGCAGCACTGTGCGCATAGAAATCGCGCTGATAATGCTTCAGGGCTTGCCGTCTCTGGCCTCCAACCATTTGTCGTCGGTGTTAGTGAGACACGGTTCACAAATTTGGCTGGTTTATATTAAGACTTGTCTGATATATCAACCGCAGTCTGCCAAACGAGTAAGTCGGCGAACATTGCCTCATCATAAGCTTCAACACCTCCTTCATCTATTATTGATATGACTTCCTTCTCTTTGCAGCTGAGTAGGAAAAATAAACATCAGTGGGTCAAGTCGGCACTGCACCTCCCTGTTTGGCTCTGTATGAAACTGAGTGAAAAAAAACAAGTGGTGAGTGAGTGAGATACCAAGCATAAATAACAGATACTCACCTTACATCCAGATGGCGCCCCCCAGATGGACAAGCGCAGAGCAGTTACTCTGGCTGCAGAATGAGATGCCTGGATACTTGCAGATGCAAAAAGAGAAGAAATTGCCTCGATTCTTCGATTCATTGTTCCCAAGGTGGTTTAGCGACTTTCCAGAAGAGACAGAACTAAATGGCAGCCCACCTTGTGATGAGAACACTGGCATAAATGAGCCCAGCAGTGCAGGCATCGAGTCCGTTATCGACACAGCCCAGCTCAATTCTATAAACGCACCCGATTTAGTCGAACAAGAAGACAGCCAGTCCAACTCACCTCCAATGGGAGCAGCAGAACGACGCAAAGTATGTGGTGTTCACATTGACCTAATTATAGAATATAACTTCGTTAGAAATTGCAGGAATGGTTCCAAAATAACTCAAAGGGAAAGACAACACCTGGTGGCAGCTCAACTGGTAGAGCCCTGTCTGTACTACTTGGCCAGCGCGCACGAGGTACTCGAGACCTCAAAGAGATTGAAGTGTATTCCAAACTGCACTATGAGTCAAAAGTCAAACTGTTGGTTGAAGACGCTCTTAAAAATAATATTGTGCAACCTACCCAAAGGCTTAGTATGGTTCGGCTACACACCACTGAATGCTTTGCAGAAGAGTCAGAAGAAGTTAAGAAAGAAATTCGGGAGGAGACTGTATGTCTCAATGCTTCCAGAAGATTGGGCGATGTTGAGGGTCAGCATCCGAGAACAAAGGAAGAAGTTTATCGGTAAGTAAACATATTTGATTCGTATTACTAAGTACTGGTACTGATCACTCACCATTTATGTAAAGGACAATTCAAGAGCTGCCTTTGATTCTAGGTCAAGTTTTCGAGGAACTCTCAGCGTTGACAGGTGGATGGCACTACACCGTTGTCATGGGCGGAGCTGATCCGTTGTGTGAAGGTGACATCATGACATTGAGGTATTTCAAATTCCCTCTTTGCGACCGTTTGTTGATTCATCAACAGTTACCACCATGGTAAAACCGCAGATGGTCTGAGCTTCAAGGCGTCTACCCCAAACTTCCATGAACAGTATCTATTACCATTTGAATGACACCTTGGATACATCCATGGTAAGTGAAATTCCAGGCTACACGACTCAAAATTTATTATTAATGAAAAATACCATAGGTCCATCTTCGAAGTGTATATCAGCACCCTCATCTACCCCGACCTCGTCTCATCTTGCGCCCGTTGGCCTCATCTCACTGGACGAATTTCCGAACGAGTCCTCACTTGGAGAGAATGTGATATCCGGGCCTGTGGTTGGTCCTTCTCTGTTGCAAGAACCGGGGGACTTAGTGTTGAATCCTTACATCAACCTGGACTTCGGTGGGTCTGTGGGAGCGAACGAACATGGTGACTGGTTGATGCACACTAGTAGCAGTGACCCAAACCTCCCATCTCCCCGTAACATGACAGACACACCAATCACTGCTTGGAGAAAGTCAATGGCGCTCAATGAAGACCCGCTCGCATCCCCCACCTTTAATCGCATTCAACAACGAGGTTCGAGCGCAGTGGGTCCATCAGCCGAAGCAGTCCCTCCTTTCCTACCTCATCCATTGTCACCGCTTCATACCACCCTCTTGCCCCAGCCTTCTTCGTTCTTTGTGTTTCCTGTACTCGAGGAGGTCGATGCACTGCCCACGCTCCAACACCGTGATCCATTAGCATTTAACCAGCCCATGTTGAATTCAGGGCCACGCTCACCTCCAGACCAACCGATTCCATTACCTTTGTCCCCACTTGTATCCACAGCCTCCAAGTCACCGCATTCCAAGTCTGTTGAACATCAACCTTCACCGGCGTCTCACCAGCCAACTCATCAACCTAATTCGGAGGCGATGACAGTGTTCATTGACTGTCAATCTTCGCCAGCTTCTCACCGGCCGACGCCTCACGACATTGTAGGTGTTTCTGCTGATGATCATCCTCAACCCAATTTGGAGGTGAGGACAGTGTCTTCATTACCTACTGCTGCCTCTGGCAGATGCTCGGGATGCACACCATGTCCTTCTACGTGAGCTGATGGAGCCAATAAAATTGGTGGCCATAACTCACAACGTGAAACAAAGCTCGCACCAAAGAGGAAGCTGACCAAAGTCCAGCATGGTGTTGGAGGGTCGAAGAAAAGGTCTCGGAAGTAGTTCCGTTGTGTTTTCAATGTACCTAGCTAGATAACATCATGTCCTGAAAATTTAGATGAAGTTGAATAATCCTAGATGCGAAATCATGTCAATGATGACCAGAAGAGAAAATTGATGTGATTGTGCAATGGTCCAGCGCCGTCCTGTTAGTGCAGCCCCTCAAGAGGATGTATCCTACTGAGGGCATTAAGGTAGGTGATATATCATCAAAACTTGAACATGCAATTACTGCAGCTGTGGGAGGCGGGAATATATGATACATCATAGGTATTGCTGCCGCGCTTGAAAATGCATGATATATTATGTTCTGAGGTATCAAGGTAGGTGATGTATCATAAAAATATACAATTACTGTAGCCGTACGTGGGGGGAGGGAATATATGATACATCATAGCCTATAGGTATTGCTGCCACGCTTGAAAATAGTGATATATCAGTTATTGCAGCCACCGTGTGAAATAGTGATATATCAATTATTGCAGCCATGCAGTGGCTGCAATAATTGATATATCACTATTTTCAAGTGTGGCGAGACCGGGAGGAGGGTGTATAGAATACATCATATGTATTGCAGCTGTGCTTGTGTGTGACCCACTGAGGCGGGTGATGCCTGGCTACTAATGACACATCGGGGTGAACGATATTTAAAAGAGGTTTATATGTTGTACAAAATGTGAAGACAATATTTAATATTTAAACTAACATAAAGATGGGTGCACGACTTCAAATTTTGGTGGTGTTTTGTGTGTAATCCAAAATATCAAATATTCACAACCATATTCCCACAGACAATATGTCAACAAACATAAGAAATATAGTCAGATTTTTCATGTCTGCTTCAACTTAAAGTTCAATTTCCATGTAAAACTTTGGAGAAAACTTGAAGTTTTACAGATGACATGACATTAAAACTTGATTTAAATGTCAAGCTTTGGCAAAACTTCAAGTTTTCTCCAAAGTTTTATGTAAGAATCAAACTTTAAATTGAAGCAGACATGGAAAATCTGATTATATTTATTATATTTGTTGACATATTGTCTGTGGGAATATGGTTGTGAATATTTGATATTTTGGATGACACACAAAACACCACCAAAATTTGAAGTCGTGCACCCATCTTTATGTTAGTTTAAATATCAAATATTGTTTTCACATTTTGTACAACATATAAACCTCTTTTAAATATCGTTCACCCCGATGTGTGAAGGAAGCATCACCCATCCAGTAGTTCAGAGGATCATTTAGCTCGTTTTCAGTGGGTGATATATCATCAAAATATACAGTAACTGCAGCTGCAAAACTTGAAAGTACCTGATATATCAAGGCTCTATGGCTGGTAGTATATCCTCTGTAAGTATGATATATCATGGCGCTAGTATGATTGATGTATCATCTTCGGCTGCTAAATCCTCAGTAAGTACATGATATATCATGGCGCTGTGATTGATGTATCACTTTCCCACACATTGTGTCATAGACCGGGATATAACACCTCTCTTCTACTATGAGAGGAATATAATACATCATAATGACACTATCGCCTGGATGGGCTGCACTCAATTTTTCATGCACAAGAATGTTGTGGAGGACGAGATGGTGAAGAAAGTCGCCTGGGGTATGCAAGACCCCAGGATCCAAGACTGGTATCTTACAAATCAAGACGAAATGGACATCATGACCTTCAGGGAGTATATGGTGGAAGTGCGTCGTGTGTGGTTGCCTTCTGGGTGGGCAGACATCGTTCGGTGTAAGATGTTAGCATCTACGCAGGGACAGCGCCCATTCAGTGAGTGGGCAATCGACGTGCAGAGCCAGAACACTCTCCTGCGAGGCACAGGCTCCCACCTGATGGACATTAATGTCCTGTATCATTTAGAATCCCACATGAACATCGAACTAGCCGCTGACTACCATGCCGAGAACATCGTTGAGGACCACCTCAGGAGATGGATCAAAGTGGTGAGACTCCTCAACGAGAAACGCTTACGCTATCTGGCAAGACAGAAAGAGGCCGTTGAGAATGCTCTGCGCGCGGAACGCGCTCGTTCTAACGTCGATAAGAAGACAGGTTCGAGTGTCTCTAACAACCGTTCTGCCGGAAAGTCGACAGGTAGCTCCAAGAGCACTGGTACAGCAAAACCTTTCATTCGACTCCCCTCGCTCACGGACAACGAACGTGTCCTGTTAAGGGAGAATGACGGCTGTTTCAAGTGTAGGGAGCTGTTTGCAGGTCACACTTCATCAAGCTGTTCAAAGGGATTTCCGGACAGAGTGTCCTACAAAACATTGACGGCCGCAGCGGTTGCCGCTAAGAAGAATAAGAAGAATGTAGTCGCTGCAGTGGATATCGAGGAAGAGAGCGACACAGTCGCCATGGTCATGCCGTCCGCAGTGTTAGGAGACGGCACTGACTTGGACGATGAGTGCGTCGCCCCGCTACAAACCCCTCACCTTCGGTGGGACTGTCTGGTAGACAGTCCCAATGTTTCTTCTCCTGTCAAAGTGTCAGCACTGATTGATCACGGTTCTTCCTTAGTTCTGATTGGTGAAGATCTCGCCAAGAACCTCGGATTACGTCGTCGTCGGCGCGCTAAGCCATTACCGGTGTCGCTTGCATTCGCAAAGGACAAGCAGTTTCTTCTCTCGGAATACGTCAAACTTTCATGTACTTCTATGGACCTTCGTTACAGATCATGGACTGTACGGGCTATTGTGGCCCCTAATCTTTGTACGCCCTTGTTATTGGGAGGACCCTTCCTCCAACACAATCAAATTGTGGTTGATCACGAGCTACGTACATGTATCACTAAAGACGCTAACTACGATCTCTTACAGCCTGTGGAAATCCCTCCTGTAAAACTGCGGGCAAGGAGATCATGGGGACCCAACCTCTTGTGGACGAAGAGAGAGGTCGTGAACGAACTCAAATCGGTCCTCCCTGAATTGAAGGATATTGTTGATAACGAATGTGAGCCGGTCAACGGAGTAGACGTCGTGGCCACAATACAGTCGCGCATCGACGATCTGTTGTACCAAGACCAACTTAAGGTCCTGGATGCTAAGTATAAAGCCGAGTATAAGGATCGATTCCCCACGGATATTCTCACAATGACACGATGCCGAGTGACGTATTGTTTCGTTTAAACCTGAAAGACGCTAACAAAGTAGTGCAACTCCGCTCATACGACTGTCCAAAGAAATACCGGGCAGCCTGGAAAACGCTGTTGGACTCACACGTCGAAAGCGGATGACTCCGGCACTCAGATAGCGAGTGGTCATCTCCCTCATTTATAATACCTAAACCAGACCCAACTGTTCTGCCGCATTGGGTTAACAATTTCAGGAGACTCAACCTTAACACCATCGTGGATAATCATCTGTTGCCTCGTATTGACGAGATTCTAAAAGACTGCGCTAAGGGTAAGGTATCCGGAAAAATAGATATGACTAACATGTTTTTCCAGACGCGAGTTCACCCGGACGACATGAAGTACCTAGCCATTCATACACCATGTGTCATATCCCATATATTCACGCTTCTCTTCCGGACTTCGGACCCTGAGATCCGATCTGGTCCGATGTATAGATCCGCTTCCGATCCAATTTACGATAAGCTTTCTAATTCATTTCCTGTTCATACAGTGGCTCAAAAAAGTGTCCCAATGTTTGTAGCTTTTCACATAATTGCTATATCATGAGTCAAGACGTGGAAATATGACTAAGCTATAGGAAGATGTCGGAACGGTCTGCTTCTCAGCTTCATTTCGGTTCCCTATACCATGGGAAAATAATGACATTATGTGAAGATATGAGTATTTTAATTTGATGACTCATTGGGACACTTTTTTGACTTTGAGTTTAACTAATGTAATCTCTATAATTCTAGTACTGTGTGTGACCTCCTTCTGCCCCAATCACTTCTGCCACTCTTTTAGACATATTGTCTATCAATTTTGGGTATTCCTCTTTGGTGATTCCATCATACTCTGCTGTAACACTGTCTCATAGTTGGAATAACCCCTATGGTGAATCTTGATATGCTATAAGTAATTTCTTGAGTGATTCTCAGAGGTATTCAATAGGGTTGATGTCTTGGGTCTATGTTGAACATGATAGAATAGTAATATCATGGTCTGCAGGCTATTGGTGGCTGATTTAGAGGTATACTTAGGGTCATTGTCTTATCACAAAACAGTATCTTCTTCATTAACTTATAACTCCTGCATGCTTCTTAGCAGACATTCCTGTCAAATGAGTATTTACTACTCTGTATTCATCCTCCCCTTTGCTTCATAGAAAATTCCCATTCCATTTTATCTCATATAGTCCTATACCATCAAGTTTTCGTCTTGAAACTTAAGGTGTTTATTTAACTTTTCTTTATCTTAATGATTGTCCTATCTATTTTAATACAAATTCCTTGCCATATGATCTCATCCTATTGATTTTAACCATATCTAACTAGATAAACCTCTTTCAGCTATCAGCAGTCAGTAGCATCTTGTCTTTTCTTTTTATAGGTTGGAGACAGAAGAATCTGTTTTTCTTGATTATAGCTTTAAGATGGGCTGTCTTGAGAGTCTGTCTGACTATTTGAGTAGAGATAGTCATAGGAATGATGGAAATAATCAATTTAGTCACTTTATTAACATCAGCAGCCTTTTAAATTAGAATATAGTGATTAAGAGATCTTAAGTCTTATAGAGCAACCTTCTAGATTGGCTACCAAATAACTTAAAGACCATGATATTACTATTCTATCATGTTCAACATAGACCCAAGACATCAACCCTATTGAATACCTCTGAGAATCACTCAAGAAATTACTTATAGCATATCAAGATTCACCATAGGGGTTATTCCAACTATGAGACAGTGTTAC